TTAGTAACAGGATTGGTCCAGAGGGAGTACTAAGCTGCTGAAACATTGTTTCTTTTAATCTTTAATAATTCAGATGAATGGATCACTGTGAGGTTACAAAGAAATCATGTTCCTTTTCATACCCCCCCCATTATTGGGGGTGTAGTGAAGGTTTCACCTTGTTGATAACTACCATGGCAGGACACCAAAGTGCACCAGCCAGATGGTGGATGCTTTATGGAGAGCTCTGACTCAGCTTTCCCTCCCCACATTCATGCACATCCTAATCCAGAACTTGAGGCTGGATTAAATAGTTGTCTGGATTTGTGGACAAGTGCTGCCTCAGTTTATCCTCAAAAGGAAACCAAGAGCAGGGGCAGGAGAAGCCCGAGGCAAACAGAGAGATCTCCATCACAGAAACGGGCTGTGACTTGGAATGGTGATTTTCCACACTGAATAGAGAACTCATAATTTAAAAGATTACCTTGCAGATGGTGATAAGGGCACCTTTTCTTCCTCTGCAGACAGCACTTGTGCTGTGGCCCGTTATGGTGGGTGCTTTTATCAGTGATTTACGACAGAGCTGTCAAAAACTTTAAAAAGCTTCTATTAAATTGATGTGGATTTATCTATCTAAGACCTTTGAAATTTATAGAGGAGCCGACTTTTGGCCTTCTTTTCTAATCAGAGTGTGCAGCTGCACATGGGGCAGTCAGCTCCCCAGCCTGCTAGGAAGGCAGGCATTTGATTTGTGGCCCAGATTTGAGAATCCCTGGGGAGCTGTCTGGAGAACAGAGCTTGTGGATGTTTGGAAACCAGTCCCCTTGTGTTATTTATGGGGTAGCCTGGAACTGGGAGCACGAGCCCCCTGCTTCTACTGCCCTGCAGCACTTACACGTGTGGATTTGATTGCAGTGTTTCCAAATGTGGCCAAATATTTAAAACTGAAATGTAGTAAAAACTGTACCATCTTTCATTTCATTGGCACTGAAGTTGCTATCTACTGTGGGAGTTTTAATGCTCTGCTTTTGTTGTCTCTTAATATCATTTCTATGTATGAAAGTGAAACTTTTTGGAATCCAGCTGGGTATTTGCAGCTGATGTATTGATTCCTGCCAGGAAAGCCATGTTAGCTGAAATGGGCTGGAAGCAGCAGCTTTGAAGCTTGAGATGGGGAGAGCCCCGGGAGATCCATGTTACTGCCTACCAGGTAGCCAGAATAAAAGCCATTAAAATAGTTTGGACATTTCCTCCCTATTTCCATTGCCCACTTGATTTTTTATCCTTCCCTCTAGCACCACTTTTTGGATAACTACTCCTCCCTTCCCTTGGCTGTCACCACATTGCTGTGGTACAAGATTGTCAGTTGTAGCAAGTTGCAAATGGTTGGCCCTGCTCAGCCCTGACCCAGAGATGTGATTGCAGCTGAGATGCTCTTTCAGGGCAAAAGGGCAGATCCTACTCACTGAGTTTACTTAGTGCCCAACCACAATCTTAGGAGTTGTGATGTATCACAGCAAGTTCCTTCTTCTGAGCAAAGTTGAATTAGTTTTACTCTCTTGAGGATTGTTGCAGTAATGCAGATGGTTTGGCTAAATTTTAGGGTGGGTAATTGGACATTTGCTGCTCAGAATTCCCACAGCAATTCCATTTGGATGTAGGATTGGTGGGTTTTTTCTCTGGTGAAAAGGCAAACAGTTACAAGAGCAGCTCAGTGCAGGAGTGGAAGCATTTGCTGTGCTTTGCAGCACTTCACTGGTTGAAGCAAGAAGTTGGTGTCTGAAAATGCCCTAAAGGCAGGCAGGGAAATTCTGCTCCTAGGTAGAAACCAAACATGAGACAAAGAGCATAACCTGCAAAACAGAGCCAGAAAAAGGAACCTGGGTCTGTGCCAGTCTGTGTGCCAGCTGGGGGGAACTGGGAATGCTGCCCTTCTGGAGCATCTAGACAGGTCAAAATACTGGCATGAGAATATCAGAAAGTGAGACCAGAGCAATCATTTGCTGAAGGAACAAGTGCTCAGGCTGATAATCTGCAGTCCAAAGTAATCTTTGAACTCAGGCAGACTCTTGGCCGCTTGGCCACTTCCTTTGAGAGTGGACTCTTGACAAGTACCAGACTCAGCAAAGAGTGAGGCTGAAGGGTGATGGTCCCCAAGCCAGGCAGGTGAAGCACACAGAGATAAATGTGCTGTGTCAGTCAGTGTGAGCTGGGGCATCAAAGAGAAAAATGACATAAAAGCAGTCAGTTACCCATCCTGAGTGTCACCAGAGCAGGTTTTTCAACCAGAGGGAGCAATGACAGCACTGCTCAGATACTGCTTCCAGAGAAAAGGAGGCAGTATTTGAGCAGGAGATGAATGAGGTTTTAGCTTCAACACACACGGGACAACTGTTACATCTCAGCTGAATGCTCCTGAATGTTACTGTTGTGCTTCCAGAGGCACCTTGATTCATTTCAAAAGAATAAACATTAAAAGTAAAATTTCAGGTCACTGCAAGAGCAAGTTATCCCTGTGAAAGGAAGAAGTGTGTTAATGGCTAAGTGGGAAAGAGAAAATGTGAAAGAATAGAGGCAAAAGAGTATCTGTGACTAGGTTCAGTTTGAAAAGTATCCGTGAGTAGGCTCTGTGTCAAAACTCTTGCTCATGATAAAAAAAGTGCCTGTACTGGTGGAGCATTTACTGGAATTGTCAAGGGGGAAACTGAGAATATCTTCAGTGCTGTAAGTGCCCTAATGATTAGGGAAGGAGTTCATGTCCCTGGGAGCTTCCCCTTCTCCAAAGGCATGGCTTGCAAGTGAGATAACCAAGAGAATGAATGTGACCCTTAGGGAACCCAAGGGAACTCTTGCCCTCCAAAAGGAGGTTAATATATGTTTATACATATATATTTATGTATATGCCTAAAGGAAACATTTTCTAGAACCAGAAAATACAAGTGTTTAGGATTGGATAAAAAAGAAACCAAGTGGTTTTAGGTTAGAAGGCCTGTGGCAAGTGCCCATAAAAATGTCAGCTACAATTTTGCCTGTTGCTGAGAAACAAAATTACAAACTTTCCCAGTAGTGTAGATTATTACTGCCAGAGAGAAGGGTCACAATAAGAACATACACTGTTAGTAAACAGTGTCCAAACCAACAAGCCAAGAGTTGCTATTGGTAAAGCTGAGGAGAGGGTTTGTGTTAAACAGGCTTGTGCTTACAACTCCCACTACACCCTCAGTGATAATACTTAAAGTGTTGCTTGGAAAACTGCTTATTTATTTTAAAATAAATATCAGAGAAGGTCTAAAATACTTTATTAAAGGCTCTGATGAACTGTAGGATGTGGAAAGTTTTCCAGAACGCTGGCAGGACATCATTAAGCCTGCAGTCCATGCAGCTGCTGCTCCTGCTACCTTAGTAAATGCCAAGAGCAGCCGTGTAAGGGCAGTTCAGTACTGAGTCATTCATAAATTGGTTGTACTTGTGCAGATTAGTTGGTTTTGTGTCTAGCAGTGGGAGCCAAATGGTTTCCAAGTGCTTCCCTGAGCGCCTGGCTGGCGGCAGAGCGTGTGCCAGATCCCTGCAGACACCAGGAGCTGGTGAGTCAAAAGCAAAGCTGGGGGTTGTTCCACTCCCGCTCCTTGGAGGTGCCAGAACTTTGCTTCCCACAGGAGCACTGATGAGCTATTGCTATACTAGAAATTTTCCAGGCCAGTCTTCCTGCAACAACGAGCCTGAGAATGATCCACTGCGAGGCCGTTCCCAATCTTTTAATCGATCTCCCCTGTCTGAGTGAACAAAGGCCCAGCCTGACACAGACAGGTGAGGGCAGCACATCTGAATAGCCTGACACAAAGTAAAATGACTGCAGCCCTATCTCTCTTTGTCAAATGGGTGAGTGGTGTTAAACAGGCAGTAAACCTGCCTGGCCTGTGGCAGCATTGAACTCCAGGGCTTTGTGAGCTGCCTGAGGAGGAAAAAAAAATAAAAAGAAATAAAAGCAGATGCATTTGAATGCCTTGCAGGCTCTTTGAGCCTGAAATAGTAAGCTAGAAATAACAAGATTGCTATTATATATCATAATGGCCAAAAGCCTAGCAGGAATCGAAAAGGATTAACATTTCAGAGAGTTGGAAAGAATATGAAGAGTTGTTGGTTTTTCTTAAAACAAAAGTGGATTGAGAGAGCTATAAAGCCACTTCCTCAGTGTATAAACCAGCCTTCTGGGGGGGAAGGGTAGGAGGAGACTTGCCATTGGCAAGGGAACTCTATATCCCAGGATATCCCAAAAATAAATCATAGAATGGTTTGGGTTGGAAGGGACCTTAAAGACCATCTCATTTCAACCCCCTGCCATAGGCAGGGACACCTTCCACTAGCCCAGGTTGCTCCAAGCCCCATCCAACCTGGCCTGGAACAATTCCAGGGATCCAGGGGCAGCCACAGCTTCTCTGGGCAACCTGTGCCAGGGCCTCTCCACCCAGATGTGGGAGAGGGCCCATATGTGGACATGGAGATATGAGGGAGAGCCAAAAAAGGTGATGTTCTTAGAAGATGTGAGAGTGTTTTTGATCTAAACTGGTTCTCACACCCTGAAACTGTTTCCAAAGGGATCTGACACCACAAACGCTCTCCTCTACTTCACTCACCCAGGCAAACAGTTCATGGTTCAGCTTGGTGGCTGAAGGAGAAAGTGTCTGCTTTCCAACACTCAGCACACTAAAAACTCATTCTAGACTGGATATTTTATAAGTTACTCCTTTTCCTAAAGAGTGACATGACTGAAAACTACTCTGACTTTCACCAGGGCATATCTTGATTAACTCTACTGAACCAACAAAGCACCTGAGCAGCACTTTGCCCACACAGTGACTTTCAGTGGGCACTGTTGCTGGAGTGCCAAGAGCTGTGTTTGCTGAGATGCCTTAGCTGTGTGTTTCTTACCTGGCTTTACTTTTTTTCCTTTCATTGTTGGAAATATTCTCAATATTTAAGGCTCTTGGGGCTCTAATCTCACCTTCCTCTCTCCCCTCCAGTGTTTATCAACTTGTTGTCAAGGAGGAGAAGCTGCAGAAGGCGCGGAGAGCTGCAGACATCATTGAGTGCTTCTCTGTCCCAGTGAGCTACAAGAATGCCTCCAGCCTGGACTCCCCACACTACTTTGCAGCTGAGCTGAAGCCCATCAACCTTCCTGTCACACAGCCCTTCACCGTGGGCGACAACAAGACCTACAATGGCTACTGGAACGCTCCACTTTCTCCCCTGAAAAGCTACAGCATATACTTCCAGGCACTCAGCAAGGCCAATGGAGTAAGTGCAGAGAAAACTGAGCTGGGTTTGTACATGTGACCACCTCTGTCTGTCCTGCTCGTCATTCTCCTTCCTTCTCGATTGGATGCCAATTTAACTTTTCCTTCTTACTACCTTCTTACAGAAATCTGATGAAAATCAAGCAGGCCATTACTTGTCCTTCACTCAATACCCTCTCTGATGCTTAGATCCAGTGAGAAATCTGCTGAGGAGCCTGACGCTGTAAATTGCCACGTGATTTACTAAATGAGTTGCTTAGAGTTTGGATCCTGTTTTTATCTTTCCATAAGCACAAATGTCAGAGTAGGGGCCATTGTGCTTTTAAAAGACATAACTGCAATATTTTGATAGTCCCCAGTTCACAGTGCTTGTGATTTTGGAGGAGATGTTATGAATTTGTTACCTTTTAGCTTGCACCTATGATATGAATCATAATGCAACTTGTGGTTGGGAGTTTCAGCTCCATTGACTCGTAGTGCAGTGGGGACCATGTGTGTGTCTGTCTGACTCCTTCTGAATACCCTGGGCTATATTTCTGCATATATTTACCCTGTGGTACTTGGTTTAAAATGGAGACTGCCCAGGAAATGTCTGTCCTATTCTCAGACTCAAATGACATGCACATAATGCCACAACAGATCACATTTCCACCACAGGAAGAGGAGAGGCTTCTTTTTGCTCTTCCAGTCAAGGATAGGAACCCTCTAACCTTCTAACCCTCCTGTTTCAGGTTAGTTCAGCTACCAGTGTACAGGCCAGATGCAGGCTAAGCAGTCATCCACCTTCCTCCCCTTTGAACCCCGAATTGTTTTTCATCATCACATAACACAATACAATTTGCCCCTCTGGCCTCATGAAAAGTCTTGGAGCATTATCATGGCATCATGAATTTGGGTGGCAGAGTGTGTTATTAGCATGTTTTCCAATGCTTTCAGGAGCCTTACTTTAGCACAGATAAATTCTCTAAGACTCCACCTCTGAAAGAGCAACATTAGAAAAATAGTCAAAGGTGAATAGGGCAGGCTTTGGTCTCCACTTGGGGCAGTGTCTGTGATGCCCAAAACACAGAGGACTGTGCATGGTTAACAGCTGGCAGTGCCAGGGGGTGTTCACAGCACATCTTAGTGCTTCTCTACCTTCGTTTATCACCATTCTCCTGCACAGCTTCAGCTGTATGCCTGACAAGTACAAAATCTCTTCAGCACTGTGCTGATTTTCACCTTGGTTTCCTTTGTAGTCAATACAAGTTTCCTTCCAGCACTCCTCAATTAATTAAATTTTGGATTTGCCTTTCCAAAGGAAATGGTGAAATATGTGTATGTGTCTGTTCCTGGTTAGTTCCCCCATGTGTGATAGTTAATTGCCAGTGAATGGATCCCCAGGGAAGAAGAAACTTTTATTTGCTTAAGTACAATGTAATATTCCATAAATGATTGTATGAATGGAAACGTAGGCTTCCCTTGGCATTCTGGATTAAGGCAGCACTAATGGGGGGGTTCCTGCTTTTCCTGCATCTCTGTAGCTGGCAGGTTGCAGCCCACCCTACATATCAGGTGCTAAAGACTCCAAAAAGGATGATAATAGGAACAGGACTGTAAAGGGCTTTTTAAGCATAAGTTAATCAAAAGAGTCTTTATGCAACAACACACAGATTGTGACAGGATAAGAGGTATCCTGCCAAACACAGTAAATTCCTATTTCAGAAAGGCAATTTCCTCTGTATTAATAATTTATATTTCTACAATATGTGCTTATATATCCTCAAAGTGTAGTGCTATGGCTAAAACCATAGGGGTATTTGCAAGGCTGGAATGTGGATCTTCAGAGGAGCAGCTGTGATCCTTTTTGTTTCTTGGTAAAATTGTGAAACCCCACATTTCAGACATGAGGGTCAATTTGCATCCAGACTTATGCAGCTGTAAATAGTAAGTTTTGTTTCATTCCCAGAATTTTTTACCTGTGTCCCTGGTGTTTAAGAGTTCTGGGTTTTCACTTACGTCTATAACCTGAGCAGGTTATAAGACCAATGGTCTTCAAAAAGCCTGCTGAGAATTATGGCTGCAATGTGGCATTTCCATCCCTGGAAGTGTTCAAGGAAAGGTTGGATGGGGCTTGGAGCAACCTGGTCTCATGGAAGGCGTCCCTGTCTATGGCAGGGAGTTGGAACAAGATGGGCTTTAAGGTCCTTTCCAACCCAAACCGTTCTATGATTTTCGATAATGCACATCTGCAAAAAATCTGAAACAATAACAATTCAGCACAATTAAAAGAGAGCCTTATGTTCCCTTACACATGAAAAACTTAGCAGAACGTTGCCACTCATTTTTAATTAGGATATTCCATAGTTTCATTAATCACTGACAGTTGTGGAACGATGAAATTTCTTTCCACCCCTGGAACCTGCAATGAGAAGCCTTTGGAATTGTAGGACTCTGGGGAGAGCTTAATTTGAAGAAACAGTATGTATTTGGTCAAAAAGCTTGATTGGGAGAGGGTTAGGAGCGTTACAGGAGTTCTGCATTGTTCCAGCTCCTCTGTACTTCGAGGGCTGTGCTCATTTGGTGTTCCCGTCTGCTCTGCAGCCATTAGCTGGGATTGTTACACTGAAAGGAACATAATTAACAGCTGGATGCAAAACAAGTGTGGCAAATTGCTGCAGAAGCAGATCACGAGCTTTTCTGCCTTCTCTTACGCAATGTTTTGCTTGTTTTGAGAGTTTTGAGAGTTTGGACGAGATCACTGTCGCTGGTGGGGAGTTGGGTGCAGTTTGGTCAATGTGGTGCTGCCTCCAGACAGGGGGACTGAGCAGAACACGTGTGAGACAGAATGGTTGTCAGCTTTGTTACACAAACCACTTCCAAATTGCGTGAACTTCCCTCCTAGGGGCTGTTGAAAGCCAGATGCTGAGCTGAAATGTGTCAGAGTTAGAAGTAAAAGCAGGGGAAAAAGAAAAAAGGGCCGTAGAAACTCCAGGCTGTGAAGCTGTGGGGGTGAGAAGCACCGTTAGTCACTGCTCAGTTGTTAGGAGTGAGCACAAGGGGTGGACACAAGGCTGGGCTCTGCTCTGGCAGGATCCCCACACACCCTGTGCCATCCAGGTAGTTCTCTGATGTTTGCTGGTTGTCCTGGTGCCACAGACGGCTTCCTGACAGAGCACGAAGGTTTCCTCCTCTGAAAAGCCTCCCTGAGCTCAGCCCCTTCAAAACACCAGTCCTGCCAGTGTTTATCCCTCTGAAAGGTGAGGCCAGGTTGGCAACATTGTGTTACTCCTTATCCTTTCTTATCCTTATACTGGCTTAATAATCCAAGTGAGATGTTGCAGGTTTTATTGTCCCCAGGTTCTTTATCTGGGTCACTGCAGGTGACAGTCTCTGGCTACTGATCCAGCAACACGCTCAGATGGGGGGAATTTTTGGCTGCTGTGTGAAGCCTGCCTGAATTTTTGAGTGGCTCAGAAACCAGAGCTTCCTAAAAATCCTTCCTGGAGTCGCATTTCAGCTCACTGAGTTAAAATGAAATCTGTGACAGCCCAGTTGCAATCAATAACTCTTGGCCATTTCTCCTCTGACTGGGAGATGAGCAGGAGCCTGTGGGACACAGCTGGGATGATGTGGGAGGTGCTGCCAGCTGCTGCTCCAGCCTGGTGGTCCAACAGGTGACTGGTGTTTCAGCCCAGAACTGTGAAAAGCAGCACTGCAGGAATCAATGAGAATATTATTTTTTGAGGGAATGATAGACTCCACAGAGATTCTGATTGATTTTTTGCCTCTCTAATGACTTGTACTACATGCACAGCCGGGCAGCTCATTATTATCAGGGGACTTCAGGCTGGATTTCTGGATGCTGACAGGTCTACTCACAGTACACAACATTCTTCTTCTGGGACATTTTGGAGGTGTGGATAGAGCTGCCAGCAGAGAGGTGGCATTTATCCCTGTAGCCAGGGAAAAAACAGGGAGGTACTTCAGTTCAGCACAAGCCCTGCTCTGAAAAATGAAATGGCACCAAGGCTGCCTGCATTGCTTCTGTGAGCTATTAACCAGCTCTGGGGAGCTCTGTGTTCAGTAGATTTTGGGTGCACAGTTTGTCCACTTACCTTTACTCCTTTTTAATCTCGTGTTGGAGCTGCTGGGGCAGAAATAAAGCAGCTGTGGAAACACTTTAGTCCCTGTAAGCCCCTGTTTCCACATCTGGTTGACCAGAGTATGTGGACCTGAGTGTTTTCTGGATGTAAATAAAATCCTCCAACCTTACCTCACATTTGAGAAGTTGAGAGGAGTGGGATATCCAAGATTAACTATAGATCATTGAAATAACTTCCTATTGGAAATAATAAAAGCCCTAAGCACTTTGTTAAACCTCCCTTCTCCAAATGACAGAGATAATAAAAATAGCTGATAATTGAAAAGGCAGTACTAGATTTTGCTTTGACTCTGGGAGGAACTTGCAGTTTCCTAGAGCTGGCAATAGAAATCACAGGGGAGTTCATTGACCCTGCACAGACTTATGCACATGATTTATTTCAAGGCAGCAAACCACTGGATTCAATGGGATAAAAAAGAAACACACAATCTAGAGCTCCCTGATTTGCTGAGGACCTCAAAACCGATTCTTCAGGATGTCCATTGGACAAAACCATGGTTTCTATCCTGTGGGAATCGTGTTGCCAACAAGGATGGTCCGTGTATGGCTCTGGGATGTAGGGAACTACAGCTGAAACTGTGGCCACGTGGGAGAGTGGTAATTACTTGTCTGGTCCGTGCACCAGCAGCACTTTAAATTGCCTGTGCCCAGTTAGAGCTGCCTGATGAAACTGTGCCTGTTGCAGGGCAGCCCCAATGGTGCTTCTGGGGACAGCAGGTCCCACTGGTGCTGGCAGGTGGCTCTTCACTGTTTAACTACTGTAAAGTCATAATAATAGTAAAGGAAAGGAAAAAAGGTGGGTGTGAAAACAGATGGATGAAAAGGCTTTGCTGCTTTTATTGTTGTTGGTAGTCTGTAAACAGCAAGCTGTCAGTTTAAAAGAGAAGGGGGAAAAAAATTCCTGTGCCCTTTTAGGTTGTGAAGATGCAGCTGTCACATAAACATATGTCCTGCTGCCCTCAGAGCCCTTTCCTGCAGAAAATTGTTCCCATCCAAACACTGAAGAGACAGAGGCAGAACTCTTCTTGTTACCATCCCTTTCCCGTCAGTGAAATGTGCATTTAGGAACCTCAGTAAGTGGTGGACAGCAGCAGCTCCTTTGCTTCTAAAAAGGAAGAAACAAGCTATATTAAAAGAAGGTTTAAAAAAGCCCCGAAAATCCAGGGGGATGCTAAAACAGGCTCATGGTGTGCAGCTTCAAGGCTGTGTTAGCAGAGAGGGCTTGCCCAGCTCCCCAGCACAGCCTGGGCTCTCTTCAGAGGGTTCCCAGGTCATGCTGATGGCAGGTCCAGGTCTTCCCTGCAGGAACAGGCTCAAAAACACGGACTCCAAAACACAGACCTCATATTGTGTGGACTTAAAAATATAGCCAGGGTTCAGCCTTGAGCGAGGGTAAACCATAACCATCTTTTATTCATATGGGAGGAAGTTCCAGAAAACAAACAGACACAAATATGTTCCAGTAAACAAGTGGATGGGCTTATTACACACTAAAGCTTTCTGGATATGGAGCATGTTGGAAAATGAAGGTTGGATCAAGAGCTGTAGGATGTATTCATGAAGTGTTTTCCTGTTCCAGGCTCTCAGTTAAAATATGCCTGCATTGTTCTATTGCTGTTTGGATATAAAATCTCTGCCTTAACCTGGCAGAGATATAGAGCCAAAGTAGTAGTGCTAGTGGCATCTTAATTTAAATTATTCCTGTGACTTCAGCCATAATATGAAATGGATAAACTGAATATGCAGGATCTCAGGTCATCTCTAATATTGTTGTAGACTTATAAGGCCTTGTAAAACTTCTGTGATATCATAGAATGGGAATTAAGTATCACAACATTTGAAAGAATGTTCAGAAACAACACAGAGACTGAAATTTGGGGGAAATTGGTTTTGTTTTTCTAAAACTTCTATTATTATCCCTTTATTTAATTATTTTTCTGGTCATTGCTTTAAGCAGTCTGGATGGATTATTGAGAATTACCTGCATTGTTTATTTCTGGTTTGCTAGTGGCTAAAGAGAAGCATCTTACTTTACTGTGTACAGGAAAGCACCTTATCTGAAGCAAAAGTAATATTTTTCAGAAAACAAACATGATTGTGGGACGGTGGTTTTAATGGGTTTTTTTGGGGGAAAAAAAGTGTATTTATTTATTCTGTTTCCTGGTAGAAAAGTTCATGCAAACTTACAATTCTCAGCCCCAAGCAAAGAATAATAGAGTAAATTTAAAGAAATTTTATTTTTGTGAGACACCAAAGAGATGAGCAGTGGGGTGATCCATGAAAGGGTTAATGGTAATCAATGGAATAATCAGCCCTAGTCAGGAATGTGGACTAAGTTCAAGTCTTTAACCTGAGTGCCTGATGTCTGTGTGGGTTCTTTTATATTTTCCTTCCCAGAAGATGCAATTTGAAATGAAGCCCTGAAATCCAGATGTCTGGTTCCTCCAGCGAGTGCTTGCCCTTGCTTTTGGCAGTGCCAGGTCATGGTCTCCTGATAGCTGTGCTTGCCTGTGCTGAATGCAGCCAGGGGTGGATGTAGCTGCAGAGAGCCCAGCCTGCATCCTGTCATCCCAAATCACCCCCGGGAGGTGTCCTGCAGGAACACACACATTCCCAAACGACATCAGTTCCAGCACCACTAACGAGACCTTGGTTTTTTTTTTTCTCCACTCATCTTAGCATTGACTAACTTCTCTACTTTTCTGTTCCGCTTTGAAACCAGCAGAAAGCAACAAATACACAAGAAAATTTTCCTCAACAAAATGTCAGCAAGTGGCCACCTACTTGTAGGCTGCAAAAATGCTTTCTGGATATTTTGTATTTTACTTTTCATCACTGATTTTCCAGGTCACCTTGTTGTAGATCAGAAGCTACCTCAGGACCTCTGTGTCTTACAGTTCCCAGCACTATGTGTGGAGAGTGTGCTCTGAAAACAAAGCTGTGCTTTTCCTGCTTCACAGATCACCACTTGCAATAAAGACTTTGAATTTCCAGAATAAATGGCCATTCAAACTGATTGCACAGGAGGCAGAGAGGAATGGGGAGCTCTGTGTAAAGCTCTGGTGACTTTGCAGTGCCAATGGTTGTGTAGGGAAGTTGATTTTTGAGGGAGAGAGGGCTCAGTGCACCAGAGATGTCTCTGGTTTACTGGGATAACAGTGATTGAGTCCCACTTGGACCCAGCTGTATGGCTGGGAAAGGATGTCCTTAGTGGACAAGGATTGTCCTTGGGGATCCAGGAATTCCTGAAAAGAGTTTGAGGGTGAGATCAAGGGGAGACTTTGTTCTTCTGGATATCTTGTTGTTTCTAGACTACACACAGCTTATATCCAGATAGTGTAGCTGGCTGGTATCTTGAGGCATCATAGAAAGGGATCAGAGGGAATTGCTCTTGTGATTCCCACTGTTTCCCAGCATGGATCCTGCAATCCCCTTCCTCTGTGCAATGTGTGAGGAGAAAGGCACGATGAGGCTGTGTGTGTGTCTGCTCTGGCCAGGGTCAATCTGTCACAGATGGAACAGATTTTCTCCAAGAACCAATTCAGACTTTCCCAGGGTGTGTGCAGTTGTTTGAGGCTGGAAGGAGGTGCTCAGCAGTGCGTTGCTGGGCTGTTGTTTCCAGAGCACACACAGCATCCATATGAATGCAGCTTTGTTACCCACAGTAATTTATGCAGCCTTCATTACACCTGAGACTTGTACAAGAGCGTGTACAGGCAGAAAAAGCTCCAAAACCCCCGCAACTGCCAGGCCTTTAACCAAAGCAACACATTCCCATTTGGATGCAAACTGTGTGTTGGACAACAGCAACCCCTGCCAAGAAGGGCTGTGGAATGAGGAGCTGGGGATCCCAGGAAGGATGTGTTTGCAGTGGAGGTGACCTGTTTGAGCTGGTAGTGAAGCCAAATACAACATCGCTGTTCCCGTCCAAGCTCCTGTTCCTGCAGCCCTGCAGAGTCCAAGGTGGACTGAACACAAAGGGCTGGGTTTTATCCCAGCTCTGCAAGGAAGAGCTGCAGTGGGGAGGGTTGTCAGAGCAGCTCCTTTGGCAGAGGCAGCTGTACAGCAGTGCTGGGCTTCACATCCACAGAGCCGGGATATTCAAATGACTGCCTCGGTGTCTGTTTGCCATGTGTTTAAATAAATACCCGATTTGCGAAATTTGCAGTAATGGTGCATGAAAATTAGATGTACAGTTGCATGTACTTTTGACCCAGAGCTTGTCAGTCTATTACAGAGCAGGTCATTTAACTGGTAGATTCTATTAGCTAATCAGGCAGTTACGTGGGACCCATCACTCACACCCTGAGCGTGGAGAAACGTGTTGTCACTCTCAGCTTCTCAACATTTGGAGAACCAGCTGTAGGCAAGTCCAATAGTGTGGAGTGTTTTCTGCAATCAAAACTTGGTGGTTTTTTTCAAAGATGAAGCATAAGAAAAAAAATGCATTTTTTTAGTACCTTTTTAAAGGAATGTGTGTTTATTGTAGATGGGCAAATTACACACCTTGATGTTTTCCTATATGTGTTTTTTTTCTGCTTTTATTTTTCAGGAAACAAAAATCAACTGTGTCCGTCTGGCAACAAAAGGTATGTTGGGTCTCTCTTTCCTGCAAAGCACAATGCCAGTAATGTTAAAACTGCAGTGGTGGCACAACTTGATTACAGTTACTATCCAAAGAACCAGCCTCTTTATTTCTTCTTTTATTTTTTTTCTTTTAAGGAAGATTACAAAGGCAGAACAACAATTTCCAGAACCACTCCACTGTATTTGTGACCTCTGTTACTTTTTTAACCCACACTGTCTTTTTCTGTGGTTCCTCCTTTCCCTTGTTCTGTCGGCAGCTTTTCTGTCCTCAGGACTGTTCTTGCTGTTGGCAGAACATCACTGGAAAAGTGACATTAAGTTCCTATTAAATTCATTCTCTCTGCAACTGTACAAAGCAGATAAGAGGAGATCTCCCATAAGCCTCACCTTGAACACACCAGGGCACAATTCTTACATCACACCATTTTCATGGTATAATTCAACAGACTGGTAGAGTGCATGGCTTATTTTTATTGTGGTTGGCTCAGAATACCCCAAACTGCCCCAGACAGACCAAACTGAGCAAACCCAAGACAAATAGCCCCAGGCTGGTTCACAGGGTGTAGCTCTTGAGGGAGAAACGATGACAATGTCTGAGTTCCTTCTCGGAGTTCACAGTTGCTTTTAACAACTCTTGTGAAGATTTCAGAATCACCACAGGGGCTACTTTGCCAGAAAATATGTCAGAAACCAATTTACTTGTAACACAGAGGAATAGCTGTAAAAAGATCTCCCCCAACACATGTTGTAGTCTCAGAATGAGCTGTAAGGAAATGCTGGAGTAATTGCCATGGGCTCTGCTACAAGTGACTCTCCAGTTCCAAAATATAGGGTTGCCAGCTTGTGCTCTTGCTGCCTTGCTGGAATGTCAAACACCTGCATTGCTGCCTGTGGAGGCTTTTGACAGTTTACCAAAATTGGCAGGAACCCAGAAATCCTTTGAGGCACCATCCCATTTTTTCCATTCCTTTCACTCCTTGTGGCAGAGGTTGATGACTCCAAGGTGCTTTCTGCTGATCCCTTCTGCACCTGCACTTGCAGATGAGTTGGGAGGGCTCAAAGAAGCCCCATCTATCATTTTGTTGGATAGCAGAAGAGGGCTTTTTCCATCTTCCTATGGAGACATGCCAGGCTGTCCCAGGAAGCCGTGCCCTGGGATGGCAGGTGCAGCTGTTTTCCCTGCTGAGACCCGGCACACAAACTGGTGGGACTGTAAGAAGTTGTGTCACCACTGAAACACAAGGAGGATGAGCCATTTCTCCCCTTTCTCCTTCTCATCTGTGGCTCTGGTGCTCCCCATATCCTCTTGTTCCTTTCCTTTTTAAAAGTTCCCTGTAAAATCTTTATTTAATTCATTCTCTGGGTTACAAACATTCTATGTGTCTCAGTCTATGTGTCTCCTTCCTCTCAGTTTTTCCAGCTGGTAGTGATGTGACCATTTCAAATACCTGATTTTGGCTTTCTGGTGGTAGAAAGGGCAAGAGCAGGACTGAATAAGACAAGAATGGGTGAAATGTGGCTCCACAAGGTTTTGCAAAAGCATGACTAGAAGCCTCTTCATGAGATCAGAGATACTGGCTTAATTAATTTTTGGAAACCTGTAGTTCTTCCTATTTCAGTCATTTATTTTTCTGGAGCTGGTGGAAGAATGGTGTCATGCTGTCAGGAAAGATATTTGCTCTGTGACTATTCAAAGGGAAATGAAAACTTACACAGCTTGGAAAATCCCATTCTGGGTTCTCGGTTTGCACTGTCTGATTTGGGTACCTCAGAAAGTGTCACAAAGGTGTTTGACCTTCCATTGACTTCTGCAAACTGATTTAATTTTCATTAACCTTTTAGGTCACCAGGAAGAGTCAATAAGCCACCCACCCTCCTTCTGTTGTTTCTGAATACTGTGTCTTTTTTTTAAAATGATCTCTTGCTAATATTCATTTAATAAGAGATACAAAAGAGATGGGTAGAGCCTGAGGATGTCTAGACCCACTGCTTTTTGGTGATATTATTCTTGAGGATTTTTCTATGTTGACATGAATGGAAAAGGACAAGAAATGATGGTAGTTCTAGTGTTTATTGTCACTGTCTCAATTCATATCACTTTTGATTTATGGGCAGATATCTTATTCCTGTACGTGGAGTGCAGAAATCTCTGTGGAAATTCCTTTGCTTTTCCTCTTGTCCTTGCTCTGAATTGCAATGCTGTGATTCTCAGGGCCTGACCATTAGCATGGACACTGGAATATCCAGCTGGGGCTGATTTTATGCAGTTTGAGCTCCTCCGGAGTGCAGTGCTGGTTGCTGCTCACAACTGAAGCAGCGTCACGAGTGAATTTGTGGTGTTGGTAACACAACAGTCCCTGCCATTGCTGGCACCTGGGCAGTGTCAGCTGCTGAGCAATAGCTGAACAGTGTGGTTCAGAGCTTTCCCATAGTTTCAGATTTCCCTGTGTCATGAGGCTGAATTCCCACCACACATTAACTCCATATGAACAGAAGGACTCAGGCACTGCCCATCCTGGCCCCTGAAAGAGGGGGGTGGTATCTGCCCTCTCTCTGCTGTGTGGCAATGCACAGAGACACCCTCAACACGGTAATTACCTTGTGTTCTGATCAAAGGCTGATATCTGGGATGTTCTAGATGCCCTACTGTGTCTGTGCTGTCTTCTGGCTGCTCATTATATTGATTATCCTTAATGGCATTGCCCTGTATTCACCTGTATTTGCATTGCTGTCTTGCTGAGGATACAATGAGCAAACCTGTACCCTGCCTTGAACAAAACCAATAGAGCTGCTAGTGAGGATACCACTGTGGTGTCTCTGTAGGAATCTGGGAAAAAAACCCACCCTTTTTTGGAGTCAGGATTAATCATGGCATTGACAGCTCTTAAAAGCTCCGCTTTGAGTTGGTACCAGAGAAAAAAGCATATTTTGTTTTGATGCAAGAAAATAAATACATCCTGCTGGTGCCAGACTAAATGTTCATTTGGGATTTAGGCCTAATTTTTCCATTCCTAGACTCTTGACACTGCAGTAGCTCCATTAACACTAGTGAAATGAGTCCTGATTTACACCAGTGACAGGAAGATTAGGATCCAGACGTGTTTAAGCGAGGCAAGTATTCTCTTGAAGTGCTGGATTAACAAGGGCACTAAACGTGAGTGTGGGAGTAATTAGGCAGTGAAATGTGTTAGGCATGTGTTACTGGGGGATTATAACACATCTTGGGTGTTGCTGCAAGGCACCTGTTCAGAAGCTGAGTCGCTTTAATTACTGGAGAGACACACGAGGCTGTTCCGCTGTCGCTCCTCCAGCAGCCTGGGAGCCAATTTGCTTTGTATGTCCCATTGCCTCAACACCAAGGAAATGAAAGCATAGAACTCTTTAAAAAAGAGTTTTAGTCCATTACAGAAAGTTTTGGAGGTTTCCCAGTTTTCTTTTCTCTATTAGCAAGAAATAGGCCATTCAGATCGACCCCTTTCCAGTTCAGCCCAGCTCCACGCAGGAGCTGCTTTCCAGCTCTCTGGGGCTTCACTCCCTGCATGGTTCCCTGTGTGCTGCTTCTGGTTAGATGAATGTGGTTCTTGTGGTAGCAAGAAAAAGCTCTCAAATCTTTCTGTTTGGGGTTCTGAAATGTCAGGAGGTGGGGGCAGTGTCAGCGTTTCAGAGCGCCAGGTCATGGCATCCTTCAAAGCACAGCTGGGAGATCCTCGACTGGGTCAGCACATGTTTAATAGACATGGGGCAGCACATCTGTGAGCTCATTTCCTTCCATCCAGTGCTTCCATATAGGAGCTGACTGATGCCTGTGGGAAGGGCTGGTGGCAGGGACTCCCTGTCAGCCTTTGCTGTGGTGCCATTTGAGGATCCATCAGAAAGCTCCCTGCGTTTGTCCAGTCTGTGCAGCACATCCCACGTTTTGCCAGCATGTTTGAAATCCACAAACGTTATTAACCTTTTGTATCTACGTGTGTATTTATTTTCAGATTCATTGCTCTCAGATTTCTTGCCACTTCCCTCCTCACATGGGCTACTCCTCTTTTTTTTAAATTACTGGAGTAATGTCATCTTTCACAGCATTAGTCACTTGGATGCATCTCATTAGCATAAAACACTCTTTAAAAATAAGTTTCTAATTAAACCCCAATTTACCAGCTCTCTGCCATGCAGTTTTCATTCAGACAGTTTATTTATTGGTTTTGCCATTTGGTTTTCTTGATAGCATTTGTTTTAATATGTCCCATTCTTTCTGAATTAACTGACTTGTTCTCCTTGTCTTAAAGCAACATATTTATATTGACACTTTATTAGAGAAAATTGTAACCTCTTACCAAGAGAGAGTGATTACCTCTTGTATTCTTAAAGTGCATTAAATTAATTTCACAGTGTAACTGAAACCAAGGCAGAGGGCTCATTAATGGTTCCTTATCTCCTGATACTCATTTCTTCTTTCTTTAAAATGTGAGTTCTTGCAAATGAAAGAATGGAACTATAATAATCATTATGAGGTACATTTTTATTTTTTTCCTTTTTTTTTTCTGTGCATGCTGCCTGGGAACCATTTTGCTTGTTTTTAGCAGTAATAGGTAGACAAGAGGTGACCACGCGAAACCCGCCCAGCCTCTTGAGCACAGGTGATTATCAGTTCAGGAGAAGGAAAACTGGTCAACCTTCCAGAGGTCTGAGCAGCTTCATGACTTCTTGTTTCATATTTGTTTTGCATGAGAAAATACTTTTATAATTACTCCAATACAGTGTGAAAGGGGACAGTCCTTGTGTATCACTCCTTCAGCTCCGAGGGGGATGTTGGCTCGTGCTGAGGGTCAGCTGGGGGGGCTCAAACCATTTAAATCTTCACAGGAGCACTTGAGTGTGGTGGAAGAGCCCCACAGATCCCCCTCTGCACAGGCTGAATATCTCCCTGGGTGTGCACAGAGCTGAGCTGCATCTTCAGTTAAAGCAGCTCCAGAATTTGCTGGGGCTGATCTCACTTATTCTTCGGCAGCTGAGTGCTGCTGTTGAAGAAATATGGCAGGAAAATGAAAGCTTAGTTCTGGCAGCCCTCTGTGTAGAAACTGCTGCTGGAGTCAGAGATGCTGCAGGACTGAGCCTCAGCAGTGAAGTTGCTCACAGATCACAAGTGGGGATGTTTGGAGCTTCTCAAGGGTTTTGTGGTTTCATCAGATTGAACCCGGAGGTCTGTGTGTCACCAGCTTGCCCCCATCATGTGTAACACTGGGACCAGTACCAGTAAATTTGAACATGTAGAGAAAATTTAAACATAGAGAGGAAATCCCATCAGTTTGTGGAAATAGTTTTTTCTCCTTTGGCCTGATGTGCACAGAATGACTGACTGGGGTGTGGCAGCATTACATGTGATTAATGGGAAAAGGAGGGGAAAGGAGGGGATGGTTTTTCAGTTTTGAGATGGATTACATTTCTGTAGGAATGTTCCTGTTCTTCTCCCAGTGCTTCATGATTATTCCTGTCCAGTTATGGCTTCCTCACCCAACAGTTTTTTCAACTACGGATCAGGACAGCTGTGATGATACAGGGGCAGAAAAGTGCTGGAATCGCTGTGAAGTACAAATGGTTTTAAGATGGAAGAAAAGGTCCTGATTTTTGGTAGCACTGGAAGAAGGAAACTTCCTGAGATAGGCTTGAGACCTCATTTAAGAATTTGGGTCTAAAATGTCCAGGAAAATCTTGGGGCAGGGAGGAGACTGCAAAAAATCAGTGGAAAATGAGGAGGAAAAATGTTCCTACTGTTCACACGTGGTTTTGCTGCATATGAGAACTGTTCATTTAATAGCTCCTGGTCCCTCAAATTCATTGAAGAGGCTTCTTTTGTTTTCTGAAATACAGTCTGGGTTTGTAGACAGATAATGTATTTTTTAAACAGATCTAATCCCACTTCAAATCTGTTTGTTATTGCATTTTGTCTTCTTATACACTGGAATGTTATTCCTTTGACAGCTTTATTCTGTTTTGTGCTATTTATTTCAGAGGGGTTTATCACACTTTTTGAGTTGAATGCATGAAAATGTTCAGTTGTTTTTTCCCCTGAATGAATCTCTGCCTTCTAAAAGTTATTTTTTAGCATGAGTTTTGTGTATCACCATACACAGCTGTTAATAAAAGACACACTTATGTTGCTCTTACTGAAAAATACACTTCACTGGGAGATAAATCAAACTTCCTGGCACGTGGATACCAAATTAACCCAGTGAGCATCTTTATTTTCACCAAATTTGGTAGCAAGACTTACTTAGAGGGATTTAAAATGTCACCTTTAGGGGCTTCCTTTTCTCAGGGAGATTTAAAGTAGTGCAGAACCTGGTCTAGAGCTGGATGAGGCCACAATGAACTGAATTTGGTAACTCCAGCCCAGTTTCTAGAGAACATTTTCTACTCCAGAGCTCTGCTGCACTGCCAGACCCTAATCTTGGTCTCCTCAATTAAAATAAGCAGCTGGAGAGAAAGGAAGAAGAGACAGAGTGTTTAAGGTAAAATTTGGGATAGTTTAGCAACAGGAGACTGTGCAGACATCAACTCTGTGATTCAAAGCATCCAATCCCGGGACACACTGGATATCTTCAGAAAAAGAAAGATTTTTTGAAAAAGCAGAATAAAATGTATTATTGCTGTGTGAACCATGTCCTCCAGGAATCAAAGCAGGCAAGGATTTACTTGGAGAAACGTGGAGGTTCTTGTCCCACTTCAGCACCCACCTGGTGGGAAAGGATGTTGTTGGCTCTACATGGCTGAGGCTGGTTGGCTCTACACTTACTTTTGCTTCCAAATAAACTGGTACCCAGGCAAAGAGGGGGAAAAGAAAAAAAAAAATATGGTAGTTGGACAGTAAAGCCACAAGTGAAGGTAAATCAGGAAGGATTTGGGTTTTGTTTATTTAGTTTTAATGCAGGGAGCAATAGGTGTTTATTCACTTGTGAAATTTAGGGGCATTTTTTTGTCTCTCCTGCTTGAAGGTTTGCAGGAAGAACTGTCTGAATGTGCCCTGAAGCCTCTTCTGCACAAGGGCTGAGAGATGGGGCAGAGGAGGGGGAAGCAGGAGGAGGGCTGTCACATTTTGGACAGCAGAGTTGCATGTTCCTGACCTTCACACACTTACACCATTTGGGTGATCAATATTTGGTCTCTGTTTCCTGATATCTGGAGATCCTTTCTAAGGTGTTTCAGCCCATAGTCAGGTACTGTGGATCACTTAAAATGGTTTTCATAAACTGATTATCATTGTCAGTGTCCTTTAACAGCACTTCCAAAGGCATCACAAACCCAAGGCTGTTACAAATATATGATACCTCTGTTTCCTTAAATAGATTTCCAAACGAGCCAGTGTTTACAAACAGGGTTAATATTAATGCATGAGCTTCTGAGCTTCTTCCAGGAGCTGGACATTTAAAAACTACATGGTGATATTAGGATCTGTGATAACATCACGAGAGAGGCAGGTGTGACAGACACTGCTTTGTAGTATTGTTGTAGAGGAAAAAAAAAATCTTTATTCCAGGCATGCCTGAAAGTGCTGCTTCCACTTGGCAGAGTCCAGGAGGTTCCAGTGTTTCATGCAGCACACGTAGAGCGTGTGTACAGACTCCCTGACACACTGCCCAGCTGACTCCTGCTTGCTGGGAGAGGCTCAGAGCCCTCCTTTGCATGCTGCTCACTCAGCCCAGGGGTGAAGCCTCACCAGGCATGGGTTTTGTAGGTTTTTGTAGGTTTTTGTAGGTTTTTGTAGGCCACTGTGGTACTTGGAACACCTTTGACCAGTCAGGCTGGAAGGGTGATTTTATTTCAGTGTTCGTTTCCTACCCACCCCTTGACTTTGCTCGCTGGTTTTGCAGCTTCTGCAGCTGGTGTGGGTGTGGATTTTGAATGATAATCACTATGAGATCAGGGTAACTTCTTGGAGGGGACTGACTGATGCAAAGGTTAATTAGTTTTTGTTAATAGGGTATGATGAGTGTGTTATATGCTCACAACATTGTGCACTGTGAAGTTTTCACATGTATCAGTCAGAAGATTGATCTGCCCGTGTCTGTTTTGGACCACACAAAAATTAAGTCACATCTGTCAATTTGAACTTGTGATAACAGGAATTTTGCTTGCTTTCCATTTTTATAATATTGAGCTAGTTTCTAAATAACTCTGCAAAAGTGGGGAGTTAAAATGGGAACCTGCTCTCACCCCCGAACCATCCCATCCCTTGTTGTCATCACAGCAGCTGCTCTTTAGCTGAGCTCTTCTTTCAAGCAAATGTAATAACCTTTCTCATTCTTAGGGACCATATATCTGCCTTTAGCACAAATTAAGTGCTTCTGTTCTGAACATAGAGGAGGAAAAACAGGAAGAGAAAAGAAAATCCTTTGTGGTGGATTTGCCTGGGATCTCCAGAATCAATTATTCTCTTAGTGCTATTTTTTAATTCTCATCCAGTTTAGTGTAATGCTGATCTTGATTCCTCGCTGTGTATTTACCTTCATCCTCTCACAGATTCAACCTGTAAGCTTGAAAATCCCTCATACAAATTCTGGTTTGCCTTTCTCTCCTGGACTGCTTTGTTTTGCTGCTCTCTCTGCTTAGAATATGGTTGAAAGCTTTTGCCTCCCATCATTCTTTCCACTCTTTTTGACCTTTGTTGAAGAAATGAGTATGTCTCATTGTAGGCTTAAGCCTGTGCTGTATGCAGTCTTAATTAACTGGAGGAGGCAAATTGGTGTAGTGATGTTACTCTTTGTGTAATTCATTAAAAAAATGTTCACCACAAAGAGTAACATCACTACACCAATTTGCCTCCTCCAGTTAATTAAGACTGCATACAGCACAGGCTTAAGCCTACAATGAGACATACTCATTTCTTCAACAAAGGTCAAAAAGAGTGGAAAGAATGATGGGAGGCAAATTGGTGTAGTGATGTTACTCTTTGTGGTGAACATTTTTTTAATGAATTACACAAAGAAATAATCAAAGTGGAACGTGGCTTTCAGATTTGATGAACTGGTTCACTCTTGGCTTATAATGCACAGAAGCATTGGCTTTGTGCAGTTTTTTAGCCCCAGTACAATGGTGGAAGTTTTATACTGGTCAGCTGATGCCCAGGGCTGATGCTTGGTATTCCAGAATAGGATATAAAATGGTGCTTTCCCACCTTTATCTCAGTGTTAATCATTCTTGGAGGTCTGGCCTCGTGTCTGCATGTCAGACTCTGCTCCACAGGTATAGATATTATCAGGCTCTGAAAGCATTTCTATGTGCAGAGATGCTTGAATCATTTGTAGGCCACTCACATAGAAAGCACCATAAAAAAATAAATAAAGGAAATCATGTTTACAAGTGATTTGAGAATAGCTGTCTTTTGAATATAAGCCTCTAGGTCTATTAGGAGATTTTGCATTCAGTGTGCAACCTGACCATTATGTGCTGCAAAGAAATCATTCTGATTGAACAGCTCATTTTAATGACTGTGAACCCAATATTTTTCATTAATTTTTCCGGGTTAAATAATGCTTTGAAGTGATTTTTTCTGATTGGTTTCTGTTCCACGAGTGGATTTCTGTCTGAAGAGGTTGTGTTCTTAGGTGTTACATATTTGAAACCAAACCTCATCTGTGCCAGACTTGTCCCCTTGTTGGGTCTTTCCTGGCCCTGGAGGCTGAACCAATGCTTGTGTTGCTTCTCTCACTTTGTCCCTCCCTCCTTTACACTTGCACTTGCCCTTTTCTTGACCCTGCTGTCCTTAGAGCCATTTTATTTGCTTTCCCTTCTCCTGTTATGCTTTGGGATGCTCCTCTCTCCTACACAGGGACCCAGCTACCAGTGACTGTGGTACCACTTCCATCACAGGACTTCGTTCTCTGTGCCTCACCACCTGGAAATCTTGCACAAATACCTGACTTTTCCTCCTGCTTATGACTCTTTTGAATCCTTTTTCCTGACAGTTACATTTTTCTAAATGCAATTTTGTAATTGCTGCTTAAAGGACGTTTCAAATTGCAGTTTGTGAAATGGGTTTTATAGAAGAAACCTGTATTATCAGTCCTGCTTAGCTACATGCACTCAATAATCATTCATTCCTGGGCGTTTTTCAGAGTGCCACCTCCACAGAGAAGGTTGCTTTATATCTGGTGGCTTATTTTCAAATAATATATCCTTGCATAAATTGCTGGGAGAAAGATTGCCATGGTGCCTTTCCCTCAGCTGTTCTTCCCCAGAGGGTGGTTGGGCACTGAACAGGCTCCCTGGGGCAGTGGGCACAGCTCCAAGTCTGTCAGAGCTCCAGGAGTGTTTGGACAATGCCCTCAGGCACATGATGGGATTCTTGGGGTGTCCTGTGCAAGACCAGTAGTTGGACTTGATGATCCTGATGTGTCCCTTCCATCTCAGCATATTTTATGATTCTGTGATTCCACAGCAGCAAGGCCAGATTAGACCTTAATCAAAACCTTAATTAAACCATCAGTGCTTGATGATCCATAAACCCGACTTCTCCTGGGCTAATGAGCTGGATGACTCTGGGAAATAAACCATTTTCCCTGCTCTGCCCTCTTTGCTTCTCTGCAGCATCACCAGAACAGCATCTCCCATAAATGTGCTTCTTGTAACACCTTCTGTCTCACTGCAAGATGCTGGATCTGGGAACTTTGAAGAGACAAAGTAAATTGGATTGCTAGGAAAGGACTAAAGTGTTGAAATAGCTCTGAATGACAAATGGAGAGCTGGGTGAACGCTGGGAAAGTCAGATTGGTGCTGCTGGCCAGGCTTCTGGGATGGTGCATTTTGTACAGCACAGAAATGTGTCTCTCTGGAAGTAGTAGCCTGGTGTAGTAGATAAGCACAGATAGGGAGTCAGGGGACCTACAGTCTTCACTTCTCTGGCACTGTCTTCTATCATTTGCCTTCCTTATTAAGCAATCAAGCTTAGGGCAGAAAATTGTCCTGCTTCATGTTGGTGCAGTGTAATGGGGTCCTGACCTCAGCAGGGGCTCTGGGTGCCACTGGAATACACACACTAATAACAGTGCTGACCTGTTCTGTATCCTATTATTCCAGTATCCAGCTTCTGTTACAAGGACCAGTTTATTCCAGGATATGTGGTGGAAGTAACGACTAGAAAATATGGTTATCGTTTATTTTCCTTGTTTTAATGTCGGCAGTGTATAAACATTGTTTTTCATAAAGGAGAGGGTGGCCCCTCAAGTACAGCAGTGCAGAGCTTTCTAAGTGTATTTAAAGGTATTTGTATGAAATGGCCATCTGAGCAGTTTTTATGGGCTGCTGTGCTCAGAGGATTTCAGATCCTGCGTCTCTATAAAAGGAGAGAAAGAAAAGGGAATTCTAAAGCAGCATTTCTGTCAGGAGCAGCAGAAGTCATCTCCTGCAAGGACAGGGACAGCTCACAGATGTCCTCCTACCAGGATAAAAATGTTCCTACCTACAGCTGGTGGTGGGAGTACGAGCAACCAGAGGAGACTGAGGCATCTGCAAGGAAAATATCCTGGAATGGCAGGAAAACGAGGGACTTCTGCAGTAGTTTCATTGCAAGGCTTTAAGGATCCCAGAGCCAGCAATTTGCTGACACTGTCACATCTTCAATTCCTAGGCACTATTAGCTGAGACAACTTACAAATGGTTGGACTAGTAGCCTAAAGGAATTGTTGGCCTTTGCCAAGACAGATAGAAAGAGTTGCACAGAAGATTCGAGTGAATCAGTCACTGCAGCGTGGAGGTGTCAGGACGGATAATGAGCCTTTATCCTCCTTCCAGGACTGCAGGAGCCTGCAATGGGATGAGAAATACCAGATAAAAATACACTGACCACACATTGCCTGTAGTAACAAGCAGCAGCCTGGCAAAATCAAACCAATCGAGTGGATTAGAGGCTGGAGTTGACAGCACATTCTTGTTTTTTGTTTAACGTGGCTCACACTTCACGAGGGCATTCAGATGGTACAAAAATGAGGGGGGTCTGACTGCTCTTTGTGGTAGAAAGCCATTCTCCAACACCTGTTATTTAGGGTCACAGGAGTAACTGCAGCTCAAGTGAAGGACAATTTGGAGTACTTCTGACTTTCACTTCAAATGAATAGAGTTTTAGCCATTTTCAGGGAGAAATTGTACCTTTATCGTTGACTTTGTTGTGTGATGGTGTCAGGATTGCCTGTGTGATGGTATACCTCTTGGATAGATTTGCTCCAGGCCTGTAAGAGATGTTGTCAAATAAAGATGGTAATATGCAACTGATAGGTTATTTTATTTCCCTGCTCAGGAGTCCCATTAGGGCATTTCAGAGATGTGAGCACAGAAGTTACCAGTGAACTCTTAACTCAATGGGCAAATTGGTGAAGGCAGCAGAGCAATAGAGTTGTCAGGGACAAAAAGCTGAAAATTATATGTGTGTTTCCAAGAGCCAGCATTTTTTTGCTTGGTAAATATTGGGTTTTGCTCTGGCAGAACAGATTACCAGCTTAGCTGTAGGAGGAAGGGAATCATTCTTCTATTGCTGCATGTGGTGAGTTTTCTTAATTTTGCATTTCTGGTGTCAGTGGGCTGTGTGTGCTCTTCAAGATACTGTGGGAGGAGAATATAACAGTTTGTTGAAGATAAGATCCTCATCCCTGGAAGTCCATCAGCTAAGGCCCTATTCAGAATATTCAGAAAGCCCTATATTGGTATTTTATGATTTTGTATCATATTCTATATCTATATCATTTATATCATTCTGTATCATAGAATCCTAGAATGGTTTGGGGTGGAAGGGACCTTAAAGACCATCTCATTCCAACGCCCATGATTTGATTATGGTGACCATTGGGATTCATCCTTGCAAATAAAGATCTTTTAAAGCCTGTGCAGTTTAATTTGTGCCAAAAAGGCAGTAGAATAACCCAGCGAGGCTTTGTGCTGTCTCACCAACACATGACCTTGGTTGAATACTATCTCCCCAAACAACTTCAGGAACAGAAGGGATTCAGATTTTCCTGAAGGTCACCAACACAGAATTATTAAAAGAGCAAAACATTATGGTCTTGTGATGTCAGCCCTCTGTTTTCACCTTTGATGCCCTTTCCCTACTGCATTTAAGCTGTGGAGGAAGACTTGGCTGACTCCCCCAGCAAAGGTGAAGCCCAAGATAAGAGTGTGATCTCCTGTAACATGAATTCATTTAACTTCCTTAACTGCCATGGTGATATTTTTAGGAGTAGTTAAGTATATCAGGAATATAATGAAGATAGGCTTATTTAGTCTTTAGAGTAGCCATGACTCAAATCTTGTGGGGCTTTCTAAATCAAGCTCAGTGGCTTAAGCTATATCTGGAAAAATTCTGTGCAGCAAGTAGTGAAGTCAGCAAAGCCAATAATGAGCACTATGGAAGCAGCAACAGGGGAGAGGGCAACATTCTGTGAGGTGCTGTTAGTGCAGGGAGAAAAGACTCTCAAAATCAGATCCCAGCAAGGAAGGAAAAGCGGAAATGCTGCGCAAATAACGTTCCTAAATGTGTTTTGGTTTTAGGTGTGTAGGCTTCACTCTCAAAAAAACCCAGAAAAATTCAAATAGAAATTATGTTGTCTTGCCTGGGCTGCAGGAGAAGTCACACCTGGAGATGATCTGTGAGGGTGGGGAGGCCCTGGCACAGGTTGCCCAGAGAAGCTGTGGCTGCCCCTGGATCCCTGGAAGTGTCCAAGGCCGGGCTGGATGGAGCTCTGAACAACCTGGGCTAGGGGAAGGTGTCCCTGCCCATGGCAGGAAGGTTGGAATGAGATGATCTTAAAGGTCCCTTGCAACCCAAACCATTCTAGGATTCTATGTTTATTCTAGGATTATGTGGAGGGTGCTCTGTGTGTTGGTATTAATGCTTGTTACGTGTAGAATTGTAACTTTATGTTCACCAAAAAATGGGCCTCCAGTGCAGTGAGATATGGAGGTGTGTGCTGATTTTAGAGGGGAAAAAAGTTTCTACAAGTATTGTTATTGTATGTTACTGCAAACTTTTGCATTCATTATCTTGATGAGTAAGGATTGCACCTCCACTCGAGATATTTGAGATTAAAATTACAGCTGCTACTCTCTTGTTTCTGGGTGTGTGCTGAGTGCTTCAGAAGAGTAAATTCCCCATTACAGTATCATATAGTAAAATATTAGAATCATTTGCATTACACTGGGATTTTACACCCGATTACTGCTCTGAATTATCTGTCATTAGCCCTCATTAAAGGCAGATTTGATTAGATGGACAATTGCCTATTGCAATTTGATTGCAAATACGTTCTTAGGCTTTCAAATGAACATTTAAAGTGGATCATTGCACGATTTCCCTACAAACTTTTTTTTTTTTTATCTTCTCCTTCCTCTCCCTCCATCTTTTAAGGAGCTTCCACCCAGAATTCCAATGCAGTGGAACCAGAAAAACAAGTTGACAGCACAGTAAAAATGGCTGGAGTTATAGCTGGTCTCCTGATGTTTGTGATTATCCTCTTGGGAGCAATGCTTACCATCAAGAGAAGGTAAGTTTCTGCTTTGCTTCCATCTTGGACCTATTGGTTACAGTGTTGTTGTTTCAAAAAGAAGAATAAATAAAGGGAGATCAAACATTCCTTTTGTGTTACAGAGGGCAGCAGCTAATACTTATTTATGCAACATTAACACTTAAGAGGTTGTAGTCCCAGAGGAAATGCTTGTTCTGGGAGATATTACATGAGTAACAGAGGAATGGTTGTAACTGCAGAGAGTTAATGATCATTAATTGATAATTAATGTGAAGGGATAACTCATGAAGTAGCATGTAGAAGTACAAAGTGATAAATGGAGCACCTCCCCTAATAGGAAAGGTTGAGAGAATTGGGATTGTTGAGCCTGGAGAAGAGAAAGCTTTGGGGTGACCTAATTGTGGCCTTCTAGTACCTGAAGGGAGCTACAAGAAAGATGAAAAAAGACTATTTACAAGGGCCTGGAGTGACAGGACAAGTGGGAATGGCTTCAAACTGACAGAGAGTAGGTTTAGGTTGGATATTAGGAAGAAATTCTTCCCTGTGAGGGTGGGGAGGCCCTAGCACAGGTTGCCCAGAGAAGCTGTGGATGCCTCACCCCACCCAGTTTTCCAACACTTCATTCTCCTGATGTTTTGGCTGTCATGACTGTTACAACACAAGTTATCTCACAGATAACAGAGACAAAGCCAGAACCAAAAATACTCACGATGCAGAGCGAGTTCTAGAGGTTGGAGACTGAGGACCCACTTGCTCTATATAGAAGTTCCCAAACTCGTGCTGACCTGAGACAGTGCACATGTTTTTCTGGTCCCTGAAGCAGCAATATTTGGTGAATTTGGGTGTGATGTCCCACAGACAGAACTTTGCCACAGGCTCTGTAAACTTAGGCACCTTTCTTCAATATTAAAAGAAAGGAGGTGAGTGGGTGCATTAGAAATCTAAATTCTCCATTTTTGATTTCTAGAGCTGAAAAATCATATTCTCCTGTGTTGTTTCCACCCCCCAGTGCAAACAGGCAACATCCCTGCAGTCTGTATCTCTCTTTGGCAGTTTGCTGTCCTTGGCAAGGTTACCCACTGGAACCCACACTAAGAAATAAACTGGCTCACTGACTTTAAAATCTTTTCCCATTTAGAAGCTCTAACAGTGCAGGAGGAGGTTTTGGAGGCTGTATCACACCTCCAGCACCACTCCCAGACCTGCTGAGCCCACAGGTTCTGGGGCTCCCCTGGATGGGCAGCAGCAGTCACGTCCAATTGAGGCTTGGAGCTGCATATGGACAAGTGTTCCCTGAAGATGAACTTAAGCCTGTCAGGCTCATTTAATTTGTAAACTAATGTGGATTGGGACCTGCTTTTATAAAAGGAGAAGCTGATTTGGACCACAGATTGATTGGAACTTTTAGAGGTGCAGAGCTGAAAGTTTGTGCTCTTCGGAGAGAAGAGTTTAACAACAAAGTTCTCTTTCTATTTTACAAACAGAAGCACTGGGAGCTTAAGCTCTTGCATTCCACTTTTGCATTAACCTCACTTCTAAGAGTTCCCTTCTCAGTGCACTGAGACCAGTTCCTCACTGCACAAGCTGTGTAGTCTTACAAGGCAGCAATGCAGAAAAATAATTTAATTAGGTAAACTCGGGATGTTGTCTTCAAATGGAGCTGGAAAATATCACAGTGACATTTGTTCACAATCCAGGGCACTGCAGTTCACTGGGAATGGGCACAGGGGTGAATTTCCTCAGTGAAGCATTTTATCAACCACTGCAAACAAAAAAGGAGGGAGAGGGATTAGGCAAGACAGAAGCACTAAGAGAAGGAAGACACTGCTTTGAGATGAGCATTGGGATTGTCAGAAGCTTCATTATGTTCTTGTGAGACATCAAATCAGCAGCACACTGGTTTGAACCTTTCAGATGCCAGGCATGAGCAAGTCCAATTGCTCATAGTTTCAGCAGACCATATTGCAAAAATCCCTGCAACTCACAAATTTCTGGGGGCTGACGAAGTTTTGTAGGGTTTAGTCAGATATGTGAAGTTAATTAAACCAGTTAGAATGTTTATGCAGTGGAAAATTTGGGTTTGACTTTATGTTTATTATCTAAAAGTTTCAGTTGAAACCTGGGATCACTTAAAGTCTGCTACAGATTCTGTATGAGCATGTGTAAAACTTGTGTGTGTGTGTTTATATATATATATGTTTTAAATATGACTGTCTTACAGTATGTAAAATCAAAATCAATTACAAAGTCTACTTTCTTGGTTTTGGGAACCCAGTAGCTCCGTGAGTTACATCCCAGTATCATCATCACATGTGTGTGACACACAAATTGCTGCCACATAAGGGAGGGGAGAGAAACTGTGTACAAGCACATGTCATGACAGGACAAGGGGGAATGGCTTCAAACTAAAAGAAAGTGGGTTTAGGTTGGATATTAGGAATAAGTTCTTCCCTGTGAGGGTGGGGAGGCCCTGGCACAGGTTGCCCAGAGAAGCTGTGGCTGCCCCTGGATCCCTGGAAGTGTCCAAGGCCAGGTTGGACAGGGCTTGGAGAAACCTGGGCTAGTGGAAGGTGTCCCTGCCCATGGCAGGGGGGTTGGAATGAGATGATCTTTAAAGTCCCTTCCAACCCAAACCGTTCAGTGATTCTATGATAATTTAGCCTGTTAATTTATAGGTGGTGATCAGTGCCCACTTGAGTGTATTTGCCCATAGAAGGCAGTACTGTTTTCTTTCATTAATAGATACATATCTTGAAATACCTCATTTTGATTGTATCAAAACAATTCCAGTTCTCTAAGGAGTTTGTTTCTTTGTCCTTAATATTAGTTAAATATATTTGTGTACCAGAGAATACAGGATCTGTTAGTAAAAACAAACTGAAACAAGACGTTTGTAAACTTCTTTTTAGGAAAAAATACCCTTTGACTTTGCCCCCCAAAAAGGTTTGATTTTGGTCAGTTGTGATTTCATCTGGACAGTTTTAATTCCGGTGTAATCGTGACTTGCATTTCCCTGGAGTGAAGAATGTGACACTTCTCAGGCTTGTGTGTTTGAGCAGACAAAGCCTCCACTGACCCCTTAAATATAAGGCTGAATAAATAGGATCAGACAGCCTGTGATGGGTGCAGTGTAAATAAGTTCTTTAAACTGCTGTCAGTAGCAAAAAAGGAGATTTGGGGCTATGTAGGGTCTAGGATTATTTCCTTCTATGAAAATTCAGCTCCTTATTCTGGATTAAGATTTAGGTTGTTACCTTAAACTAATTAAATAAAACCCCAAAGCCTCTTGGGCAGAACATACCCAAGCTGTAGGATAGAATCAGCAAAAGGGGTATTTGCACATTTGTTGCCCCATGTCCCTCCTGTGTCCATATTTAAGGTGGGACACAGCCAGGGGTTTTTGGGTTGTTTCATACATTCTAGGACCAGGTCATGTTTTTACTGAACCATAATTCAGACCAGTTTTCACAGTAAGCTTTGAAATATTCCTTAGGAAGTCCTTTTTTTAGGCTGCATATTTCCAGGAGAATTTGAGCCAAAACGGACAGTCCAATTCCTAAACACAACCCTCCTTTTGCTTGCCTTTATTTTCTATCCTTATGGAGCAGATCTTTCTGAGCTTTCCTCTGCAGCCTGGAGGGATGTGCAGCTTTTAATTATGAGAGCTGAGAGTCTGGTGTGATCACAGATGTCTCCTGGCCCAGACAGGAGAGCAGCAGAAAGAACAGCAAGATGCTGAAGGGAACAATTGCAGTGGATAGTGCTGTGTGAAACCTGGCCTGGCCTCAGGGGGGTTGGTTTAATGGAATGGTTTTGGGGGTGTAGGAGGTTCAGCTTTGTGGGCTCTCATTTGACACATTCTGGTCGTTTTTCCCTTTGTTCAGAGGTTATTGGGAACTTGGAATTCCACAGTGAAACTCAGTGGCAGTCACTGCACCTTTCTGCTGCATTCTACGGCACATGGGATTTCTGGGTTTCATGAGATAAGAGAATTATGTTAAAATACCTCCAGGTGTACCTTGGAATCCATGCCATTCCAATAGCTTGGAATATAACAGGAGTCTGGCCAGAATTTCAGGTTTATAGCAAGAGCCACCTCCAGGAAAACCAAGTCATTTCCATTTAATCCTCATGAACTGTCCTTAGCCCTGCGTGTGCACAGCAAAGAGGGTGACTTTGGACAGAGTGACTGTGCTGAGTCTGGTTCCCACGTGTGCTTATGGAATTTGTGTTTAGAGCAACCATGAAAGTGAACACTTGAACCCTGCAGTTGTATTTCTAAGCAATTCCTAGTGTTTGTAGAGTCTTCAAGGATTGGATTTTCAAGTTGTGCAGTAGATTGAAGTTTGTGTTTCGCTGTTTTTCCCTGTCTTGGCCATTGCTGCTGCTTTTGAGACTCCTCATACCTGGCAGGAGATGTGTAACACCCTGGGCCACATCTGCTGTGAACCAGCTTTTCAGAGGAGCCCTTTTCCAGTTATGAAAGGGAAAACATCACCTCTTAAGTTGTAACTGACTGCCAAGGCTCGGTCTGTGGCGCTGCTCAAACACATATCAAAATGTTCTGGAGATAATTGTTGAAAAACTGTGGTAGAAAATGCTTGCTCACAGTGACGCAGAAAGCTCATGCATACCCCCAGTGCTCAGCTCTAAATATGGAGTGATGCTTGAATTGGTAATGAACTATTTGCATTTCAGAGTTTGATGAAGCATGATTTATCATTAGACAATTTGCTCATTGTCTAAATATTCCAAAATTGTGGTGTTCTCACATTGGCGCTTCCCCTGTTTATTGTTATTTATATTAATAGCTCTGACATCTTTCTTTCCATTTCAAAAATGTCAAAGCACTTAACAGGCAAAAGTAAGTCTCATTATCCATGTTACTGCTGTGGCAAAGTGAGGGAAGAAAGAGGTGAGGGGATTTATCCATGGTGACACCAGTCAGTAGTAGAAGTGAAACACAACCCATCTCCAGCTCACTATTTTATTACTCACCACCCTATACAGCTCCTGGAAAAAGTGTAGGAAAATGGTAGCTCAGTACAAAAACCAGCACAAATACTTTGTATACTGAAAAGGAATTCTAGAGTTCTTATAAATCTAATTATGTGCTTTTCTTTTTTTCTCCTTTTGGATATTTTGTTCATCTGATTGGCCGTCGATATTTAGAAGAAATGCCTATTCCTACTCCTATTACTTGTAAGTACTTGACTGGGGATGATGTTTCTTGAGCATGCTCACCCTGTGGTAGTTCTGTGCTTGGTGGTATTCTTTTCTTTTACCACTTTTTTTTTACCATTCCATTTATCCTTGTCTTTCCAGCAGCTCGTGTTTAGTTTTCTCAGTTGCACACTTGTGTTTTCCCTGTTCTCCCATTGCACCCGTAATTGTGCCTGCAAACACATTAATGTCCATATATCAGTTATGGTTTAAAACTCTTCAAACTGAATATTCTTCTTTAGGTTGGATATTAGGAACAATTTCTTCTCCAGAAGGGCTGTCCAGCACTGGCAAAGGCTGCCCAGGGCAGTGGTGGAGTCACCAACCTGGAGGCATTTAAAAGACATGTAGATGTGGCACTTGGGGACATGGTTTAGTGATGGACCTGCCAGTGCTGGGTTAACAGTTGGACTCGATGATCTTTGAGGTCTTTTCCAACATAAATGATTCCATGATTCTATAAATGCTAATGGACAGATACAGTGTCCCAAGTGCACCTTTTTAACATTCCATTGTACGTAGCCAGACTTCAGGAAAATTCACACCTGAAAGATATTGTTGGGAAGCCATGGATACAAGCTTTTTAAAAATTCTAAGATTTCTGACAACTGCAACTTGACATGATGTCAGCAAACATCCCTGTTCCTGGAGTTGCCAGGTTCCCAGGGTTGGTTTAGATGGCTGGATTATGAAGTGGTTCAAATATTCAGATCTAAATCACCTGTCCAGTCCTAACGACAAGGCTGCATAATTAAGGCAGTTTTTAAGGCACATGAAAATGCTTCACACATTGGTATTTCCAGAGCCATCTGTTGTCTAAAGACTGAGGGGCTGGAAAGTAATCAGGGCCAAGCTGTTTCTGCTGGGATAATAGTTGTCTGAGGATCAGGAGGAGGAGAGGACTAGATCAATGATCTGAGGAAAGAGTCCTGGAGAACTGAGTTGGATGCTTTGCTGCCCTCAGAGGGTTGGGAGGGGTGGAAAGGCAGCTGTTAGTGCTGAGAGGAACAGCTCTGCCCTCTCCATCTCTCAGAAGCAGCAGCCGTGTCACTGCCATCCCCCTTTTCCCGGGAGCACAACCTGCCACACCTGTCAGGGCTCTGAAATCCAGAGTTGTCAAAAGGGCTCTGTCTGCCCTGCCAGTTCCTCCTGCTCTGCTGCTCCAGCAACCACATCCTTTGCCTGTTCCTACAGTTCCTCTTGGTCTTGGGGCTTTGTCCTGGAGACACACCAGGAGGGTGCTGAGCAGGTCAGCAAAACGAGTGTGTTAATGTGTTGCTGTTTGAGTTCTTCCCCACTTGAGTTGCTTCACATCCAAAGAACGGGGGCAGGAGTTGAGTCTGAGGATCCCTACGTACCATGGGTGGAGGGATCTCACTTTTCAATGACCTGTCAGAAAATTATTGAAAGAGGCCCCTTCCCCACTCCCTGGAGCATGTGAGGAGCCTCAGGACACCATCACAAACCTTGACTTTGCCCAGTGATGTCACTGTAAATGCAGAGTAACTCCAGTTCCTCTAGACCTCACTCTGCTTCTCTAAGGATGGAATTTGACCCTAAGTAGTCAGATGAAAGAGAAGTTTAACTAACTAAGGGATGCTTTTAACACATAGGTGCTGCTAGCTGCTTGAATTTCCTGATACAACCTTTCCTCTTCTGCACACTTGTCATATTTTACTGCTCTGGTTTCTTACAACCAGTAGCACCATTGCCTGAAAAATTCAGTACCAGGTTTTCCATTATAATTTTGCCTTCTTCCAGCAGACACCATGTGGTCAGTACGTTCCCTGCTCTACTATATTTTGAGATTTATATATTTAAAAAGATGAACCAACTTCTAAGCCCTGTCTGACCCATTTTACAGTGGCACCACATTGTTTTAAGCAGTCAGCTGAGGATTGCTCTGCTGGAGCAACCACAGGGATCCTTAAGGGGTCTCTTTGCTCTCTTGTAATGGCTTCTGGGGATCAATTTGCTAGAACTCTTTTTCTCAGGGAACAGTACAGTGACTCAGGAAAAGTGAAGAGAGAAACCTCAACAACAGTCAAGGCACAAGGAATATTCCAGTAGCGAGGGAAGAAATCAGGAGAATCCATGAAGGAGCAAACAGTGAAGTTTTATTGAGTTTCATGTTTCAAGGTTCACATGAAATAGGGTGTTGCATTGTGATTGCAGATGAAAATCTGAAGTTGCTAAGGACTGTGCAATTCTTAGCAAAGCTGATAGAAATTGCTACAGCCTCCCATAAGCAGAGAGGTTTGATTCAAGTTTATTTGAAATGTTGTGAAAATAAGAACAGCAATATGTATATATATATTTTTTTAAGTAGAATTGGTTTCCATGCTATGACTTTGTACCAATGTTTTAGTTCTGAGGCAAAATTCAGTTGAATGAGTTACCACCACTGAAAAGCAGGTTCTCAAATAGATCTGCTGGCAGACCTTTAAATGTGACCATATGGACTACATCACTTTATTTTTGGTTTCAGTTTCTGGACTTCAAAGTTGTGTTTCTTAGAGCAATTCTTGTCTACTTTCAGATAATTCCTCTCAACACTTTGTCATCTGCTATACTGGCATTTTTTCTTGTTAAGAAGGTCAAAATTCCCAACCTTAACTCTTCTAAACAATTCTTAGTGATAATTCTATTAAAGTCACAAAGAGTTATGTCATATGTAACTGGTTTTTACAGAGACAGGCCACAGCATTGTGGTAATTGGAGTTCTGCCTTCAGCCAGTCTTGTGTTCTGCTGAAATCCAGGGCTTAAAATCTGATTCTGCAAGATGGCTGAGCACTTTCAGCTCTGGTGAAACCAGTTAAAAATATTCATTTATAAGAGCAGCTCTTTTAGTTATTTTTGGTATATGTAATTATGGGATTTTTGTATAGCTACACTTGATTGAAAACTTCCTACAACATGTAGGAACAGGTGAAAGAGAAGGCCATAAAGGTCTTTAATATGCTTTAAGTGGAAATACAAACCCAGGAGGCCTCGATTCCTAACTTGTAACTCATCATATAATGTCCTTCAATTTACCCACCACCAAAAGCTGGTTCCTTGTGATTTGAGATCCTGGGACAGAACTTGTGTTTGTGCTGGGAAGAGGGAGCTGTGGAATTAGGGGTTCCTCTCCTGGTGCACTCCTTGCATCCCCATCCCCAGGGTGATGCCTGAGCCTTTTCAGAGGAGTTACTCTGTATTTACACCAATACAAATGGTGTCTAAGGTTGGTACAGAATTGCTGGCTGTCTCTTTGCACTTAAATGTAATGGGCAGTGCAAGATATCAACCCATCCACGTCTGAAAGCTTTTGGGTTTTTTTCCTGGCTGAAGCTGTAAAACACAGGCAGCAATTCATCCATTTTACAGGAGGGTTTGCCTTTAATGACAGACACCTCGTTTGCAACAGTATTTTCAACTGCAGCAACTCGTATCATGATTTTATTGTTTCCTCACCAAAAAAAAGGAATGGAAATGTTTTCTGTGTGTGGGTTGTTTGTTTTGCTTTGTTTCTTTCTCCTGGGCTGGGTAATGGCTGCAGAATGAAGTTTAATCAGGAGCGATATCAGACCAGGGAAGTGTTTCTGGAAATAGAGAGATTCATGTATGTGTTACAAGCACTCAGTTTAATGTTATCTATAAGAGAAGAGCACTCAATGGCCAAGATGATGTTTTACTTTTCCCCTGAACTGGCCAGAACTCCTTGGACATAATTACAACATAGGAAGCCCCTTCAACTGCCATTGCAATTTCATACCAGTTTTAATTGTTGGGTGGTTTCAGCTGGGAGGAATTGTCAAAGGTTATTAAGCTAAATTTATACTTACTTTTTTTTTTTTAAAGAGTTTGTGCTGAATTTATTTCCACTGTCTGTGGGACATTTGAAAAGAAAAAAAACCCTCATTATTTTATTTATAGGCATACCTTTGTATAACCACATAAATACAGAAATATCTCCATATATTTCCGTGGATGGTGGGATCTGCCTGCACAGGTCAGCTTGCTAAATCAGGATTTTAAGAAGAAACATTCTTGTAAGATGCTTTTCTCATTAAATGCTGGAAAAATAGAGTCGTTAATCAGTGGCTATGCCAGTCTAATGAAGGCAAATTAAAAAAAAAAAAAGAAAATGCAGAAAGTAGGTGAGATTTTATTTAGAACATGTCTGTGTGGTGATTGCAAGCCTAAACTTTGCAGGGGGCAGAGTTTGTGGCTGTCAGTACCAACACAGGCTTATATATATTGGATGGCTCTGACCTGTGTAAAGTTTCTAGGGTTGTAAGTAATTGTCTCCACAAAAAGTGATTGATTTGATCAAGTGAAGCTTGGATCATATTTCTCAAGACCCTCTGTTTGTGTGCACTCAGCACAAAATACTCAGAGCATATTTTGATTTACCTCTGCATTGCTTCACTTTCTCCTGTCAAGTGATGTTTGCTCTGTAACAATGGTCCTTGCTCTTCACTCCACCTGTACTCCCTGTGTTCCTGCCATAACCTTCCTTAGGCCAGGAATGCTCCTCAGCCCTGCTGAGGTTGCAGTCAGTGCAGGGGGAGCAGGGGATGAGGTGCAGATTGAAGGAGGACCATCAGAGCATGGAGGAGATTCCCCAAGTATCGGAGTGACGGAAGGCTCTGAACTCTCATTCCACTTGCTCTGTTTACAGATCTTTAGTGACCAAGACTTCACAGCCTGTCTGCCCTGTCAGCTTGAGAGACAGGCAGCTTTTCCTGCATGGAGTTGTCCCCAAGTTTCAAATGAACTGCCCTTCCCATGGCTGAGCCCTATTACTCACTCCCTTGCCCCTGCAGACAGTGAGAACAGCTCCCCTGTGGTGTCTTTTCATATGTTTGAAGACCTCTCAACCCTATTTGATTTCCTTTTCTCTAGATTAAAGATCCATATTTCCTTTGGCCTTTGCTTGTAGATCATGTTTTCCAGCTTTACCTTCCTTGTCCTCCTCTGTGTGTGTCCCTTTGGCACATGTTTTATTTGAAGTGCAGTGTTGCAGCAGAGCCCTCTCTTATCCTCAGTCACACCAAAAGGATCACCCAGGCCTTGCAGATTGTAGTGCCATGTATAATCCTCCCTTATATTTCACACCAGCATGAAACTGTTCTTCCAAAATGAATTTGTGATCTACCACAGATTGAGGGGATGGAGATCCTGTTCAATAGATCTTCTGTTTAACCAGTGCTCCCTGTTATTTGTATGACTCATCAGGGCCTGCCCTAAATTGCTGCAGATTTCATCATAAATAATGTGTGTACTCCTAGCAGTTTACTATGCACAGTTCTGCAAAAGGAGTTTTATTTTGTGGCTTTTTGAAACTGCTTATTGGAAACGAGGGCAATGTGCAATTCATGTCTGTGGGAGGAAATTTCACGTTTAAGTTACGTGATCTATACCTAATGTCTAAATTACCTGTGCATGCAAATCTGCATTACAGTGTATATAACCCATCCCTGGGAAACATCTAAAATTAAATCTGTCAACATAAACGTATGAGAGTTCTGGAGGAGTGGCAGTTACAGCTTTAACATTCATGTAGAATTGATAGAAAAAGTTAAAGAAGAGTTTGAAGCTGTTTTTAAAAAATAATCCCTGACGCTTATCCAAACCTCTGCAAAACAGGAATCTGATCCTGCAGATACTTCCAACAGAAAATATTGCTTGAGCTCTCTGATTAATACCCGTGGCATTAAATGGCTTGTGCTCAATACCAGGTTTGCATTCCTTGAGTGTTTAAGTGGAACTCTGGCAATTTTAATGTAGTGCTTCAGATTTTATGTCTGATAGAAGTTTCAAAAATAACTGAATCAAATCTCCATCTTTTTTTTTTTCCAAAACCCACACTAAATTGAGGTTCACTGCCAATACTTTTATCCTTGCTTTAGTGGGGTCACCATCAACTGCCTGATTATACAGCTGATTTCATTTTTTTTACTCAACATCGAGCATCTTTCTGTCTCATCCCTCCTGTGTGTGTGTAGTGCTTCTAAACATCATCTCTCCATTTACAAGCCCTACAAGGGGCAACCCACTAAACTCCATCCACGGACTCCTGTTTTCTTCTTCACACATTCCCCTTAAACGTAACCCGGCCATTAATATCACCTTATTCCCGTGCTGACATTTCAGTCTCTTCACCCTGTGTTGATTGTAGCACTCTTCTTCCCAATATCTGCCTGGGCCTTTATTTCCTGCCCTTTTCAGCTGCATAATGCATGGGTGGGGAGGTGTCTGCTCAGTGCCTGGTGTCAGGCTGTGCTGGGCACACTCTGGGCACCCGTGATTGACACTAATGCTCCCGGAGCAGCTTCATCGGGGCGTTGCAGGGCTGTGTTCAGGGGAGGCTGGTCAGTGGGGAGAGCAGGAGCCCTGTCACTGATGTGGCTTGTCAGTGATCCGCAGAGATCTCTATTTTTGGAAGCAGCATTTCCAGATGAATGCTTTTCCAATTCCTAAGGCATTTTTGACACACTGGGAAATAAACCTCTACCTAGCTGCGGGTTTAAGTCACATCCCTAACATTCTGGAAAGTGCTAGTCATTTGATTTTATAATCCTTTCTATGAATTATAATGATGGCAAGGACCAAATAGGCTTAGTCCTGTGCTGCCACTCTCTCCAGACACGGAACGGCGGCAGAAAAGGCACATTCAGAAACCGAGAGCCCCTTGATGTGTCTGGCGAGCTTAGCTCTGAAATCCTCAAAAGAGATCTGTCTTCCTTTTCCCTCTAAATTTAGATGGAGAAGTTTTACGTTCTTGAATAGAGAGGGAGAAAGGTGGAAAGTGATAAATAAAATTGTAGCGTTTTGAGGTGCCAGAAGCGTTTTGTGTTCCCTGGTCCCCCTGTGAGCTCCTGCGCAGGGGCGGCCGGTTTGTGTGGGCGAGTTAGGTTGGGACCTTTAAACTCATGTCACCTTTTCTTTTTAGGCATTCAAGCCAATGTTTTAGGGGCCTCTCTGTCTTCTACAGGACCAGGTAGAACTCCTTTGCATAGGGCTGTTGTAAGCAGGCCTTTGGGGACTAATGGGCTTGGGTTTGGGGTTATTTTTTTTCCTGCCTAGGACATGCAGAAATGTTGTTGCTCAAAGAGAAAACAAGTTTGCCAATTCCGGCTCTTTGTAGCCTGTTGGCATTTCTGAAAAAAATACCAGGCCGTGGGGACTTACAGATAATAACTGCCACAAATAATTGCATTTGGATTTAAAAAGGAAGTCGCCCTTCTTGACTCACCATTTTTAAACCTCAGTAGTGGTCGTCTGTAGGGGCTCACCCCAGCAGTCCAGAGTGCTTGTTATTAAAGACTTCTGCATTTTGGATTAGTGTTTCCCACTGAGAGATTTTAATTCCTGTTGCCAAAAGAATTCACACAGGCATGTGCTATTAGCAAATCTGAAGGATTATGGAACCATACAGCAGAGTTAATACACTTCAAGACTATTGCAGCGACCACAGGTACCACAGCACAAATAATAGGGGCTCCCATGTCTGCAGCTCTGAGCTAACATTGCCCAACACTGGAAGCAAAGCTTTTAACATCATTAAACACCAGCTTTTTGCTTCATCACTCGAGGACTGTTCCCCTTTGTATCTTCATCTGCAGGAGTGGGTGCACCATGGGGGCGTGGGGAGATCTAAACATGCCCCCCGTGGTTACGTACCCAATTTGAACAGCTCTGGGTTTGGATTGGAACCACTAATTGTAAAAGGCTGAACCCCAGCTGGAGGAGCAGATGAAACATGTGTTTGTTCTAAAGTTTGCAGCAAACATTCGAGTTTTCTCCATAAATCTGTGCTCTCCTGATCTGGATTATCCACTTGCTTTAAAAAAGTCTTTTTCCCACAGACACAGGCAAAGGTTTTAGCTGTCTTTGACCCTTCGTTGCAAACGAGTGTGACTGGCCAAGCTGCCCATCTCCTGAAGGCTGGGGCTCAGCTGTGTGCTTGGAAATGCCACTCTGTCATGTTCTGTGGATAAATAAAGCCTGTTAGACTATGCTGCAAGGAGTATCTTTTTTAAGAGTCTAATGAAGTTTAAAAGACAGGTAGCACTTACCATAAGCCTGTAGTTTTAGAGAGGAAAAACCTCTTTGCACAATGATTTAGTCATTAGGATTTTTTTTTCTTCTTTGAGTCAGAGGAAAGAGAGAAATCTAAAGCTCCTTCTTACAGTAATCTGTTTTTCTCCCTTTTATTTTGTTTTATTTTCTTATCTAGGGAAGTCGTGTAAGCAAAGTTCTTTGCTGGCGCCAGGGATTTGTGTGATATTTTTTCAAGGTGTGGATTGTAGAATGTCACACATTCATTTTTAAAGGGTTTTGCTCTCTGATACAAATGAAGCACAGGGCAGTCAAATGTCAGTGGAAGCTTAGCAGCTCACTTTTCCTGCTTCTCTCCATTTTCTTGTTATTAGCTGTGTTTGCAAAGGAGGAGCCTCTTATGCTCTCAGCTCTGGAAGTGTTTTCAGAGCAGGCAGCGTTTCTGCTTTGGCCAAAGTTTTTGCTGTCTCCTCAGAATAAGAAAATACCTTTTTTTCCTGGAGCACAGGTATATGTGGACATTTCTAAAACAGTTTCAGCCTTTGATTTGCCCCACCCCTCACTGACTGTGGGTCCTCAGTGCAGTTTGGGCGTGTATCAGGATTTAGGAGGCCGCTGCCCTCATTGCTGTGGTGGGGACAGGACAAAACTCTGCTCCAGCTCTCAGGTCGCACAGAGACAGGTCCCCTGGAGCACTCTGAGAAAACCCCTGGTGCAGACACCCCACGGGATGGATGCAGATGTCCCATCACCTCCGAGTGAGTGGTGCTGATCACTGCCCCCATCCTGAGCCCTCTGCTCTTCCTGGAGTGGTTTCCACCCTCTCCAGGGGCTGTGCCTATGCCACCCTCTCCAAGGATGAGGTAGCACTCCCACTGCTGGGGTGATGCAGGTTTGTGCAACAGAAGTGACTGGGAGGGTCAGCTGAGCTCACAGACCGGCAGCACGATGTTTGTTGTGCTCCACAACAGTTACATTCAGAAGTTGTGGGCTCTGCTCTCGTGCAGTTTGTCAAACACCCTGCATGTCTGACCGAGTGGGATAACTGTGGTTTGTCAAAATATTTTGTCGTTGCTTCGTTTTTAATGAGGGAAAACTGACCTTGGTTTCTCCCCTCTCCAAACTGCCCCAAAGGAAGCTGGCCAAGAAGCAGAAGGAGACTCAGACCAGCACGCAGAGGGAGATGGGTCCCGTGGCTACTTCTGACAAGACCTCCACCAAACTCAGTGCTGTGCACAATGAAGAAGCTTTTTCTTCCAGCTGCCAAGATGTTAATGGATTCAGTAAGTTTAACTTGCTTGCAATGGATATGACCCCCTTGGAGAGCTCTGGGTTCCTAAAAGGACCTATTCCTATGGGCCCAATGTTGAGGAGTTAGGAATGGCAGTGATAGAGATCCTTGCAAAATCTTCACAGAAATCTGGAATGTCTCTGACACTGCCCCTGTTTTAACTGTTAGACAGGTGGAGAGCATTCCTGCTGGCTCTAAATCTACTGAGAATAATTCATAGTCTGTTCTAATAACTCCATCAGACAGTCAAAGAGGCACATGTTTATTTGTTCCTTAGAAATATCTTTTCCTTTGTGAGTAGGAGAATCAAATCAAATCACTTAGCTGACTTGTAGGATGAAATAACATTTTCTGTATGAAATTGTTATGAAAGAAGTCATGGTTTCCTGGCTAGAGAACTGGAATGGAAAGACAGCATTTCTTCTTTTTGTCTGTGTCCTCGCTTTATTCTTCACACAGGTTCAGTAAAACTGATCTTAGTTAACACTTGTAAACCACTCAGACCTCTGTAGCTCAAAGAGTTTTGTGGGTAAAGCAGCACAAAGTCATCCTTTAGCCTCTCTAGATGCAGGCTGAGTGCATGGTGGATTGCATGGTGGATTTGTAAACTTTTTTCGTATTAAATAAATATAAACTTAGACACTCTGGGCATGTCACTCCTTCTTTTGACACTGAGCCTGCTAGTCTGGACAGGGAACAGCTCTGAAACTCAAGGGTGTACTAAAACTCTTTAGTGAACTGGTTTTTTCCCCTAATTACTAACATGGATGTGCTCATGGTACAAAATGTGTTTTTTCACTGACACTGATTCTTTGTAATCTCAGATTGAGTGGGACAGGCTGAGTGAATTCTTCCTTTCCCTCTCTCTGTAGGTCATGTCAAATTCCATCTGCACTTGTTGCTGCTGCCACTCTGGGTAACACACCCTGAGATGGATAAATAGGTGTTTGGGACCAGCAGGGCCAGCAGTGAACACTTTCCTCTGATATTAAATTGACTTCAGTCAAAATCTAATTTTCTCAAGCTCTGAGTAGCTCTATCTCCCGAGGAGGCAGCAAGAGTTGTCTGGGGTTCATATCTTTGAGAGGCAGGATAGCAGCAGACAGTGCTGGAGCAGCCACCCCAGAGCAGCCAGGGCAGCTTGGCTGAAATGTCCGGGGAAAATGCAGTGTTTAACACTTCCTTCAGAATCTGGATTTTCAAAAGTCTGGGGGTTCTTTTTCCAACCAGAGACAAGCTTGAAATGTGACCTCATTTCTTTCCCTTGGTATTTTGACAGACTAATTAAAACAGCTGAGTCATTTGCTTGAAATGGCAGCTACAGAATATATGCTGTATCAAATTTGGTGAGAAAGCATCCCTCCAGGTTTTCTCTTTTTTCAATCAGTTAGACCTTTGCTTGTCTGACATCACTGCAGATTTTACCAGTCTCCCCCTGTAACACAGCCTGAGTCAATCATGGGCTGACTCTTTTTGGGGTTTTCCCTCTTTATATCCATGAGAAATAATTATTAATGAACCTTCATGATTTCTCCCAGTTTTTGACTGCCAAGTCCAGGATGCTGAGGTGTTGGAGGTAAGTTCTGTGCAGTAGTGTGCACATGCTGATACAGGAATTTTATGGGTAAAAACCTTCCTTAAAAAAAGAAAGACATAATAAAGTTTAATACTTGAGGGTTTCTATACAGGCCTGCTTTGGAATAACATAATAAGATTAATTCTTAACTTTCCTGCTAACTAATGGAATTTTACTGGGGGTTATCCATCCTAGCTGGTGAAATCAACTGTCTTGAGCAGCAGTCAAAGTCCTTCTGAAATTGTCTCTTTGCCCCTAGTGGCAAATAGAATTTGCAGGTATCTCCTGATGGGGAGTCACCCTCTCCATGCTGCCCCTCAGCTCTGGGAGCCTGACTTGGCTGCAGCAGTGACATGGAAATACCCCCCTCCTTCTTGGAGAAAAGTCCACCAAGAGAAGCGAAGTGTTCTCAGTCCCAGGATCACCTTGGGAGCTCACAAAAGCAATCAAATAGAACACGACCACTTGCTAAGTAGGATCCCTCACAGTTATTGAGTGACTTGCAGACAGGTTTATCTCCAGAACACGTGTCCTTGCAGGGCTTGTGTCCTTCCCTTCAGTTTTGACTTTCTGTCACAATAATTTTGATAATTTTGCAGGCAGAAGAAATTCAGTGAGTCCCTATAGAAGCTTTTCTGTTCCCATGGTCCCTCCAGCTTGGCCAGGGCTCTGCTCCTGTGGCAGAAGGACTTTTGCTCTCCCTGGGTGAGCCCTGCCCACCCTCCTGCTGTAGCTTCCCTGTCTCACTGCCCTGTCACCTCCAGCAGCTCTCAGAGGTGCTGCCTGGTGCTCTACATCATGAATGAGATCAAAAATGAACAGCTGCCCTTCTGCTTCTCAGCCCCTCCTTCTCTGAGGAGACATCAAGACCTCAGGTCTTGCTGAAAGTGGTAGAAAATTGGGCATTTATCTTTCCTGGCCTGAAGCAAAGCCCCTCATCCCTCCTTCCATTCTGCAGAGTTAGTTGTTATCCAGGCAGGATTCTTATTGATGCATACAGGGGTCTAAATTAAAGAGGTTTTTTCATCTCAGCCTCTGTCTCTGACACCATATGGAATTGGAGAAGGTGTTTGCTGAAACATAAATTAGTTCATGGCTGGTCCAGCTTGTCTGGTTTTACTCAGGTATTATGTGGAGGTGAAGCAGGCTCATCGTAGTTGTTTGTTTCCTCAAGTATCATGCTTTTTAAAAAATAAAAATACATCCTAAATCCCTTAGAGGTAGATGAAGGTCCTTGGGTGTTGGAGTGTGCTCTTTGGTGTGCAGGAACATCTGGAGAGCAGCACAGTCACACGTAGATGTTGGTCTGTGCAGGGTTATTATGAGACAAGATGGCAAATTGGAGGCAAGATGGGCCTAAATAGTCCCCCAGTATCTGCAGTGACCAGAAGGGTGTGCAGGGGGTTGTCACCCCCCAGAAATCCCGAGCAGTTTGGCAGGGATGGGAGAAGCAGCAGGACATGAGCTGGGCAGTGATGCGCTGCTGATGTGTTCTGCTCTTCTGGCTGTGCAGTTCTGAAATGCCACAGACCAGGCTTGGCCAGGAGAATTCCATGTCCCCAGCAGAGCCATCCTGACATCCTGGCAGGGGTTCTGGCAGGAACTGTTTGATTCTGAGGATTTAATCCCTTAAAATGCAGCCAGTTTTGCTAGAAACTGCCTTATGAAGGTGTGCTTAACTTCTGTAACATCTCACTTTGGGAGGAGACCCCTTTCCAGACACCCTTCAGGAGTGAGACTGATACAGATGAGGTCTGTGGCTTTAGTGTTCCAGCATTTTGGAAGTGGGGGAGCTGAGTTTTGCAGTAGTAGACACTACTACACAGTTACTAAGGTACTCTGCTTTTATTTAGGAGAACAAGATGAGAGGAAGATGTAGGCAAGTGGCACTCAGGATGTTAAGGATCCTTTTGAACCAAGAAACATATAAACTCTCACCTTTCCATATCCTGAGTGTTTTTGTGATGAGTGACATGCAAAGGTCTTTAGATTTGCTCTGACTCACAAAAGATAAATACAGCAAGATCTGATTCTTACTCCTACCCCACAATTTTCACTCATAATCTGGTCACCTGCTAAATGCAGTCCAAGGACTTGTAGGGTCATGAATATGAGGTGTTTTCTTTAGTAAAAAAAAATTATTAAAAATAAAAAATAAACCCACATTTCATCAAAGGCATAAAAGGAAAATATACTAAATTCCCTTTTACTGGTTTGCATGGGATTTTTGTGGGGTTTTCTAGCACAAAAGAAATCTTATAAAAATGAAAGAAGAATAATTTTCAGACTAGGAAGAAGCCTCCACCACTCTGCATGACTAGAGGGATCTGTCATGTGGCCTCACGTGCCACTCCAGGGAATACAAAGAGAATTTTTAATGAAGTCTTAATCTCTACCCTGATATGAAATCCTCTCTGGACGTGTTCCCTTTGATTACAGAGCCGAGTGCTTGTAAGAACCTCTGGTTAGGAAGCAGCACTATGTACACATTTCATTATACAAGCCACTACCTGACTGATTTGGGGAAGAAGTTCTCCAAAGTATTGGGAAACTTTGTTGTTGTTGTTGTTATGTTTTCTTTGTGGTTTGTTTTTTTTTTTGGGGGGGGGGTTATTTTAGTGTTTGTTTGCTTGTTTTGGGGATTTTTGTTCATTTCATAAACCTCAGTTGGTAACATTTTTAATCAAACTCACTGAAGGGAGGTGTTTATCTTCAGCTGCCTCAGTAATTTATCCTTAGCAGTTCTGGAAAGGCAATAAGGCCCTGTGAGTTCTTTACACTCCCAAATTCCAGAAAACCTTCAGTCCTGCTCCAAGCCCTGAGCACTGACTTGCTCTGTGGTGCTGGGCAAACCAGTTCCTCTGTTTAGATGTTATTTTATGTATCTGCCAAAGTGGCCACGTTCTGAGTGTGGTAAGAGCAGGGTCTGATTTAGGCTGACAAAGAGGCCCCAGAGGAGAGAAGCTCTCTGACTTCGGGCAGCTGGGGCAGAGCTCCAGCAGACTCTAAACTATGAAAAATTCGATTGTTTTAATGTGTTTTCAAGTGGTGTAAGTCTGAAAATATGCTGGGAGAACTCAGAGTGAGAGCAAGTTCATTTACTAGATGATTATAAGCTGCTCAGGAGGTAATTCTGCTGACTTTATGGAACTCCCTAGACCAGTGACTTCTTTGGTTTTCCCCATAGAATAACTTGAAGTTTTTAAGCGATGTTTGCTCCAGAGATACAAAAATTGCTTCTGAAATTACTTTGATGTACACTGAGTTTTATCTACTTCCACTGGGCTGTGGAATAGTTTTTCCTGTGTTATCTGCTGTCATCTTTCTGATGTACTGAGATTTGTATTAGCTTGTTTCCCAACATTCTGAGGAGATAAATAAATGCCTGTAACTCTAAGAGTGAATGCAGAGTGATAACAAAAGGATATGCCTTCAAAAATGATGGATTACCATAAGAATGTACATGTTTGCTATTGTTGGTATAAACCAACCTCATCAATTTACTATCAAGACAAGAATCTACCGTGAAGATGTTGAGCCTTTCCAAAATTGTTTGATTAATATGGAAATACTTGATTTTATTAATATGGAAATTTGTGGATTCTTGTCCTGAGAAATCTGTTGCTTTAATGGGAAAAGGCAGGGATGCTTGTCCTGCTGAAAGAACCCAACTCACAGGGGAAAGGATTAGGGGCTTTACTGTGAACAGCCCTGGGTTAAAGAACAAGTCCCTTTTAATCTTGTGCTGTTTTAACCAAAAAATTGCTCCCCTGCCTGTGTATTTTTGTGGTTTATTTTACTGTTAATACTGACTTTCTGTAGTTTGTATTTTGGGGGTCATTTTTAAGAATATTTCTCCTAGAGATAAAACCATAAGTTTGCTCCTCTGGTTAAAAAAAATGATATTTAGACTAGAGACCTGTGAATGTAGCTGTATGTGTATCCCGTGTAGGAACATATTGATTTACAGTAACTATAATACTATATTTGGGGTGTGGAGTGCTTATATTAAAGAAAATCCATCATGATGACAATGTAATAAATGTAATATGCATGTCGAGATGAAAAATATAATTCATTTTGATAAGCCTTATATATCCCATATTACTGTGTTCTTTGAGGAACATTCTCCCTGTTCTCTTTCTCTCTCTTAATATATGTCTAAAGTCTTTTCCTTATGTCTTTCCTACCTAGCATCACCCTCTCCTTGTTCATTTTCTGTCCAAAGCAAAACCCTTCAGAGCAAATCTATGTTGAATTCCTACTACTCAGGTACTAGTGCCAGACTTTTCTTTCGTTTCTAAATTTCCTTTGCTTTTTTATGTTTCCCAATATGACCTATAGACTGAGGCTTCTGAGTGTGACACACAGCTAACCTGGTTTTCATTTTCTGTAACTTTTTTTCCTGTTGATCTTCTGTTGGTTTCCATTGATCCGTGTCGTGTGGGTGAACGGAATTCCATCTCAAAGTATCATCAGACACTGTCCCATCGACCACGCTGTTAGGTAAGGAGACAGGTATGGCGTATGGCACTGGAGAGCAAACACACTCATTGTATCCTGAAAATAACTTGGAGAGAGCACTGCTGAGTGTTTGGGTTCCAAAATCACGATTAATCCTCTGGTCGTGTGTTAATTGGAAAGCTTTCGTTTCATTCCTGTTTTATTACTGTTATTAATTGATTTTTTTTTTAAAGGAAAGAACAGTTCAAAAATGAAGGTTTAGGAATTCTAACAAGTATTTGGTGTTTCTTTTTGTGAATGAGGTTTGGGTTCTGGGCCAAATTCCCACACACAGCCTTGCCTTCAGCTCAGTTTTGACTCATGGAGATGGCTGTACCTGTGCAGCCAGCACAGAATCACAGAACTGTTTGGTTTGGAAAGGCTCTTTTTTATGGAGACAGGCTGGAAGAGCTGGGGGTGTTCAGAGCAGGCTTCATGGAGACCTTAAAGCCCCTTCCAGCACCTAAAGGGGTTCCAAGAGAGCTGGAGAGGGACTTGTGACAAGGGAGTCACAGGACAAGGGGTGATGGCTTTAAACTGAAAGAGAGCAGGTTTAGATGGGACATTAAAAAAGAAACTCTTCCCTGTGAGGGTGGGGAGGCCCTGGCACAGGTTGCCCAGAGAAGCTGTGGCTGCCCCATCCCTGGGAGTGTCCAAGGCCAGGCTGGATGAGGCTTGGAGCAACCTGGGCTAGTGGAAGGGGGCCGAAACTTAGATTCTTTAGGTTCCCTTCTACCCCAAACCATTCTGATTCTCTGATTTATGAGTTCCTCTGCTATGAAGCAGAAAGATGATGTGTGGTTGATCAGAATCTCACCAGTGGTGTTTATCAGACCTGTCATTTTGGATTATCTGCAGTAAATGCTCCCTCCCAGACACAGCAATGTGCAGTGACTGCCTAAAACATCACTCAGAACACTAGACCAGGATGGAATTACAACCAGTGGCTGTTCTTTGGCTTCCAGACTGACAGCCTGGGCACAGAGGCTTGGAGGGGCTGCCACAACACACACATTCATCCTGTTGTCTGTCACAAGCTGACAGCAATGGATGAGGCCTCTTGGAATGAGGTGGGCAGGGAAAGGAGTCCATTTTCCAGAAGGTTTGTTCTCGATTCCCAGAGGCTCAATAAAAAAGTCCAAAGCCAGGTTTATCTTTTGGCTTGCCTCAGAAACAGGGCCCTGACCTGCAGTTTGCTGGAAGATGTGAAACTTCTCTGTCTTGCACTCAGCATCTGGGAAAACATGATCATCATTTGGGGGAGCTGTTTCCCCTCTCTGTCGTGACAGAATTATGGTGTGAACTGCACATTTTGTCTTCTGAAGCTCGAGGAGCAATGAACAGGTTCAATCTGTACTTCTCATGGCAAAGCAAAAGCCAAAAAAGCCCCGAAAACTTTTAAAATCCCAAATTTTAGAGAGGAAAAAGAAGAAAAGGGAATTTAACTTAGGTATTCAAAACTCTTTCAAACTTTTACTAACCACTATATCTGAGTAAGGATTGATTTCCCTGCTTTACACACGGGATGTGAAGTTTAGAGCACTTTTAAGACATGAATTACACTGACTGGTCACCCCCCCAGTTCCACCTGAATTTAACAGGCTGTGAAACATTCCTTGGCACTGGAGAAATTTCTGTCTTGTGACTTGAAGACAAATTAAAACCTTGGTGTTCTGGCTTCTCAGAAAGATTCATCAGACCTTGGATGTTGCTGTATGAGCAAAATAAGTTTAATTTTTGATGTTCCTTAATATTCATTCCCAGGAAAGAGAAAGATATCTTAAAAGGGACATCAGTCATCCCACTACCAATATCCATCTCTGGGCTCTGCCTGCAGTTCAGTACTGTGTGTTCCCATCTGTTGTACATTCTGCTAATAAATGTTCTGTATCTGCAGTAGTAGATGACTCCCTAGGCTTGGCTGGGACAAGATTTGTTGATAGTAAGATCCAGGGGATTTTGGTTTTGCCTCTCCCCTATCCCATGCTTGATTAATCCTTTCTTATGTAATGCATGTTTTTAGTGAGGTCGTTTTCTCTTCCAGTCCCAGACAACTCTGGATTTTAAACGTTTCTCACAAACACCTTCACTGGAGAACTGAATGTCTGACACTGAGAAATAAAAGAGGTGGATGTCCACCTGAAGAGGAGGGAGCACAACCTGAGAGGTTGTTTTTGGGAGAAAATGTTCGTGGCCAGCAGCTCTTGAGGATGTTCAGAGGATCTGATCAGTGCAGTCTCTCCCAGGGAACCAGCATGTCTTTCCCTTGCATCCACTGTCATCTCCCAGCAGTGTGTGAGGACATTTAGCCTTGTTCTCCTTTCAGCTGCTCATGAGGATCCTCACAACAGGAGCTGCTGCCTTCCAGAGAGGATGGGGACTGCAGTGCCTTGTAGCTGCTTGCAGATGGGCAGAACAAGCAGGGAGAGCTCCTTGTCATGAAACTGGCTTGGGCTTAGAAAGACAGAGACATTTTCCCTGGATTTCACTCTTACTTAGCTTGGATGGGCTTTGCCCATTCTTAACCAGTCTGCTGTGGGTGTATCCACAACCTGGTTTGAAGGACTCAGAGGTGTTAAGAAGCCAATATCGCTGCTGTAGCAGCATTACTGGTTCTTTTAACTGTGGGATGAGTTATTTTTATGCAATGGAAGCTCAAAAATCAACGGCTTGACCTGTTCAGTTGTATCTGCAGCCTCCCAGGCCATGTCAGCCCCTGACAAGGAGCTGTGGGAGAGGCTTCCCCATCATTTCACTGTGCTGAGGTTGGCAGCAGAAGGAGCAATGGAGGGGCAGACCCTCGTAGGGATCCTTGAGCTGAACTTCTCTTACATTTCTTTCTGCCTGCAGAACATCAGGTGGTTTGGAAAACTCTCTTTTCCAGCCATTAATGGCTTCTAGTTTCCTGTGGGGTTTTGAAGCTGCCAGTAGTTTTTCAGCTGTAACTAATGAATTGCTCTGAAAGGTGGGTAGGTCTGGCACCTTCTTCTCACCAAGGAGACAAAGAGAGATTTGACTTGGCAAGGCCCACACAGCTGAAGAGCTGTGGTTACACTTGTCCCCAAATCTTTGCCCACCTCACCAAAGGAACTTTGTGCCTTTAACAGGATTTTTTTTCTAAGCTAACTGATGAAGAAAATGTGTGGAATAGTTTTTATACGATTAGAATGCTCTTGCATAAGGTGTTAACCAAGCAAGTCTTAAAAATCTCTAGAACCTGGAGAAAATTACTTAGTTTTTTAAAAAAATTATGGATATGTGGCTATTTCACAGCCTTTGAAATGGAAGGTGCATCCTCTGTTCTCTGTCAAGCCTGCTGTCAGAAGGCTTTTTGTTAAGGCTTTTCATAGCTCAGTTGATATCATTTGATAAGGGATGTTTTGACTCTGCTTTGCCATAGCACTGTTGGTGTTGTAGACAGTACATTATAGCTGGATATTTATCATATAACAAAACCTTGATGCACACAAAAAAGCAAATTATTTTTTCCAGCTTGCACCATATCCCTGGTGTAAGGGCAGGAGGTATCAGCCATGCTGGAGTCATCCTCAGGAGATGTCAAGATGACAACTCTTACTCTAGTGTAGAGAGACTGGCTCTGTGTGTAATTAAATCCATCACAAACACCACTCAAAACATAATTTATTTTGTGCAAAGGATGTCTTACCACATCTTATCACTTGCCAAGGCTAAGAGAATAAAAATATAAGCAGAGATGATAGGCCTGTCATTTCAGACACAGAAGGAATTCGTGGCCATTAAAGCAAAAGTTTTGAAAGAAACTTCTCCATGTATAGAAGATGACACATTAGTTCAGCTTTGCTTTTAGTTGTCTGAGGTATAAGTTGGTTTTCTGGTCAGGAGGCAACATCATACTCTGTGTCCAGATATCCCTTTCTCTAACTGTGCTTACAAAACAAGATGATATCTATAAAAGCATCTAAAGCTTTAATCCCCAAAGGTGCCTGGAGGAGCAGGTCCCCTCCCAGCAGCCTTACTGGGATGTTGCACAGGGCTCTGATCGTACAGAGTCACTTTGAGACTGGGAATCTAATTCCTCAGCTGCTCTTCATCTTTATCTGTGACATCTGTGGAGAAGTTTATCAGTTTTTCTGTGGAGGGAAACATATTTATTTCCCTTGTCTGGGTAGCACAAAAGTATATAATACAAGATGGTGTAGCAGCAATAGGCAGGCAATAGTATCTCACCCTCAGGGTTACTCATCAAATGGGGGAAGATTCCACCTCACTGACCTCTGCTCCAGCTCCCCTCTGCATGCTGGGCTCTGTTCTGTTTCTTTTGGCAAAATAAGACCTCAGAGTTGAGTTCAGCAAGTTCATGATTATTTTCTCCAGCAGAGAGAGTCACAGAAAGCACCATTTCATAAGCAGGGAGAGTTTACAAATATTTGAAGTCAACATAGTTAAATTTGATCCTCTGCAGTTACACACTAAACATGTGAGCTGAGATGCCTGAAATGTCTCCCAGTCAGACTAGTTATGTGAGAGCCAGTGAATCATTAATTTAATGCCTTCTGCAAAAATTCAGGGTGTTCTGTGAACTCGTAGGCTGATCATAGAATGGTTTGGGCTGGAAGGAACCTTAGAGATCATCTCATTCCACCCCCTGCCATGGGCAGGGACACTTTCCCCTACAGCAGGTTGCTCCAAATCCCATCCAGCCTGGCCTTGGACACTTCCAGTGATGGGGAATCATGAATGTGCCAGCATCTGAGTTGGCAGAGGGCATCTTAGTGTGGGGAGTAAGAGTATTGCACTGGAAAGGGTTAACAAACCGGGGTAACAGCCCTTGCTGTCACAAGCTGCTAATATTGGAAATGATCCTCTCATTAGGAACATGTTTCCAGCAACATGCAGAACACCTGTCTTATTTACAGCTGCACAAAAAAGAACTGTGGAAAACTGGAAATGGTTCTAGGAAAGGACCAGGACCCTGAGCAGCCTGCCCTAATGAGACTTCAGAAGCTCTCAATTGATTTACTTTATCAAAGAGGATCTGAAGAAGTGATTTGATCAGTGCCTGCATGGGTCAGGATTTCAAATGCTCAGAGGGCTCTTTAACAGGAGGTATAATAAGATTCAGTGCCTGCAATCGAAGCTAAGCAAAATCAAATTGCAATTAGGAAATGTTTGGACAGCGAGGGTAATTAACCATTGCCACAACTTTTGGGGTCAGAGTGGAATCACCACATCTTGAAATGTTTTAATTTGGGTTATTTTTTGGAACTGTACTCCATCTTTGGTATGCAATGAAATATGATGGTGTGTGTTCCTGTCACAAATATGAGGACATATGACTAGAAATAAAATGTGCACGTGAAGTATAATCCAAAAAGCCCCTATGCAGGATTCTGTATGTTTAGTAGTTTCTGAGCACTAGAGTGAATTATTTCGTGCAACTTTCCCACAAAAAAAAGTTGTTTTCTTGCTTTTCTTTTCTGACCAAAAACTCGTGGAAGGCACTGCCAAAAATTTAGTGAAAAGTCTTGGTCAGTTTGTCCTGCAAAGTCATCCTCTTCTGCAAGGGACTGGGGACATGTTTGTGAGAAGCTGACAGAGAAAAGGGACTGTGGAAAATTGCTTTGACTTGCCTTTAGTGCAACAATTAAAGTACAAGCCTGACTTTGCTGATATCTATTGTTGTCTTTTCCAGTAATAATTGTGCCAAAAGGAATGAGATGTGGTTCATAGCTGCAACCTGCAGGAAAAGCAAAGCCCATTTGCCAACCCTCTAAAGACTCTTTAGGTTGACTGTCCTAGTGAGAGATCACTTGGGTGCTCCCTCCCCTCCTACCTGCACTGTGAATTGTTCACAGGATTGCTGTGAACAGCACATCTTGGAGAGGGTGCCGTGCCTTTCTGAGCAGCTCATTAACCACACTGAGCTCCACACTCATGGGCTGATGAGATGGAGGAGGAACAATGTGTTACTTGCATCAGGCTTTAGTAGCACAAGGTGTAAACTCCAGGCTCTCCTCTCAGTGGCAGTTTGTCTCCCTAAAAGCACCTCTACACTTTCCCTGGCCCGGATAAAGTGCTGGTGCCAACAACAGACAGGCTGGAGCTGCTGCAGTTGTTGGGATCGGGTTTTCTTGCAGGTAGCACAGAGGATGTGCACGATGTGTTTGTCATGGAGGTCTGGAGGAGGTGATGATCTTGTTTCAGCTGTGTGTCACAGGGCTGAGAGTAGGATGACCCAGACTGTGGGATGCTTTTCTTTAAGCAGAAACACATGGCACACAAAAGGTGTGATGCCATGGACCACACTCGACATTCTTCCCTGTGAGGGTGGGGAGGCCCTGGCACAGGTTGCCCAGAGAAGTTGTGGCTGCCCCATCCCTGGAAGCGTTCAAGGATGGGGCTTGGAGTGACCTGGTCTAGTGGAGGTATCCCTGCCCGTGGAAGGGGGGATGGAACAAGATGATCTTTAAGGTCCCTTCCAACTCAAATCATTCTGTGACTCTCTGGCAATGCTGCAAGAGTTGTTCCTACAATCAGTGGGGTTTGTACCAATTTTTATCTCACTGACCAAAGAGACCAGTTGTCACTGTAGACTCAAAGGCCAGAGACAGACCCCTCTTTGCTTCTGAGCACCTTCTTCCTGTTCCAGACCCGTAACACGAGCACCTACTTTGAGAGAATTTATTCTGGAAGGGAGGGGGCACAGCTTTCCTGGCTCTCACATCTCCCTGTGATACATCTCTTTGAGAAGAGAGCCAAGTACAGCAGAATTAAAGGAACTGATGAAGAGAGAAATCAGTAATTGCCTGCAAAGGAGTTGGCTGATCTGAGCTGCATTTTACAGGTGGCCTGTGCTCTGCTGTGCCCTCCCTGTATTTGCTCCAGAACCACACATTAGTTTTAAGGCTCCCTCTCGAATAGGGATCTCATAATGTTTTTTAATTGGGGCTGATAAAATTGTGGCATTACTTGCAGGTTCCTGAGAGAAGCCAATTGTGAGATTGGGTTTGTATTAAACCTAATGATGGAAAATTAAGCATAGTACGTCTGTCGGAAATGGTCCGCGATAAAAATCTTCTCCTTCCCATTACAGGAGGTTAATAGGGAATAGGGGAGGAAAGATGCATTGGGAAAGCGAATCCAACTAGGGGAATTAATAGGCCTTGAAATTCCCTCTGCTCAGAGTTCTCACACTGTCATTAGTCAGAGCATTAGGGATGATTATACAAATGCTTTGGATGTTACTCTCCCTTAAATCCCAAATTTATTCACATTTTGTATGTGAGGGTTGCTTCGCTTGAGCCATAGCCCTGTAAATCTCCGAGTGTCCTGGGAATGTGACTGTGTTGATGAGAACCTGGGACCTAGAAATCCTTAAATTCAGGAGTCTCATCTTCAGAGCAGATGATCACTGTGCTAATTTATTTCAGAAGAGCAGGATGTGATAATTCACCCACCAGATGTTTTTATCTCACTGGTGATCAAGCAGCAGTGTCCACTGCTGGCATTCCTGTCTCCTCCTCACAGTCCTCCAGCTTCCAAACACAGCATATCCCTGTCTTCATATCTTCCCCCTAATCTAACAGTAAACCAGCTAAAGTGTTATTTGTCATGTTTTGTCATGTCACTGGCTCACCAGCTGCCAAGGAGGCAGAGGGATCCCTCACCTCTCTGCTCCTGCCCACCTTCGCAGGAGGGGCACGGGGAGCCCTGACTGCCTCTGATCCAACCCCACAGTGCTTCCTCAAGCAGAGCAATGTTTACAGTAGCATTCTGACCATATTTCTGCCTCACAAAAACCACCCTGAAATTGCAATTTGATTTATTTATTCTTTATCCCTTCAAAGACACGGCTGCAGTGTTGCTGACAAGGGGGGTGTTTCAGCTCGTTGTCAGTGAACAAGCCCCGTGTGTGCCAGCTTAAGGGGAGTTTGTGCCAGCTTAAGGGGAGTTTATCAACAATCCGAGGGAGGGAGGTTTTTTGTTTGCTAAAGCTTGGCTTTGGGTAAGACCAGAAAGAATTGTGTGTGTGGAAGGACCTGAGCATCTCAGATCCCTGTAATCACAGGAAAAACCAATGGTATATTTGGCCAACTATTTAAATTTGGTCAACTCTGGTAGATAAGAAACTGAATTTTTCATTTAATCTGAGTTCCTGTTGTTAAAAGTTGTTGCAGTCAGTTGTTTGGTAATTGAAGTTATTATTTAAATTCTTTTATATTAGTTCACTGGGAATATCTTGTTGGGTACACAGTTTTGCTGGAGATATGAGGTTGCAATTCCATCTGCACAGTGATAGATTTCTTTCAATCCATTTCTTTCAAAAAAACACCCTTTTCCTATTAAGTTTACACATCTGAAATTTAAATTTCTGCATGCAGGATAACTGCATTTTTACGCTGCTTTATTATTTCTGATGATATTCCATCTTTGTAATTGACATATAAAATTTTAGGCCTGAACCAGCGGAGCAGTTTAATTTACCTCCAGTGTCCCATGTGGCTTATTTGAAATGCTAATAATTTGTGTGCTGTTCACTTGGGCCCCTTTCAGTTATCTCATGCTGTACACCCCAAATGCTGCTTGAATCTCTTGCTCATCTGTATGTATCTCTCAGCTGTGTGCTTTGCAGGTTTGTGAAGACAGGTATGTAATTTTGTTGGAGTTCTGGGGAGCTCAGCCTTATGCTGTATCCTCAGCAGCCTGGCTGGCTGTTCACTCTGTTCCCATCTCTTTGAGTTTGTCTCCTTGACACAAGGAATTACTCCAGTGTGATTTAGTTTCCAGGCAGCTGAAGGCTGTTTGTTTCTTACTTATTTATGTACTTATATAGTGTGTGTTTCTTACTTATTTCTTTGCTTCCTTTCGCCTGCCCCGACCTACGGGGTGATGGAGAAACAGGTAAAACAGAGAATGAGCCTGGAAATACCAGAGTGGTGAAAGGTTGCTTTGCCTCCCTGTGTTTCCAACAGACAGCAGCCATGGAGAGATGCCCCAGCCCACGCTGACCATCCAGACCCACCCGTACCGCAGCTGCGAGCCTGTGGAGATGTCCTACCCCCGGGGGCAGTTCCAGCCTGCCATCCGAGTGGCAGACCTGCTGCAGCACATCACCCAGATGAAGAGGGGACAGGGCTATGGCTTTAAAGAGGAGTATGAGGTAAGAGGAACCTTCACTCACTTGTAGTAGAGGAGTGTAAGGGTAGAAGACCCTTCTGAAAGATTTATCGTGAGATCAGGGCTTATTTCGCTTAGGGAGACTTTCCTGCCTGGAAGAGGCATCTTTCCTAGAGACAGTTTTGGGTGTTTTTTCCTCCTGCATTCCAGAGAAATTTTCCCTAGTATGAGAAAAAGGTAGGTCCTTGCAGAGATGTTTGAAGGTCCCCACAGAGGGGGGCCAGGGATGATAAAAGCCCTGAGAAGAACAGGGGGGGTGTCTTTGCCCAGGCCCTGTGTTTGACAAGCCATGAAGGTGAATGTTCTTTAAGTCCAGTGTTCTTGACCTTGGAAATAAATTTTCCTACAGTCTTTCCACTGCCTGGCATTTTGGGGGTACCTGTGTGTTGTCTTTCTTCACAAGAAGTTGCACTCATGAGGGATAGAACCTTGGAAGGCAGGATAACTGTGTTTTAAAAGCTTCTTTTCCTTAATTCACCCTCTTAATCCTTTCCTTTCTTATTTTGGTTTATGAGGGCAGGATTTTACAGCACTGTCAGCCTTTGGTGGCCCTCAGGTACCAAGAGAAGGTGTTTATTACAGCAGTAAGTTGGTGACATTTTGCTCATCCCATAGCAGGTGCCCTCTCTCCCATAAAGAGCAGACAGTAAATATTTAACAGGTGCTGAACTCAATGCAGGTCGTGGAGTCCCACAGTCCCTTCCTTACTGATCTGCTTTCCTTGGGTAGTGTAAACCAAGCTGTAAGAAAAGGAAGGGGTTTTGCTTGAGCTTTTGGGGGAGCTCCAAATACTCCCTCACCATTGATCAAGTTTAATCACAGTGCCATGACCTGCATGCAGAGTTGTAAAGTCAAAGGCAGGAATTTGTGCAGCTTAAATGGAGGTGGAATTTTCCAGTATGCTCAAACCTCTGGCTCAGAGTACACTTCCAAATCTGTGTGAGGAGAGGAGCAAAAGGTAAGCTGGAAAAATGAAAGCAGTCCTCTTCCCCTCCATATCTTCACCCCAAAGCTGGAATGACCAGGAATATAATCCAAATATAATCCAAATGACCAGAAAACACAACACTGGGGAGGAGTTGGAAAAGGAATATACATTTCAAGCAGAGCAAACAGAGGAGGGAAATAGCATCAAACATATGTGAGGCTCAGCTCTAGCAAGGGATAATTATAATGAATGTAGTAAGCTTGTGGGAAGGCAATAAGCAATTAATATGCACAGTGGCATTAAAACTACTTAAAAATAACATAACAGCTGTGAAAAATAAGTTACTTAATGAAAACAGCTCACTTTTGCACCCTGCAAGTGAGAGTCCATGGGGTTTGTACCCTCAGTGCTGGGCTTTGCTCTAATTGAGAGGGAGTCTTTTCCTGGTTGTCACCAGGAGCATTTTGTTTAATCAGATAGAATCAAAGACTGTCTCATAGCAAACGTTTCTGGAAACTGTATGTTAACCAGGTCTACTGACTCTTGCCCCATAATCAAGCGTGCTAATTAAACTATCAATATAAAGAGCTGTGTTTAATATTGAGAAAGGGTAATAACTCCCTTAGGAGATTTGCTGAGCCCCCCCTCGGCCTCCATTTCCATGAGCAGTACCCAAAACTCCATTCAGCCCAATTACAGACGCCCTGAGATCTAGTTCTTGATGCTCAAGAAGAAAACAGGTGCTGGCATATATGTAATTTTCTGGCACCGGCACGGGTAATTATCAAAATAGCACATTAGCATGAAAAATGTCAATGCAACTTTCAGCTCCGCGAGTTGTGCCTTTCCCAGAAAGTGCCATCTACAGACGTGTATAATGACGGTGACATTCCATGGATTTGCATAATTCCTTTCTTTAGGAGGAGTAGCCCGGAGACTGCCTCGAGCTCACAAATCCCCTGGGCTGTCCCACCCTTCAATCGGCGCTAATTGCCCGCGGTTAAAGGCGTTTTCCAGGCTGGAATTGGGGCTTTGGAGCACGGGATGCAGGCAGCACTTCGGCTCCAAATAGCAGTGCCACAAAGGCGGGGAAGGATGTCAGGAAGCTCCAGGAAGGTGGGAGGTTTGAGCCTGGCTGAGAGTGGGGATCTGCAGGAGCACAAAGCTGCAAAATCGGCTCTGCAAAACGCTTTGCAGAACAGCTGATAAAATCTTAAAAAAGAATTTGATGTCTCTTTTTAAAACGTGTTTTCAGACACTAATATCAGTGTCGCCTCCAAATATGTTCTTTTTTTTTCTTCCAAGGAGCTGATTTTCTACTTACTTTGCAAATTGATAGCATAAATTGCAGCCTGTTTAGTGACATGTTACCAAATAATTTTACTCTCATGAAAAATCGCTTTGAAGGGAGCATATCAGTCACACATGACAATCTCTTATCTCTGTATATTCTCATCTCTGCTCGGTAACCTGGAAATTGCATTCCATGTTTGTTTGAAGGCTGCCTGCACCTCCATGTTGGGGCACAGGCAGCGGGTTTTACTGAGGGCATCCAGAAAAAAACCCATTTGTGGTGGCTCCACACCGAGCTGAGAAGCAGGATGTGATTGTGTAAGAGGTGTCAGTGCTGGTGTGAAGTGGATGATAACTGTGTGTGAACGTGGGAATCTGTCAGCACTCCCTGTGTGGGGGTTATTTTGGGCCTTCCTGTGCACCTGAGGGCAAGGTGTGACTCGGACCTTTTTTGGCTGCTGCTTCTGTTCAGCAGTGAAACAAGTAGAACAGAAGGGAAAAAAATCTTATCCGTGGCTCTGGGTGTAGATGGCACTATCTGGGATTAGGAATAGCCATAAACATTTAAACAGGACTCATTTAAATGTCTCCAGTTCCTTTTCCAGAACATATCAGCCCTGATTTGTTGTGAGCTGTGGGACTAGTCCCGTAGACTTACTGCAAGCACCAATTACTGGCTGAGGAGATAATAAGCTTAATTACCCAAACTCATTTTCCATTATGATTTAGGATGTCACTGAAGCACATTCTCCCGCTGCATTACTGAGATGGTTTAGCTATTTTGGATTTTGTGGCTCCTTCCTCAAGCACCATAGTATTGAAATTCTTCAGCTTATGGAAGTCACCTCTGGGGTTTAACCCTTGTTCTTCCTGTGGTTGAAAGAACAGATCCAGTGGTCCAGGTTATGATGTAACACTGCAAAATGAATGGCTGAAATACTTCTTTTCAGGTTATTTTTTTTTTAGCCAGAGCATTTTTTAATTCTGGCTCTCAGCAGAGTTGTGGGAACAGTTTTTTCCACCACTGTTGAGAAGAGAGTGACTGCAGGGAGAGGGCCAGGGCTCCCTGGCACAATTTGGGATGAACAGGGAGGCTTTTAACTGATGTTGTTGCCTTTGGCACCAATACTGCAGCATTGAGGTAGATCAGTGCAGATGAAGGATTCAAATTTTCGTGCTTAAATTAAAAACAAACAGCAGACTAACTAAATGCATCCATTGGAAATTTAAATTGGCTTGCAGTAAGCCTCTATTTAATGGGAACACTTCAGTCATGTTTGGGCCGTGGTGCTTAGGAAGCTTGATTGAGATGAATCTGACTTTGAGAGATCTATCCTTGTAATTTGAGCTAAAATTTAGATCAATTTATAGTTTAAAAAGCTTCACTGTAACCTAAATTCCACTGGTGGGAAGATATTTCAGTATAAATTTCACAAAACTTCTCTAAAAGGAGTTTAGAAAGTTTTAGAAGTAGAAAAAGCCTAAAAATCAAGTATAGTTTGTTGAACACTGAAATTCTGCTGTTACCAAGTCAAAGAAAGAAGGGGGAGCGTTTCCTGTGAAATATGGATTAACTACCAGTGCCTGAGTGATCTGTCCTGATTTAACATTGCTGATAATGCAGATAGAAACAGAATTAGTAACTCTTTTGCAGTTATGGAGGTAGTTATTGTACCAACAAAACCTGAAGGAGCAGAACATTAGGTGTGCTCCTCTTTTTGTGCATGCAACCTCATTATAATTGATATTTTTGTCTTTATTTCTAATGCAGTTTCAATTCTTGGTGCTGCATTTTTAGTGATCACATAGGAGAATTCTTTGGGCTGTACAACCAATGTACGTGGAGTTCATGTACCCCAGTTTGTTCATCTGATGTTTATAAAAGGTTTATAAGGTGCCCCCCACAAAGGTAGTTTGTGTTGCTCACACAGCTCCCTCCCTTTGGGGCTGGGCAGTTCTGTGGGAAGTAGAGATTTCTGTTGGATTGAACGAGATGAAAATTCCTGGACTCTTAAATCTTTGGAGGCTCTATCAGCAAATATAAAAACATCAATTTCAGCGGAGAATTTCATGTTCAAATCTCATGAAAGGATATGGTTTGTTGAAAAGAGATTTATTGGGCCTGAATGTGTTTTCTCTGGACAAGACAGCTCAGTCCACATGGAAGTCATGGGAAAGGGTTTGCTTTTATTTCTTTTATTTCTTTTCCTTTTCAGATCAAGCTCTAATTAGGTGCCTCATGCCTGTTGCCATTCTCTGGTCAACCTGCTGTAATTTGATATTGGTGGAAAAATAAGGCACCTTTTTCTTATGTCTTTGAAGATAAAAATGAGCCTTCCTCACCTCTCTTCTTTTACTGGGGGATGTTTTTGTTGTGTGTGGGTTTGTTGGTCGGGTGTTTTTCCTCGGGAGAGGAGCTGCTATTTGGAAACAACTGTCTGCAAAGGAAATCTATGTGTGATCAAAGCCCTCCCCAATTACAGAGTTATTACTCTTTCTCCTGGGTTTTTGAATGGGAACTGGCTGTCCCTGTGTTTGTCAGCAGTGCTCCTGGCAGTGCTGCAGTGCCTGACATTTGCTGTCCTGGATCCCTTTGGGGGACATTCACAGCGATCTGCTCTGCCAGGGGTTTGCTCATATTAAGTTTAATTGTAATGTCAGTGTTGTAGATCCTAATTGTGTCTCTCTGCTATTGCATTCAGGCACATAATAGACCTGGATGGCTTGTGAAGATGAATATAAATTCATTTCCTAGCACAGCTGCTAGCTGAGGCAGATATGATTTTACGATGATTGGGGTATAAAACCCCCGTAATTCCCCGGGGAGCAGAAATAATACAATTCATAATGTTGTTTTTGGTGATGTAGAATCATGTTAGGGAGTACATCTTGGAGGAGGCTGAACTATTGAGGCAGTTCAGGGGGAGTTGTTCTTCTCACCCAGGACCATCTTCCAGCCACCATCCCGTGCCAACTGGTGCTTTCCAGGCTCTGCCTTAAATTCCTCCCTGGACATGTCTCAAGGGGGAAGTGGCTCATTCCAGTGTGTTCAGAGCAGTTGTAGGGCCAAGCTGTAGGTAGGGTAGCACTGAGTGCTGCCAGTGTCCCTATCCTCATCCTTCCTCAACTGAAAGAGCAGATTTTAGGGAAATGGCTGTTTATTTTCATACTTCATGGGTGTGCTTCACCTCCTTTTGCCCCTCTTCCTTACACATGATCTAAAACCCCGAGCTGCTTTATTTTTCCTCAGAGCAAACCAGCCAGTGGATTGTATTGCATCACCCATTATTAACACAGAAATTGGTGAAACCACTGTATCTATTTTCAACTCCAATATGAAGGGCTGAGCTCTGCGTTTCAGCCCTCTGGGTTTCCTCAGAGGTGTACTTAGGTGAGATCTCCACGAGCCTTGTTCTACAGGGGAAAATGAGGTTAACCTGTGGCTGTGCAGCCAGAAACAAATTCCCCTGATCCTTTTAGATGAGAAGTAGCAGGAGGAAAACTGTTCTTGGCTGGCAGAAGCCAAGAGATGCAAACTGTCTGCACATTTGGCATTAGTGGAGACACCCTTTCCTCAAAGAGCCTTTTGCTTGGTCAGCTGCTGAATTATTCAGTGCCTTTATTTTTGTCCTGCTAAGGCCTCTTCACCCACCTGAAGGCATTGGGCAGCTCTTTATAAACAGCCCCCTGTTGTTTGTTTTGCAGGCACTCCCCGAGGGGCAAACGGCGTCCTGGGACACGGCCAAGGAGGATGAAAACCGCAATAAGAACAGATACGGGAACATAATCTCCTGTAGGTGTAAATTCACATTAAACTGAGCTGCCTGCGAGATTTTATGTGCATGCTGTGGGAAGGAGTGTGTTTGAGGAGCTCACTGCAGTCTGGTTTACAGTGCTGAGCATTCAGGAGTTCAGTCCATTTGTTGCAGGCTAACATGTTTGAGTTTGTTTTATGGGGGTTTTTATAATTATTTTACGTAACATCATTGCATGGCTTTGTGGGGGTTTTACCCATCTTATATCAGCCTTGCTTTGTGCTTCATGTTTGTAATTTAAGGGCTAAATGCTTTTGTGAGATTTTCACATTATGTGATGATGCCCATTTTCTGTCCATTTTTACTTCATATCCCAGAGCTTTCAGTGCCACACAAGGGAGCACAAAAGGAGCTGCAGGTAGATCAGATTTTTAAATGTGTCTCAGAGATCAGATTTTCTCCCTCCTTGTGGTCAGGAACCAGTGGAGCAGTCGCTGCTTGTCCCCAGAGAGCTGGTTTGATGGGTGGGACAAGCTCAGCTTCTGCCTCAGAATCACAATAAGGCAGCTGAAAATGCACTGAAACCTCTTAGTTTACTTTTTTCAGTGATCAGTTATCATTGATGTTATTGGAATATTGATTCATTGCAGAGACACAGGGCAGGGAAGGACTCCATAAAGCCACTTGGGTCAGCTTTATTCTCCAAGGCGGGATTAGATTCATCTCTCTTATTTTTATCTGATATTTCTGAAGCTTCTTCCAAAGTTGATCTCCAAGGCTGAGCTTTCCACAGGCTCTCCAGGCAGCTCATCCCAGTGTTTCATTATTCCTTATGACTGCAGGGAGGAGGTGTGAAAAGTAATTCTTTTCAAGGGCTGCTGAGCAGCATCAAGTTGGAGAAGCCAAGCCTGAGACCATCAGAACAAGAAATAAGAATATAAATGAATGTGCTATAGATTTTCATGACTGGATAAATCTATAGAATACTATAAAAGCAAAATTAAGTCATGCTGAGGGATATATTTTGCACTGCATTTTTTTCTTGGGTTAAATATATATTTCCTGTAGAACAAATAGACTTTACCAAAGATTTAAAAAAAAAAAAAAGCAAAAAACCAAACTAAACCTAGATTGCAAAGAAAGATTATCTCCTTTCTTTTAAGACTTGAAAGAAATCATTCATGTGGCACTTTGGGGGGAACTGGCATAGAACAGCTCAGTTCAGAGCCCCTGTGGCGAAGATGAAGAAATCTGGAAATGAAGATCAGAATTTTATGAGCCCTGATCTGATCCCACTTCTGCTGTTGGCTTTGCACTGGTTGTGGCAGGTCACCAAGGCCATCAGTTTTTTGGCTCTGTGTGGAAAATGGAAGTGACAGTACTGGAGTATTACAATTAGCATGAAAATTGTCTCCCTTAACTTCAGCTGCCTGAAAGCTCCACCTTGCTGGGCAAAGAGAGACACTTCCAGCCAGAGGCTCAATTTACCTGTCTGTACAATTAACTGAGATGAAATGAGTCTAAGACAGATGAAACATCCAGCTGTAAACACTGGATTGAAGGTGGAAGTGCCATCGTGTGATATAAGGAAGGAAATGTGAAAAACTTTGTGTGATTCTGAGGGAGCACTTGGCATAGTTTAAAAGTGGAGGTGAAAAGAGGCCAGACCATGTGCAACAGCCACCATCCCATTTGGGTTGAAGGTGGTCACAAAGAAAACGTTGAACTCCAAGTGAAAAGTGAGAAGTTAGGAGGCAAAATCAAGGAAGATAAACGGGCTGTTATCTAAAGGGAAGGTGCTCACAGAGACAAATTGTTGTCTAACGAAGAGTGATGTGAGCCTTTTAGCTATAAATATAAATACAGGAGCAGAGCAGATAGGAGGTGATGAACCTGAATAAGGGAATGCAAAATGTAATCAGAGCTAAGGAAGAAGTGTCTGCACAGGATAAAATGTCAGAAAAGAAGCTCAAGTGGGAAGGGTTGTTGGGAAAGATTTCAGAATGGGGTTTAGAGGGTGGAAAGGCACAGATAAGGAAAGCAAAGTGAAAGAGGAAGGATGCAGACAAGTTGAAGGTGAATAACAAAGCTGAGTGGGTTTTCTCCACTTCCAATATCAGAACAAAGAGTTTGAGGAGGAGACAACAGCTCTTCTAAAAGACAGCAAGGAGAATTTAGTAATGTGCAATAGTGATAAAATGGAGTGAAGTCCTTGATTCTATTGAGGAGGCCTGGGAGGACGAAGGGAGGATGCCTAAGGAAGGAGCATAACATCCATCAGTTTGTAAAACCACTGGGAAATTACAGCAGTGTTGCTGGCTGAGCCAGACCCTGCTGATGGGCAACATGGGGCAATTTCCCTGAGTAAAGGCAGTGACAGGATCCAGAGCAAAGGATCAAAAGCAGAGCTCAGAATAGCAGGAAAGGGTTTCCCCCCAGGCATGTCCTGCAAATGAATTGTGCTACATTGGGTACAAGCTGTGCAAAAGCCTGAGCAGAGGAGGGGGAACGTGGTAACACCGTGAGCTGCTTGGTTGTGCTAGAATTGTAATGGCTGGAGAAACTCAGAGCAGGCACTGGTTGCTCCTGCCAGTTGATTTGGTAGAAGGCTGCAGATAGCAATTAACATTATTTATTTAACCACCGTTGCTGTTTTATCACTCCTGGAACAAGGTATCCCCTGCCTTTTGGAGAGTGAACTGAAAAGCCAGGTTTTGATCTAACTTCTGTAACTGCTTCAGAGACTTGTGTTAAAATGGGGGTTTGTAAGCCCTTGCAATAAGTAGCACTGCTCAGTGAATCACAGCAGATTAGATCTTGTCTTTCTGGCCTTCTGGGTAATAGCACAGTTACAGGACTGTTTTACTCGGCTCACTGCTCTCCCAGGGCTGGATTAACATCCTGCCTCTCTCTGAAAACCCCCATCGTGCTGTCAGCCCCAACACCTGCTCTTCTTCATTTGCAAACCAATCTCGGAGCTAATCTGCTCATGGAGAGGAGAGGCAAGAGAACTCTTAAACTCTACCAGGCTTTAAATCCCAGATTTTCAGAGTTCCCTTCCACAGCAGCGGTATGTTTTTGGAAAAGTATAAAAGCTGAGCAGTGGATCTGGGGTCTGTATGACCACAGAAATCCACTGTGGATGGTGGGAAGATGCACTGCAATGGCCCAGATTTACCATGCTGGAGGAAGCTGCCCTGCTCAAACCTTTTATTACATCAACTGAGTCCACGAAATTTGCTCCTGCACTCGGGTATAAAAGCTGTAAAACAAAGACAGCTGTGGAGATGCAAAGTTTGTCTTTAGGGGGCAAGGGTAGGCTGTGTATCTATCTGTATGCTGAAGCAAAATGATTTAAATCTCTAGGCTCTAGGGCCTAGATATTGAGACCTTCAAAGAGCATCAGAAAGTGGTTATTAGTGGAGGGATGTTGAGCTGAATCTATTCCATAGAAGAGAAAATACTCGGAAGCTGTACGGGACCTTTGGTACTATTTTATTTCTCCCCATCTTGTTCTGATTTAGAGCCATTACATTATAGGGGAGTAAAAAACTCTCAGATGACAGCTGAGGATGCAAAGACATAGGATTGTGTTTTGCTTCAGCTTATAGGAGAGCGCATCCTGTCCCTTTTTTTTCCCCACTGAGCCACCCTGGGTTTAAAGTCTTGTGGTGTTCCACTAAAAACTATGGAGTTGATGACAAAAGACAGTAGAGAAATTTGCTGTATTTCCTTCATGCTCTGACTGCCATATGCTTTGGGCTGGAAGGCTGTGAATTAATCAGAGTATTTTGTGATGGAAGAGATGAACAAGAGAGAGATTAAAGGAGCTTTCAGCAGGCATGCAGATGCAGTGCATCTGAAACCCTACATAGAATCACAGCATGGTTTGTGTTGGCAGGGAACCTAAAAGTTCATCTCATTCCACCCCCTGCCACAGGCAGGGACACCTTCCACTAGCCCAGGTTGCTCCAAGCCCCGTCCAACCTGGCCTTGGACACTTCCAGGGATGGGGCAGCCACAGCTTCTCTGGACAACCCGTGCCAGGGCCTCACATGTCAGCACTGGATTTAGAACAGAAATCTTTCATCTTCCAAGCATTTTTATTCCTGGTTTCTCCTGCAGTGCCTAAACTCTTGCATGTCTGTGCAATGTCCGTGGGTTATGACCCTGAGAGGATGGGATTTATCCCACAGCTCTCCAGGCACAGTCTGGGATCAGTGGGGGGAAAAAGGGGAGGACAGAATGTCCTTGAGAGGGCAAATCATCCTTTTGTAGCAGAACTGGGTTGAGTCATTTCAAAAGACGTCTGGATTTCTCCCTTGACTGTGGGGAACCTTGACAGCCAATTTAGACAAGCTGAGTAATATTTAGATGGCGAAAGTTGTGTGAGATTAATCCAGTGCTGGTGTCAAAATGAGATGGGGAGAAATTGCCATGATATTTCAAACGATCACTAATGGGAATTTTGACAGAAGTTTAAAATGGTGACAATTTTGTGCTAAAATGGGATCACAGTGCTTTTCACTGAAATTCTTGTCATTTTTGAAATCTGTTTTAAGACCAATTTTCAGTCAAAGTACTCTTCATATAAATTTAGAGTTCTGCTAACTTGCATACAGACTATAGTAAACAGGGAGAAATAAAATTATTTATATGTTTGTTAAAGCCTATTTCCATTTTCTGTGGTTCCTGAATGCAATTTTTTTTTCTGTTTCTCCCTCCATTTTTAAAGTTTCTTAGAGTCCATTTGTAGCACTTGGGGATATGATGTCTGATAAATTTAATTAAGAGTTGAGTGAACCTTTCATTTCAGTGTGACAAATTCGTGGTCACCTTGTCCAGTGAATAAAGTGCAGAATCAGAAATAAGTTTTAACCATTGGGAGAAGATATAATGAAGACATTTGTTGTTCTTTAAAAAGGCCTTTAAAGTCTGTAGGCAAAAACCCCTAAGATTTTTACTGCTAAGAGCATGATAATTTGCTTTAAAAAAAAAAAAAAGAAGCCAAGTTCCAAAGTTTTTTGTGGAAAGAAGAGATTTACAAGGTAAGTTATTTTATGAAGTTTTATCCAGACTCTGCTCCTAAACTTCTGAACAAGGTTAAAGACACCATTAAGATATCATTAATATTTTGTGTGCTTAGCATATACACAGGTTTTTTTTTTTCTGCTGCACTGTTCTCACTTGTAAGAGCAATAAATCTCCCTCAGGAACTAATCTCATTTTTGTAAAATATGCAATGAAATATTTTGAATTCTGTCCTCCCAAAGCAAAGTATTTCTCATTTGGTCCCAAAATGTGATTGGACCTGGATGTCTCCTTTTTTTTTTTTTTGATAAATAACATTAATTTTCAATGATCATTTCTTCATCCTTTATGGGTTTTCCCTTATTTGGCTTAAAAAACCCCCAAACCAACAACACTTTTTTGTGCCTGTGGAGCTTCTTTTCTTTATCCATAATTATCTGTAATTGTCTGAAGTGCCTAAAGCTTCTCAATCTCCTTCTCAGGTCTTCTCCACTCAGCTCCCTCCAGAGATATCCATCCTGCCTGGTTTAAGTTTCTGTCTAAAGAGTGGCTCAAAGAGCTGAAACTTAATTTTGGAGTTTGTCTCTGTTAGATGAAGAGAGGCAGGTCCTTCCTCGAGGGTTATTCGGAGCACTTGAGCTACACCCGGTGCACAGACATTGTCCTGGTCCCACTTTAAAAAATCAACCTGAGATTCTTTTCACTTGTCATGAGGGGCATTTTTGGTCTCATTTTCAGTTGCAGTAAGCTGACACTTCCATAACGTTGTTCTCTTGTGGCATTGAGTCAGTAAATGTTTCCCCTCCCAACCATCACCTCCAGGGTTTGTTTTCCTTTGCTGTTGTTCCCTGAGACTCTCAACAAGCTCCGTTTGCTGCCCTGAATTGCAAGTGGGAAATTGTCTGCAGGAGTTTTTCTGTATTTCATCCAGATGTCCAGTTTAATCAGCTCTTTGTCTGTCTTTGTGAATTGCTCTAAGTATAAATTCTTTTGTTGTCTGTCTGAGCACATGATTTACTGCAGCTCCTCGTGCAGTTGCCTTGAGCGCAGGTAATTGGGAACATCAACACTCTGAGAAATGTACCCACTTCCCCGTGTCTACAAAGGTTATATTTATTAATACAAATATAACAGAGCTTCTGATGGATTCACCTGCATAACCTTCTCCAAATGCAAATGTGGGATTTCATAAACACAGCAACGAGGTGTGTAAATCTCGCCCAAAGAATGAACAGAGTAGGACCATTCCTTTACAGAACCGAATGAATATTTAATATATATCCAAGCCTTGGGTTTCAGAGCTGCCCAAACATCTGTCTTCACAATTATTATCTGATTCTACATTTAATTAAGTCATGACCAAAACCCTTTTTGACTGAGTTGCTGCAGAATTACGCCTCGTATTTTTATGTTTCATTGCTGTGGTTCCTTTTAATTGAATGTAAATCATGCTTGGGCCTGTATTTTGCAAAGTGCTGCTGAAAATTAAAGCTTTACTGTCAGAGCTATGGTCTATATAGCTGGTAGGGAGGAAATAAACTTAATGGACTCGATATTATACTTCTTTTAAAAAATCATTTAGAAATGAGCACAGCATGGCCAGCAGTGACCCCTGTAACCCAGGAGCCTTTGCCAAGCAACTGGCCCTTAGATAGCAGTTCTGCAATTAATTCCATGCCAGTGCTGGGACTGCCAGAGCAAATCACATCAGCAGCCTGGCTCAGGAGTATCTCCTGTGACAGAGCCCAGCACCAGCTGTTCCAGAGAAAGATCAAACTATTCCCTTGGTGGAAAATCATGACATAATCTGCCCGCTGGGGTAGTTCCTTCCCGCGTCTGAACTGTGGAGCGTGCTGGGAGATGAAAAGATTGATCTCTGCTGTTTTATTGCCTTATCTAAAGTAACTTTGAACCTCCTCGAAGAGATGAACATTTCTAATTTTGTTGTTTTTTTCAGCACTGCCTTGATGCCATTTTGCCGCCGTGAGTTCTGGGGATTGCATAAAGGAACGTCGCTCTGATTTCCTTTCATATTTCCCCTCAGGTTTCTGGGTTGCCCCATTTCTTGTTTGCAGGGTTCCATTTGCCATTTTACCCTCCTTAATCTTCTATACCTCTGTTGTGACCTATTTATTTTTATCCTGATCCTGTCAGTTTTAGCTCTTGCCTCAGTTTCCGTAGATCAGACGAAGCCAGGGAGGTTGTAACTTCCGAGTGGGAAAATGGCTTTTGTAATGGAGATACACCCTGCAAAGATCTGTCCCAAGACTCCCAAACCAGGCAACATTTGGGACCTGTCTCAAATCTCCATAAGGATTATGGTGACAGCAGCAAATTTAATGAACACAAAGCATGACTTACTTAAGGATCCAAACACTACGTCTTAAACACAAAATAAAGGGCTTTTAGGAACAGGGATACATGTGATGTTTTTTATTATTGTAAATATTGAATTACCCAATTACCAGGCACATGGTGGGATTCTTGGGGTTGTCCTGTGCAGGGCCAGGAGCTGGACTTTGATGATCCTTCCAGCTTAGGACATTCTGTGTTTCTGTGATACCCATTTGCAGGAACCAGCACACAAACCACTCAGAAACTCCCGTTTATCGTTACTGTCACTTTTTTTTCCTTTCCTTCTTTCAGATGATCACTCAAGAGTGAGATTGCAGCTGCTGGATGGGGACCCTCACTCTGACTACATCAATGCCAATTACATCGATGTAAGGCTCCTGGACATCCCCACTGTGACAAACATTCCTGTGACAACTCTGCTCAGGAGTTTGGTGCCTCTGACACAGGGACAGGCTGTTGATCTGCTATGAGTGACAGCTGAACGTTACACAGACATCATGTTGTGACAGGGAGAAGGTTCTCAGTCTCCAGTTTATTTTGTCTGACCAATCTGGGCAGATGGAGATTTCCTGTGTTTGACAGATCCACCAACATAAGTGGAATGTGGGCTAAATGATGGATGCAGGAATCAGTGTCAGCCCCTCACAGTAGCATTAGTGAATATCTGAGATTTGCCAACTACTTACAAAGTTGTAGTGCAGAAGGCATGTAAATAGACTGGCTTTTTTTAGTGTTATAAAATAGCATTTGAAAACCAGCCTCCCTCTCACACCCAGTGATCAAATGAACATGCACTTCTTGTATGCAGCTCCTAAATCACAGGAACGTGAAATGTTTCAAATAGTTTCTTTAAGGGATAAAAAACACACTTAGGCAGCATTTTCACACAGAGGCAAATTCATACTTTTACTCTTTTTCAAACAAGAAGATGCAGTGTTTTGCCTGTCAGCTTTCAGAGTTACCCACAGGTTAATCACAGGACTTGCATTTCTTTGAGGAAATGCTTAAAAAATTCCCATTCCAATTTTCTCTTTGGCGTAATGAAAACTTATTATTCAGCCTGAGCAAGATACCCTCACTTAAAATCTCACAGGGAAACCTGGTTGCCCCCTTTTATTCATTCAATAACTGGTTATACACTGTCAGAGTGCAGCAGTTGGTACCTGGAGAGTATCAAATCCATGCAGTGCTTTCCCTGAGCTGTGATCTCACAGGAATTTATGTATTTTCTTTTTTTCCAGGGGTACCACCGGCCTCGCCATTACATTGCAACTCAAGGCAAGTTCAATCTTGTATGTCTAAACAATTGTAAAACCACTGCTGTTTTACATTGTTTGAGGAGCTATTTAGAGGGTGACATCACCTGTTTTGGGGGACTTAGGTCTATCCATGTTAGATTACAAACCTCCCTACTCCTGATCTTTACAGCAGGGGGCTGTTTTCCTGCATCACTGGCCCAACTCTTATGCCATGACCACTTCCTCTACTGTTATTTGTCCTCATTTTTGTGCATTCTTAACCCAAATGTGATGTTCACAGAAATGATTTTATTCCTAATTTCTGCTTTATGGGTTCATCGCTAGCTTGTCCCTGTTGAAAGAGTAAAGAAAGATATTAGAATAAAACTGGTATTTGAGGATGTATGGGGATAGGGAATGCAGGAAGGCAGAGAATGTGGAGGATGGAGTATGAGCAGTGTGTGTGAATTGAGTCAGTAGAAGGATCTCACCTCCAGTGTAGAAAAGAGGAAGGAAAGAAGGTCAGAGAGAGGCTCTAGGCTGGTAAACCTCTTGTCAGGACTGGCTGATTGGCTGTTGGAACCTGAAATTTTTCTGGGGAAACTTCAGAAAAGGGCTAATTTCTAAATGTTTCCTTCCTCCTTCATAATTAATCAATATAAAGTGTGAAATGGAAGAATTTTAGTGGTGCATCAGGTGCAAATTTCTATCCAGCCTCACTTACAGGTTCACTATGGGGTGCATCCATGTCTCATCACTTACACACAATTACTGGAACCATCTCCACTCTCTACAATCTCACCATCACCTCTGTTGCCACAGTGCTGGAACCTGAAATACCCACTTAAATACCCTTAAGTACCACTGTGAGAAAGGGTCTGAGCTCTTAGAGGGCTCCAGGCCATTCCTGTCTGTAACCCTGAATCACAGAGGGATGCTTTGAAAGGGAGAGCAGGATCCTGTGGGAACAGGCCAATGGCTGGAGAACATCTGGAAAGAATTGTTGGCATTCACTGCACTGCCTTGAGATGTCCTTTTGTCTTCTCTCCTGCCCCAGGGCCGATGCAAGAGACAGTGAAGGATTTCTGGAGGATGATTTGGCAAGAAAACTCCGCAAGCGTTGTCATGGTCACCAACCTGGTGGAAGTGGGCAGGGTAAGGTGCCACTTTCCCAGTGTGTAAAGCCAGACCTGCACTGGGTTTAACATGATGCTGCTGCTCAGTCAAGCTCAGCAGCAAAATGCCTTTTGCTTCCTGTAGTGAGGAAATGAATTCGGCCACTCTGAGTTTTCCCTAAAACGCTGGAGTTTCTAATACTTAACTGCTTCCCTTCTAGGCTAATAAGGATCATGTTCCTGCTGTAAGTCTGGGCTTTGGCAGAGTTACACAAATTTATGCAGGGTCAGAAGCTCTCTCCTTTTCCAGTACAGGAGGAAAAATGTACTTCTGTAATAATTACTCTTTTTCTCTTGATTTCAATACTTCTCTAAAAATCTGGATGGGTGAGGACGTGAGGCTGGTGCTCAAACTATCAAAGGACTTCTTTAATGACAGTCCAAATCCTAAACCCCCACCAGTTCTCTCTCAGGTGGACCAGCAGTCCTTGTGTCAGCACAAGGCAATTTCAAAGCCCACAATGGGAGCAAACATGGATAACTCAAAAGGAGGAGGCTTGACTTTAGGAGATAAGAAGGCAGCATGTCTGGGGTGGCTTTCCCCAAAATATTCTTGCCTCTTTGGTTTAGAGACTTCCTCAGCCAGAAACTGGAGTTCTTAAAATTTTTGTCCTGATGTTTGTCCCTTTCCATTGCTTTGGTACTAAGAAAAAATTAAATTATAGTTTACTCACAGCCATTAGTAATTCAAATATGCTTTCCCTTAGATCTCATGGTTGAATGCCAGCTACTTCTGTTCATTTATTGTTATTTATTATATTTTACCTTTTACTGACAGTTCAGTTTGAAATAAATGCCTCTGTGTAAAAAAAAAACAAAACCCCACAACAAGCCTACATTAATCATATTTAATATTTATAAACCCCTTTCAATTATGACTGGAACTGGAACATGAAACCTGCTTTGCAGCAGCTAATTGCTTCAGCTTTTAGGTGCTATTCCACTCTTTCATGCTAGAGCATTTAATAACCTGATAGTCTTTGTTAGCCTAAATATCCCTTCTGGAGCTTCACAGCCTTGGCTTTTATTTCTAGTGTGTTAGTTTTGCACATGGCTTTCAGAACTGGCTAAGCTGGGATATGTTTACCTGCTCAGGAGATTTCCTTCTTGAGCCTTAGCTGAGGCCTGTCACAGCTGGTAAAATGCCAAGTTTGTGTCCACATCTGATAGAAAAAGCTCAGAGCCAAACAAATTTAATGTATCTACAAGTATCCCACAATCCCCATGAGCTGAAATTCTTTGGCTAAACAGAGAGTTCAGAATTACAGAGCAGGAGCACAGACTTTTCTCAGAGGGGGCAGTGGCAGTGACTGCCAGGTACATCTGATCTATGGGCAGGATATGTATGGAAATTCAAGGAAGACTATCTGAAAGAAGAGCTAAATGCATCCTTTGCATTTTTATTGACAACAGAGCAAATTTAAAAAAAAATCCTCCCTGTGGCTTCTATATCTGGTAAAGGAATTTTGATCTGATTTATACAGTTAATTTTGACAAGGTCTGTGCATCAGAAGAAAGCTCGATTTGCGTTGGCTTCAGCTTGGAAGTGGAGGAAAATGTAGCTCAGCTGTGACTCAAGCTGAGCTTGTTCCTCTCAATATTGTGTTTTTTTCCCCCAGGTGAAGTGTGTTCGATACTGGCCAGATGACACAGAGGTCTATGGAGATATTAAAGTCACATTAATTGAGACAGAACCGTTGGCAGAGTATGTCATACGGACATTCACGGTCCAAAAGGTAAGGAAGTCTTCAGGCAGCTGAAATTTTGATGCAACACTTCATTTGTGTTCAGAAATGGGAACTCTGGGAAACATATCCAGAATGCTCCTGGAGATGGGAGCTGTGACTATTTGGACAGGTTTCACTTCAGAAAACTAAATTTTTTGACAGAGATTCCATTTTTGGACAAATGATTTTACAGGAACATCTTGATGTAGCCACAAAAGTAGAATCCACAGTGCATGAAGTTTAAATGCATCCAAAAGCCAGCAGATAGCTGATGATATGCCAGGAATAATAACTGTCTTGTTTCACAGTGGCAAATGGCAGATGAGAAAAGGTACCAGTTAAACTGGATGCCAGGTAGGGTCCCCTTTGAACAGAAATGAGAATGTAATAAAAGCAAGAGTATAAAAACTATCCCCAAATTGGCACGATTTGGAAGATTTTGTTACTTGTAATTAAAAATTGGAAGCCTAAGTGTCAGAGTATTCCAGGTCTGTCCAAATTACTTTCCAAACACTCAGTAAGTGGTTTTAAACCTTTTCCAAAATTCCTGCTAAATGAACTTCAGCCACGCTGGGAATATTGTTTCAGTTTTCTGATACATCAGTTCCATATTTCATTAAATCACTGAAAAAGTTGGTGAGAAGTGCTGATGCCAAAATCTGGCCGAGTAGAGGACCTGCTGCTGGATTCCACCCACATTTCCTGTATAAGACATCACAGCTGACCAACACTTCAGGGTTACCCTTTGCAGGGCATGTACAAGAGGTGCCAATTGTCACCTACCAAGAACTTCAGCTCACCAGAAAAGCCAAGTGATGGGGTTCAGTACCAGTTTCTGCCCTTTTCCCTGCCAGTGGTGTCTCCAACTGAGAATTTGTTGCAGAAAATCTACCATGTAGTGGGACATTCCTGAGGCTGTTGCTTCAACGCCTCAAACAGTGTTTAAGGGTGACTTCTGGGTGGTTTATGACACTGAGGGAGGTGGATAAACACAACCACGGTGTGCTGGGACTGAGGTCACCCTTGGACATGCCTAATGAGCTGGGTTTGAACTGGGAGCTGGTATCCACCTTCACAGTGCTCACTTCACTGGCAATTGGAGTTCAGCTCAAACAACCTCTGGGAGCAAAAGGCAGGATCAGACACGTGCCTGTGTGCAGTGAGAGCTCAATGTTTGTTGTCCCTCTATGTGAGGGAAGGGAGCAGGGGTCAGAACGTGCCGATTGCAGCCTGATGGAAGAAAAATAGAGGCTGTGTTGTCTCCTCAGAAAGGCTACCATGAGATCCGAGAGATTCGGCAGTTCCACTTCACCAGCTGGCCGGACCACGGCGTCCCCTGCTACGCCACGGGCCTGCTGGGCTTCGTGCGCCAGGTGAAGTTCCTCAACCCCCCCGAGGCAGGACCCATCGTGGTGCACTGCAGGTATGCCAGCCCTCCACCTGAGCCTCTCCTCCCACAGCTCTTTCCATCTCTTTTTTTCCTGTCTGCCGATAACCGACCGCGCCTCCTTTGTTGGAGAGTGTGATTTGTGGGTCTCGCCAGCAAACAAAGGGAAATGTGTTTTTCTTTCCTGAAGTGGCAGCTTTGGAGCCAAGCTGGTGTGAGTTGGAGATGATGGAAGTAGGACAGAGAGGGCCTTTTAAATGTAGAAGACCCCCTGGTGTCCTGTACTCTGTTAAAGGCTCATAGCAGAGCTGGGAAAGTGGTAAATATCTGGGACAGCCATTCCAGGCTCGACAAACCCCGTGTGGCAGAAGGGACAATGCCGACAAAAAAAAGGGAATTTTAAAGCAGCTTTGCTTCTCTGTACCCACAAGTGCTGCAGCTCAGCTTTGTACCACCATCAAAGGTCTTCTCTGGTCTAGTAAAAGGTGTCCCTGCCCACAGCAGGGGAGCTGGAACAAGATGATCTTTAAGGTCCCTTCCAACACAAACCATTCTATGATTTTGTGATCTGAAATGTTAGTCTGGCTGCCAGCCCTTGGGCACCTTGGCTTTCTTAAAGCCCGGGAAGCTGGAATGGGAATGTCAGGCTAAAAACCTGCCCAGTGCCTTTCAGCTGGTGAATGAGAGGAGTTAAGTGACTTCAAGTGCAAGGAGAGACATCCCTATGAAACCAGAGTTTGGGTTTGTAGCAGCAGTTACATCTGCAGGGCACAGGGCATGTGTGATCTAAAGAAGACATGGCTGGAGTAGAAGCCTGAAGAGCAGGGCTGGCTGTCCCAAAATCTCACCCCTAATCAATCCACAGGGAATTACCACTAATTCCCACACTGTGTCTTGAGAAAGAGAGAGAGACAGAGCACATCCCACGACTATTTTAAAAAGGAAAATCAATTAAATCTTATCTTTTTAAAACAGTTGTGGTTTGGGTGGGTGTTTTATTTGGTTGGAGTGGTTTTTTTAGCAAGCAATTAGTCAGTTTTATAATCAAATACAGCAAAGCCTGAGGAGCTGGCAGAAGGGACTCATTTAGAGCTCAGGGTCTGAGTTTGCTACCCTGGTGCCATGACATGCCTTGGAAGGTGTCTCAGCCTGATTCATTGTCACCAAGAAAGCAAGGAGAGATTTTTCACCCTTCCCATTTTAATGAATAAATGCCATTTCCTCTGTGTTATTTATCTGCTTTTGAATTTTAATGACTTGCTTTAAGTGGTAATTACCAAATTCTCCCCACCGATTCCTGGCTGGATAATATCACTGTTCGATATTTATGAAGTGCCAGGATCCTCTAAATATAGAAATGTTATAACTATTTGTTAAATTTCTGAAAAGCTGAGAGATAAAGGGAGAGGAAATGCCACTTATTCATTAAAATTCTGCAAATGAAAAATATCGTCTCTCTATTCAGCCGTTGATTAATCTGGTCCATTAATTTATGGTCATTCATATCTCCTTGCTTTTGGCTCTGCTGGAGTTTTCAGGCAGCTGAAGTTTCCCTGATTTGAGCAGAGTTTTCCTCCTTCCTTGGGAGCAGTGTGAAGAGGCGTTCTCCTCTCTCTATCCTTCACACCTAAGCAGCTTGGATGGTTTCCCGGGAGGGAAGGAGGACACGATGACAACACAGTTTTGCAGGAGATGGCCCAGTTCTCACAAGCAGCAGGGAGCTCTGAATTGGAGGGTTTGAGTAGCCTTGAGCTCCTTTCTCTGTGATTTTACAATCTGTGACTTGAGATCACCCTCCTCAGGACCCAAACTCCTCCGGATTAAAAAGGGGAAGGGAGTGTTTGACGTGGAAGAGTGAGCCCCTTTCATCATGCCCACTGGAGTAAAGGTGTGCATGCCTTTTAAAGAGTCCCATGGAAGAAAATCTCTGGAATTTTGCCTGTTTGCAACCTGGAGGCTGCTCTTCCACATCCTGTGTGGTGAGAGGGGTGCAAGTGAGCAGACCTGTAAAATCGTAATGATTATTTACACAATTTTTTCTTGCTGTTGAATAACACAAAGCTTTTCTTTCTGCTGCCTAGATCCGTTTCCCTTTCAACAAACTTTATTTCACCTCATTCCCTTGAATCCCAAGCTGATTTAGCTACACAGAAAAATGAACTCAACGGGGAGCGGGAGCAGCTCCCAGGAGAAGACAGCTGTGTGTGTGCTGCTGTTATTGTCTCCTCCACAGAGCCCTGCTTCTCCATGCTCCCTTGGTCACCCAGAGCCTCCTGGTTTTCTCTTTTCCAGTGCTGGGGCAGGGAGGACAGGCTGCTTTATTGCCATTGACATCATGCTCGACATGGCAGAGAACGAGGGCGTGGTGGACATCTTTAACTGCGTGCGGGAGCTGCGGTCCCAGAGGGTCAACTTGGTGCAGACAGAGGTGAGTGCCAGCAGCTCTCCCCTTCCAAGGTGCTGCTTTTCTGTCGGCTTCTCCGCTCAACAGCCACCCAGCAATTCATTAAGTCAACACTTGCTCTGTGCTGTGATTATGCAGAACTTTCAGAGGCTGAACATGCCCCCAGATGTGCATCAAATCACGTTCACTGGCAGCTACTCGGGGCCTCCCAGACAGGAGGGCAAACCTTCAAAGTTTAGGTCTGTGCATTGCTGATTAATTTTATTCTCGTAGTAGGAAAAAAGAGCTCCTGGATCCTCTCATGACTCATTCATAGGCACACTGCAGGCTCCAGTAGTACCTCATGTACATCAGTTGGAGCTAAACAAAGAAAACATCCTTGATTCCAGCTCTGGGTGCTGATTAAGCAAGCTCTGCTCCATCGTGTAGTGTCTGGCAGCTGCACAGATTCTGTGGAACTGTGCTCCTGCTGCACAAGTTTTATGTGTGTCCTTTAATGCCTTCCCCTCCTGAGGGACAGGACAATAGCCTGGAACAGAGAAGGGCTGTTAACTTGGTTGGAATTTCCATATTTACTTCAGGGCAAGAGCTTTACCCAGAATACCAGGAGTCCAGGATTCTGGAGACATAAATGGAGGTGACCTGTTAGGACAGTTGTTTTTGTACAGTTGTGCCAGGGGAGGTTTAGATGGAAAATTAAGGAAAATTTCTTCACCAAAGGATTGTCAAGCCCTGGAACAGGCTGTGCAGGGACAGATGTGGTGGAGTTCCCATCCCTGGCGGGATTTAACAGACGTGTTGATGTGGTACTTGGGGACGTGATTTAGTGATGGGCTTGGCAGTGCTGGGTGATGGTTGGACTTGATGACCTTAGAGGTCTTTTCCAACCTAAACAATTCTGTGATTCTCTGATATTATCAGAAGCCCATTCCTGACCATTGCCTCACAATTATGGACAGAAAGGCTTTACACCCTGATTTCCTCCTCAGCCCACCCCCATTGTGTCCCCATGTTCCTGAGAGTGGCAACTTCCCATTTTACTTGTAAATTTGAAGTGAATACATGAGACCTCACATCCAGTGATGGATGAAATATGCTCACAAAGCTGTCACATAGCACACTCTGTAATTTGTCTCCACGTGAAACAGAGCCAAATATGCATATTGGGCATGATTTAAGGGGGGAAAAAAAGTGTGATATTTCATGATCTGTATTCTAAATATGATTTTAACATCTCATCCCCTCTCGTGTGCAGGAGCAGTATGTGTTTGTCCATGATGCCATTTTGGAGGCGTGTCTCTGTGGCAACACGGCCATTCCAGTTTGTGAGTTCAGATCCATCTATTACAACATCAGCAGACTGGATCCACAGACCAATTCCAGCCAGATAAAAGATGAGTTTCAGGTAATTTGATATGTCACTGCAGTTGGTGTATAGAAGGTGTTTAATCACTTTCTGTGTGTTATTTTACAATTTCCAGCAGAGCAGAGAAAGGGGACACTGAGCCAAGGTCTGATTTCAGATGATTTTTGTTATTACTCCTGGATCAGGCAGAGGTTTGCTTTTGAGCACGGATTTTTCACCCTTTGGCAAGGAAAAAAATTTCCCTGTAACTTCAGTAGAGCAAGGGTACTGATTCTCACACATAATATTGTACTTCTAATTTCAGCAAATACTCTGTTGTTCATTTTCTTCTGTAATTTATGCAGAAACATTTATGCCTCAAGGTAGCTTATTATCCATTCTTTTGGCTCATATGCTGCTCCCAAGTCTTGACAATCAACTTGTTGACAACAGAGGAGAGAGGGAGCTCAGTGAGCATTATTTTGGCTATTATTAGTTCTCAATGAACTGAATCTCTCAGTTCACTGCAGGTGTTTTGCCAAGTACCTGGTGATGAGACCCAAAATGATGTACAGTAAAACTCACAAGTGCTGAATTAGTGGGGGCAAGCAAGGAAATGGGGGCCCCTCCACCGTTTGCTGTCACTGTTGCTTATCCTACCCTGATAAATTGGGACACTCAAGCCATGAGCCCTGTGCAGTTGTTCCTCTCCCACAGTGGAGAACTCACCCTGCAGAACACTGAACTAAGTTTTCCAGTCTTTTTCCCCATTCCTGTGAGGGTGGTGAGACCCTGGCATAGGTTGAACCAAGAAGTTGTGGATGCTCCATCCCTGGAAGTGTTTAAGGCCAGACTGGATGGGACTTAGAGCAACCTGGTCTAGTTGAAAGTGTCCCTGCTCATGACTTTAAGATGATCCAGTCCAAACCATTCTGAGATTTTATGATTTTCAGCAAACACCAATATATGGAAAAAAAATGTGTGGGAAATTTGTGGGAAATATTTATGGGAAATTTTGGGGAAAAATTTGTGGGAAAGGATGTGGGAAATTTGTTTCAAGGTGAATTTGGCGGTAAGGAGAGAGACCTCTACTATTTGTTAAAGCCACTTGCAGTAAGCAATAAAAAGATGAAGCTTTCTTTCATTGTAGTAAATTCCCACCCCATTTCCCAGGAAAGTATCTTTTCCAGCAAGAAAATGTCTTCTGGGAGCCCCAAAGTGAGTCAGAGGCCTCTTTTCCTCCCTCTCTATGCAGAGGGAGAATGTGTGTTTTTTTTATCTGAAGCCTTGCAGGGAATCATCAGGGTTGGTGTAGTGAGATAAAGAAAGCGGATCCCAACTGATGACAGTTCAATTAAAAAAAGGTCTGGTTTTATCAAGGCACAGCAGATCTATGAAAGTGTTTCTGGTTCTCAATGCTTGGCATGAAGGAGCCAAAGCCGAACTTCATCAAAGGCTGTTACGCCACTGAAAAAAAAAATAGTCCTCACTTGCTGGGTGTATTTTGTCATGATATGAGACAAGATTTGTCACCTCTGCGCTTGTTCTTTTGAGCTGCCAGGGACTGGCAGCTCCTGTGGGAAGGAAATGCTCTTTGCAAATGTACTTTGCATAAGAGGTTCGGTGTCTGTCTGGTTGTAGGATCTATTTTTACAGGATCTTGGCTCAGAGCATGCTTCAGCCCTAATTGTCTGGGTTTAATGCAGAAGCTGGTATCTTTGCTGCAATCTCTGTGAACCAGCTGATCTAACTGTAGATCTGGGGATGCAGTTGGTATTGTTTAGGTCCCACTGGCCCTCAGGTAAGGCAGGTTGTATTTCTCATGCACTACATGTTGTCCGAACACACAAAAGCTTGTTCTGGAGAGTTTTTGTAATCTGAGTCAGTACAGAAACAAGGGAGAGAGGGGAAGGGTGTAAAATAGACACTCTAACAAGTCCACCTGCCTGATTATCTACACTGTCAGAGATCTGAGATTTCATGGTTTTTCCCCATCCAACCTGCCTTCCACCTCCAGATAAGGGCCTTGCTGTAGAACCTGCAGAATTTATAGCAACTAGATCATTTCAAATCCTACACTTTGACACGTTTTTTATCTCAGATTGTTTGTCCCTACTCTTTTCTCCACCCATAACCTCTCTGTAGCAGAAGTCAAGCCCTTTGTAAGATTTCTTCTTGGCCCCTAAATATTTTGTGTTCCTCTGGTTGCAAAGAGTTCACTGTATTACTCCATGGGCTTTGCTCAGGAAGAGAACAAATAACAAAAGAAAGTAGAATGACATCAGATAGCCACTGATCTACCACCACTTACGTGCTGGTGTTAAGATGTGTTTGCTTTGATTTGCTATTTTTGATCCCTGCTGACCAACCAGGACTGGTTTGTCAGGAGGCCTCCACAACAGAAAACACAGAAGAAAAATATATTTAAAGAAATACAGTTTGTCAAGCTGTGGAAAAGACAGATAACAGAAAAAGACTTGACAGCAAGACCCCAGAGATTAGGTATGACTATGTAAGTGAAGCATCCTCTGTGTCACTCCAAAAGGAAAGTAGCAATCTAAATAATGTATGAAACAAATAGGCTTGCCTGTTAAAAAGAAGAAAAAATATATTTTCTCTTAGATTTTTGTGTGCATTGCTAAGATAAATCAGTAGTTTGACTAGAGGAGTCACAGGAGGATTTGAACCCAGTCTGACCTGCTGGGTGAGACAATACTCAGGGTACACCTGCACAGGACCCTCTTGCAGAGGGAGAAGGATGAGAGCTTCCAGCCTAGGGAGGGGAGAAACAGGAGGAGTGAGGAGCTCAAAGCTGCAGCTTGCCTCTGTGACAGCTATTTCCAGCTTCTGGGAAAGAAAAGAAATATTGTCTGACTGCTCTGGGGTTTTAGAGCTGGATGTGGCTGGGAGGTGTGTGGTTCCCTCAATTACTGCAAATGTACAAAAGCAACAAGCTCCTTGGCGCGCCTTTGTTTTACCCTTCTCTGGGATCCCAAAATCTGCGAGTGGAAGTGCATTAAAATAATCGTATTTTGCATAAGGCATTGTTGCCTAAAAGACCATGGAGAAAAAGACTCCAGGCCAATTAAGTGTAGGAGATAAGATAAAGAGAGCAGGTCCTTTAATGAGTTCGTAGGCCTAAAGGAATACACACCGTGCCCCTGCTCAGACAGTGCTTCTATGATTTTATAATAAGGTCCATCCAATCCCAATTTGTCCACCTCCCAGTTCTGCCCTGTTCTGACCTCCAGCCCCTTCAGGAATTGAGTCTGGAGGCATTTGAGACCCCTTCTTCCTCATATTCATCTTCTTCACAGCACATACAGTCCTTGGAGTTCCTCCGAAGTTCTGGACTTGAAGGTCGCTGTGTCTGTGTGATATCTTCTGGTCCAGGCCTTAAAGTGTTTTTCTACAATTCTACCTTGAAAAGAAGACTAAACATGCTAACAGAATTTTGAGGGATTGATATGAGATGAGGTAGTAGGGTTGGGTATTTGTAAACATTATGCTGCAGGGTAAGGGATATAATACAGCTACATTAAAATCTACATTCACTACTGTGCTGGTTTAAAGGTAAACTGGCAGGGGAAATGAACCCAACTCAAAAAGAGAGATTATAAGTCAGAATAACAATTTAATAAAATAATACAATAAGTACAATTATACAGACAAACAATTGGTTTTAACCCACAAAACCCAAATGTATAACCCAGCACCCTGGGGCATTAACAGAGTGATGTTCGTTGGCCCCCCTTAGTCCAGAGTAAAAGGAGAGGGAAAACCTGTTGGTGAGAGTGCTGGTGCAGTCTGGGCAAGAGTGGTGGTTGCAGTCTGGTTGAGAGTGGTGATCTGCAGTCTTCCTCTGGATCCCACGAATGGTTAAAAAAGTTCCAAGACTCCAAGATTATATATCCTCCAGTTCAGGCAGGAATGCCCAGTACCTCCCTCAGGGCAGGGAGTTCCTCACTGGGTGTGAGGACAGGAGCATCCTCCTGTCTCTCAGGCCTCTTAACACCCAGTTTATAGCCTGAGGAGTCAGGCTGCTCTGGGCAGAGGGTGTAAATGGTCTATTGATAACAGTTTCTGGGCAATGGCATGGAAGGCTATAGAATATACAGTTTTGGGTTACACCCATACAGTGATGAACTGGTCCCAGCTGTTCCAACTAGGACAGCTACACATCTACTTCTAAAATCTATAAAAATTAAAAATCAAAAAAGCTCTGAGGCATCACATCCTTCTTGGGAGTAAATGCCAAGGCACTCAGCCTGTTTCTGTCTCTCTCTGTCCCCCCCTTTCTCCCCGGGCCCTGGCAGACCCTGAACATCGTGACGCCGCGGGTGCGGCCGGAGGATTGCAGCATCGGGCTCCTGCCCCGCAACCACGACAAGAACCGCTGCATGGACGTGCTGCCCCTGGACCGCTGCCTGCCCTTCCTCATCTCCGTGGATGGGGAGTCCAGCAACTACATCAATGCTACCCTCATGGATGTAAGAACCGCCCCGGCCCCGCCGGGCTCGGGCTTTGTTGCTTCTCGGGATAATTTTCTGGGAGAAAGGGATGGGAAGCAAAAAACTGTTTACCTCTAATTTCTGGTCTTGCCTGCGGGAGCTGAGGAAAAAAAACTCCAGAGCAGTTTAATTGAGGATGAGATAAGAAAAGGGTTTAATTTGTGCCTAGGCATAAAGATTACATGACGCGCCCTGGCCGTGTACAGGTGTTACAATTTATAATATTGTCTGTCCAATCCCAAGTGTTTCCACCCCATAACTTTTGCCCTGGTCCACCCCCGTCCCACCCCCTTGGAATTGGGGCTGGGGGCTTTTTGAGACCACTTCTTCATCATCTTCATCTTCTTCAGAGCACAAAGGGTACACGGCCACCCAGTTCTTGACTGTACTTTTGCGGTTCAGGCCAAGGCACAAGTGTTCTTAAACAAAAGGGCCTACTCTGAAAGAGAGACTAAACATTTTCTACTGGAATTCAGGGGATATTGATATGGGAGCATGGAATGGGGTATGTAGGGGTTGAGGAATGTGTAAACTACTGTGCTAAAGGGTAAAGGAATAAGGGCTGCTGCTTCTAAAATCTACTTCTACTGTATAACTACTTATAAAGCTTATAAAAATTAGAAAAACCAAAAAACTAGAAGAATCTTAAGGCATCACTGGGTCTGGCGTCTCCAAACACGAATTTCCTCTTCTTACCAGAAATGGAAGTATTTAAGAAGAGGCTGGATGTGGTGCTGTGGTCTAGTAGATGAGGTGGTGTTGGGTCAAAGGTTGGACTCGATGATCTCAGAGGTCTTTTCCAACCTGGTTGATTCTGTGGTTCTGTATAATCTAGACTGTGATTATCACACACACTCATTCTGCATCACACTGGTAGAAATTTTTTTGCTAAGGAGCTCCTGAGCTTGCAGTCTGAGGTTGGATCATAGAGAGACACAAAGAAGTGGTGGCACAGCTCTTCCCATACACTGGGTTTTGCAAACGTTGGGAAGAGAAATGTTTGCCAGCTCAGCTCTTTGGAAAGAATAATTTGCAGTGTGGAGCAAGTGATTGATTAGAGCTTGTGCAGTTAAGAATGTGGGACTGCAGGGATCAGATGTGCAAAATATTTTCAGGCTGAAGGGCATGAGTTGAGCTGATGTGACTCTGTCTGAAGGCATTTTCCCTTGCTTTGTTTATAGGCTCAAATCTCCCAGCACAGGTCATCTGTGGAGGGTGAATTATGTTGATGGTTTCTTTTTGCTGTGGTGCCTTTGGACAGAGATGTCTTTAAAGCCACTAATTATTGCAGTTGGAGTATGGGTAAATATGATCCAGGGTGAAATGTCATCATTTTTTCCCCAGCAATGTCAGGATCAGTCCTTTTTAATTTTGTCTGCTCTTCAGTCTTTGGGAAACAGTGATACTACTGCATTTAAGAGGTTCAGTCAAATGGTCACAGAATTTATTTTAGATTTTTTCAGAAAGATTGTGATGTTTTCGTTACAAACACGCCTAAGGAAACTTTTTTGGTTTTTAAGTGTGTTTTGTGCTTTTGCAACCTGAAGAAGCACCATCTATTCTTCTCTGGTTTCCTAGGGACTGGAAATGTTTGCACATTTCAGCCCTCATTACTTCCAATCACTTTGCTGATATTTGTATCCTTCCCCACAAAATTTGTATGAATTAATTTTTTTTTTTTTAGTACAAAGTAATTTTTCACCTGTCATAGAAATTCAGCCACTATGATGTTCTTTGGCTCTCCTCTATCCTTTCAAAGAGGAATCAGCAAATTTTTGGGAACAGCCAAAATCCCACATTTTCACAGCTGTTCCTGTTGAGGACAGACCTTGCAAATCGTTTTTTTTCCCAGTAGCTTCATGTCTGAAGTCTTGGACTGAACATGAACTCTTAGAGGAGACCATCCATCCCATATTGCCTTGAACCATTGTCAGTTCTGTCATTGTGTGAGGACAGGCACGTGCTGGGGAACTCCTGACAGCACAGTCCCAGTGCTGATCATTTTATTTACAGATTTCTCATGTTTATCTCTGGTTTTAAACTTCTCCCCGAATCTTGTTTGACTTGCTTGGTGTATTACGTGAAAGCTGTGATGGAAGAAGTGGTGGAGCAGGAAGGGGAATGGTTCACCTGGGATGGGTTACAGCCTATGTGTGGAAGCATGAATTGTCTCAGGAGGGCCATCTGTCAGCCAAAATTAACCTTAGGCACAGAAACCCATTTGAACCTTCCCTCAGGGCATGAAGCCCTGGGCTCATGCTACAACTGAGCTGGGACTGTCTCAGGCAAAGTTAAAAACCAGCCTCTTCTGCCTTGAGTTAGCTTTTGGGAATACAACCAAAGGGCTCCTGCTCCCCACGGAGGGGAGGAATTCTCCCCCAGCAGATTTAGAGACTCCTCACCTTTCCTCTTCCTGTCCTCTGTCCCTTTCCAGTGAACAGACCTTGGGATCTTCCTGTGAGAATCACTGGAAAGCCAGGTCTGCATCTGCAAAATGGTTTGTTAAGAAGAAAGGAGAAATACTGTCCCTCACCTTCCCCTAAGACAAGCTGGGGCAAAGTGTGCACAGCACCTTCTCCCCCTCCCAGAAAGGTCTGCTCAGCACTTCCACCCACATCTGACTCATGTGGAGGAGGAAAAGCAACCCCCCCCAACAATGGCCAGCTTAATACTTCGGGATTTTATTTGTTTCTTTGCTATAAGTCCAAAATTTTTTATTCTGTGGGCTTTTTGTTTTGTTTGGTTGTTTTTTTTCCTTTTTCTGCAGAATTAGTGCTCCTTTTGATTGAACTCTGCTTCACAGACGTACAGCACGAAGGCCTGTGCAGTTTCTGGGCTCATTTATGCATTGCCTGCCGTGGCTGGAAGGCAATAAAGTTTTCAGCTTGTTCTTTTTCATCTCAGGGAGCCTCGCAAACATCCATTAACACGGCCCCACAGAGGTCAGGAGCACAGTCCTACCCCTCCGTGCTTAGGGAGACTGAGGTCAGGGGGCCCTTTTGAGGGGAAAGAATAGCATCAGAAATGAAATGCCATTGTCACAGGCTCTGAATATTGTCCCACAAGCTCACAAAGGATGGCTGGGATCCAAACGTGCCACCTCTGTCACACTCCATCCCCAGGCAGCAATGACAGACAGGGCTAATCCCTTCTGGAGTTCCTCGAGGCCATCGCAGCAGAAAGGGAGAGCATTTGCTTCCAGCTGTTTTCTTTCCAATTATTAATATTACTGATAGTAGTAGTAGTAGTAATAGTAGAATTAGTATTATTTGCTGAGTCTCAAAATATAAATAATTGATTTGGGTAATCTCTGCTCCTGTGACACTTCTTTAATGAAATGTCTTCATTGGGAGCAAAAGAATCCCATTATGAGCCGCTCATTCATTGCAGTGAGATAACAAGGAGAGGGATATGTGATTTGTATAATCTGGTTAAATGGCTCAGATTGCCTTGCCAGAGCCTCCTGGGTATAATATTCCTTTGAATAAAAGTTGATTGAATTTTTTTTTTTAACTAATCTTATTCTTTTGTTAGAGCCACAAGCAACCTGCTGCCTTCATTGTAACCCAACACCCTTTGCCCAACACCATCGCAGACTTCTGGAGGCTGGTGTTTGATTACAACTGCTCCTCTGTGGTGATGCTGAATGAGATGGATGCAGCACAGGTGGGTGATTCTTCATCATGTCTGTCATTTAAGTCCCTCCTCAAATCCAAGTGGTTTTCAGAGAGTTTCTGCTGCCATTGTCTTGTGCTCTGTCTCCCCACCCCAATAAAGGAGGGGGAGCTGGAAAGGAATAGGTAATGTTTTGGGGTGTAATGAAAAGTAAGTCCACATGCTTGGCTGCTCCTAAGGCAGCTGATTGTTGCTGCATTTAACAAGGATCATAGAATCATAGAAGGGTTTGGGTTGGAAGGGACCTTAAAGACCATCTCATTCCATCCCCTGCCATGGGCAGGGACACCTTCCACCAGCCCAGGTTGCTCCAAGCTCCGTCCAACCTGGCCTTGGACACTTCCAGGGATCCAGGGGCAGCCACAGCTTCTCTGGGCAACCTGTGCCAGGGCCTCCCCACCCTCACAGGGAAGAATTTCTTCATAACATCTAATCTAAACCTACTCTGTGTCAGTTTGAAGCCATTCCTTCTTGTCCTATCACTCCATACCCTTCTGAAAAGTCTCTCTCCAGCATTCTTGTAAGCTCCTTTTATACACTGAAAGGCTGCTCCCCAAAGCCTTGTCTTCTCCAAACTGAAACATATATAAATATATATTAGATAAATACTTTCATATAAATGTATAAATAAGTTTCATATATATAAAAGTATAAAAAAAATTATATATTTAAAAGTATAAGAAAGTTTTATGTAAGTATTTTATATATTACATAAATACTTTGTGGGTTTGGGCTGAAATTTTTTGCTCCCGAACTCACTTCCTTCCCTTTCCTATTCCCATTCATATTTTTGTCTGTCTTTGGTTCAGAAAAATGTTCCCTGCCACATTCCCAGCGTGCTTCACACTTGCCCCTTCACATGGCATTTCCAGGAGAATGAACCCAAGAGAGCTGAAATAATTTGAAGGATCCTTCCCCTGAGATTTCCAGTGCAATTCTGTAATACTGAGAAGTGTGTTTTGCACAGATTCTCCAGAAGATCACAGTGCTTTGTATTTTTATTTTTTATTATAATTCCATGCCTAAGTTGGTTTTTGGCTGCTAAGCACACCATCATTTTCAGGATTGGAGCCTGCTGGGGAGGAGCTGCTGCCATTCCTCCTGTGCTGGTGTCTCCAGCCACCTTGCTAGTGAGTGGCAGAAGATAACAGCTTTCAAAAAGGCATAATCATGCAATTTGTGTGAAGAGTACATTTGGCATGGCTAATTCACCCATTTACAGCACTTGTTACAGGAGAGGAGAGGAACCCTCAAGTAGCTGGCACTTCATGGATTAATTTTTGATTTGTCTCTTCTCTGTCTTGCCACATTTGAAGGCAGCAAAATTATTGGTCTCTTTTTTTGATGGTGATGGAGAAACCAATCCCCCCATTCCTGGAGGGGATCTTCCATCAGGGTGGGTGCTGTGGGATTCCATTCCCAGCCACGGGGAGATTGGTTCCCTCCAGAGTCCTACCACCCTGTGATCTACCACCCTGAGATCCTCTGCATTTGCTGCTTCCTCTCCAATCTACCCTCCTTGATTCTGCATCTTGGCATTGAACCCAGAGGCAAATTTCATCTTTTTTTTTTTCCTGACACTTCAAAGGAAAACACAGCTTTTTCTGGAAATGACACTCTTTCTCAGACTGGGTTCTTGGAAAACACAAACCTATCAGCCTCAGCCACTGCTCTTCTTGTGACTATCTTTCTGCACAAGGCTTTACTTGCTTTGTTTTTTGCTAGCAAAGTTTTGTTTTTCTGATGTACCCTGTAGGCACAGAAAGGGGGATTTGGCAGTGCAGAAAAGTCACTTTGACAGTTCCTGTGGCACAGGGTCACCAGCTGGAGGCTGCAGCCAGTGCTGGAACACCCAGGTGGCACTGGTGGGAGTTAAGGATGACTTTAAAGTTTGTATGTTATGAGCTATCAGGGCAAGGTGTGACAGTTTGATATCATGGAATCATTTAAGGTGGAAAAGACCTCTGAGACCATTGAGTCCAACTGTTCCCCCAGCACTGCCAAGGCCACCACTAAACCATGTCCCCAAGTGCCACATCTACGCAGCTTTTAAATCCCTCCAGGGATGGGGAGTCCACCACTGCCCTGGGCAGCCTGTTCCAATGTTTAAACACCCTTTTTGTGAGGAAATGTTCCCTAATGTCCAATCTAAACCTCCCCTGGCACAGCTTGAGGCTCTTTTCTCTCCTCCTGGCCCTTGTTCCCTGGGAGCAGAGCCCGACCCCCCCCCAGCTCCCCCCTCCTGTCAGGGGGTTGCAGAGCCAGAAGGTCCCCCCTGAGCCTCCTTTTCTCCAGGCTGAGCCCCCCCAACTCCCTCAGCCCCTCCTGGTGCTCCAGCCCCTTCCCCAGCTCCATTCCCTTCCCTGGACACTCTCCAGCCCCTCAATGTCTTTCATGAAGTGTGGCCATTCACAGACCTGCTCTAGGAAAAGCAGATTTTTTAATATTAAGGAAATGTTTAATCTTTTCTGCTTTCTGCTGCACCTTGAGGTTGTTTCCTGGAGCTCCTGCTCAGCTCACATCTCCTGCCTATTGGACAGATGCTTTGAGAGGAGATCACTAAGCAGCTTGAAAGTCTGAATGAAGAGTAAAGACACCCTTCAAAGGACTTGCTTGTGTGGTCTTGGTTGGCTTGCTTAATCTTGAAAAACTAACAAGGGCAAAGATGCCTAAGATTGTGTGAATATCCCACCCAATTTCAATCCTATATGATCAAAGGAGTGCAGAATTAATGCAGTAGCATTCACACACTTGACGTTGTTTCTGGCAGTGATTGAACTTGAAAAGCTCGAGATCAAGTTCAAATGAGCATCTGGGGGTTTCAAAACTTCTGAAAAATTACACTTAAAAATAGGAAGAAAGAAAAACAGAAAGAAACACAATCTCAGCAGAAACTGCTAATGAGATCTCATGCAAAATATTTTTTCCCCATAATCTATTTCCAGATGGGTTTTGAATACTTACATTGTAATTTGTGTGCATAGGATCTTTTTTGTCCTTTCAGTTCTGTAATATCAGCACAAGTAAAAGACTTCCAACCTGTTTCACAAACTTCAGAGATTCACCCTGAAACCAGAGTTGCTCTTCTTGCTCTCAGAACAAACTAATTCTCCCTGCCCTGCTCACTGGTAGAGTCACAAAGCTAAAAAGTTCATCTCACAGAAAAAAGAAACTCCAGTTTGTTTGAATTAAGATTAATTTTCATGGTGTCTATACTGTTTCCTCATTAACACCAAACCTCTGTGGTTCTTATTAAATTTATCTACAGACACTAATCTTTTAGTGTTCATTTTAAATCTCTACCCCTACAGAAGCTTCATTTGTCAGCCACCTTTTCTACACCTTTAGACTCCAGAATTCAATCAGTTCCAAATTGTGTTCATACAAAAATAAAGGGGAAAAAAGTCGAGGTTCTAAAATACACTTTTTTTTATGTAGTCATGGGATAAAAAGTTTTTACAGCTAGAATGAGATCTCCTGTGAACAAAGACATGTAATACAAGATTGGTGATGGATTTTGAGCTGGTTATAAATTAAAAAAAAAAGACTGAACGTGCATTTCCTTGTTAATAATTAAGATGTTTCTTATCCTGTTTTCTGCAGCTCTGCATGCAGTACTGGCCAGAGAAGACATCCTGTTGTTATGGCCCCATTCAGGTGGAGTTTGTCTCAGCAGACATTGATGAAGACATCATCAACCGGATATTCCGGATCTGCAACATGGCCAGGGTAAGATCCCTGAAACACCACATTCCCCATTTAGTCTCAAAAATGTATTTTGGCAGGAGGAAGAGGCAGAGCCAAGACCTGTGGTTTAGAGATGCTGAATCTCTCACCTAGGAACGAAATTCCACTGCAGCTGCTTCCTTTAATTAACATTTAATCAGTCTGTATTGCTAAAGGACTCTTGGCTGAAAGTAGAAAGTGGATGATATGAGCTGAAAATCTGTATTTAAATGGTGAACATTTTTCTGTGTGTATTTGAGAACAATTTATCACTTAGTAGCCAATATAGAAGCATCAGTATTGTAGGAAATAAAGTGAGGTAGTGTCAGCAGCTCTCCATCTGTCAGCTACTCTGAAGACAGATGCAATGTTTACTGGCTAGACTGGGATTCCCAATTGCCACTGTCTTCCCTATAAATAAGCAAATGCCATTTCTGTAAGCAACTCTTTGTCTGGATCCCTCAGCCCCAGGACTGCTGAAATGATAGAAACAAAGTTTATCTGTGTACTGGGCCTTGGCAATCCAACTTCAGGGCTGCAGTGCAGGATTTTTCTCTCATTAGTTGTTTTCCCAGATTGATTATGTTTCCTTTGTTGTTCCTTTTTCATTTTTTTCTAGTCAGAAATGGAAGCAGGCTCCACAAATTACATTTCCAAGCAGTTTAACACAGTGGTGTCTGTGTGTTCAGAGCCTGTGCAGCAGTTCAGTGGTGGCACTGAAGAGGGGACCTTGTGTCCAGCTGCACAAATTGATTAATCAGTTAGCTCTTAGACATTGTCCTGTATCCCAGGCCAACTCCCTCTGAGCCAGGGAGACCCTTGGAGTCATAAAGCTGGTCAGACTGAGGCTCTGTGACTCTCAGGATGGAGCTGGTCCATGCCATGGCTGGCAGGGTGGGTGCTGTGAACTCACAGCCCTCTGCACCCATCTGTGTTCAGCACCACTGGCCACTGCCAACATCTCTGTGAGGATCCTTTCCCTCCACAGTGCCCAGAGAATTTCTGAGGGCTGCCTTTACTTCTTATGGCACAACTTATTTCCAGCACAGGAGAGAGACATTTGGTCTATTTAATCTGTTCATACAGTCTGATGAAACTTTATTCTGGAAACCAAACAAGGGATCCTAGATCCTGCCTGGCTCTTTAATATCTGAAGTCATATTTTTTATCCAGAGGATGGAAAAGTCCTTGTTTCCACATTGTATCAGGTGCCCAGGGTGGAGGATGTTAACAGAGGGGAAGATGACAGAAGCACAGAAACACAGAATTTACTGGGCTGGAAAAGACCTCAGAGATCATTGAGACCAACCTTTGACCCAACACCACCTTGTCACCCAGACCATGGCACTGATGCCACATCCAGTCTCACCTTAAACACCTCCAGGGATGATGACTCCATCACCTCCCTGGGCAGCCCATTCCAATGGCTGATCACTCCTTTTGTAAAGAATTTCTTCCTAATGTCCAACCTGAACCTCCCCTGGTGCAGCTCAAGGCTGTGCCCTCTTGTCCTACTGCTGGTTCCTGGGATCAGAGCCTGACCCCCACCTGGCTCCCCCCTCCTGTCAGGGAGTTGTAGAGAGTGAGGAGGTCTCCCCTGAACCTCCTCTTCTCCAGACTGAACAACTCCAGCTCCCTCAGCCTCTCCTCACAGCACTTGTGCTCCAGTCCCTTCCCCAGCCTCGTTGCCTTTCTCTGGACACACTCCAGCCCCTCAACACCCTTCCTAAACTGAGTGGCCCAGACCTGGACACAGCACTGGAGGCCGTGTAACCAGTGCTCCCATTACCTGTCCCTGTTCGCCCTGCCCCACTGAGTGTGTGACCCGTGCCCTGTGTTGCAGCCCCAGGACGGCTATCGCATCGTGCAGCACCTGCAGTACATCGGCTGGCCGGCCTACAGGGACACCCCTCCCTCCAAACGCTCCCTGCTCAAGGTGGTCCGGAGGCTGGAGAAGTGGCAGGAGCAGTACGATGGCAGGGATGGCCGGACTGTTGTCCACTGCCTGTAAGTAGGACTGGAAAGTGTCTGTAACCTCACACGGTGCTCTCTGAAGAGCGCTGATCGGGGGTCTGGGATTTTGGTGGTTTGCCAGGCTTCAGCTCGGGAAAGTGAAGTGGAATTATGTTTGTAATGCACTTCAAGTTGAATGTTGTGCTGCATTATAGTATCCTGGCCCAGAGGTTTTGCTGGTTGTGGTGAGGAGTAGCTCAAAAAGCTCTGCTGGGTCCTGTTGTGTGGGTGGGTCTCTGACTGGAGCCCAGGCAGACCCGAAGCAGCACTGCTGTGTGCCCAGCTCTGCCCACAGAGCTGCTCTGAGCACTGAGGAGCAGCACTGCAGTCCCTGGGCTTCCCTGTCCACCACTGCCAGGAATCCCTTAGCCCATCCATCCCTGTCTCCTGCCCTGAAGGTCTCCACTTTCATAGAATCACGGAATGGTTTGGGTTGGAAAGCACCGCGAAGACCACATCACTCCACCCCCTGCCATGGGCAGGGACACCTTCCACTAGCCCAGCTTGCTCAGAGCCCCATCCAGCCTGGCCTTGGACACTTCCAGGGATGGGGCAGCAACAGCTTCTCTGAGCAACCTGTGCCAGGGCCTCCCCACCCTCCCAGGGAACAATTCCTTTCCCAATATGCCCTCTGGCAGTGGGAAGTCGTTCCTCCTTGTCCTGTCACTTCACGCCCTTGTCCAAAGTCCCTCTCCAGCTCTCTTGGAGCTCCTGTAGTTACACAAAAACCCTTGAATGTCCATGACCAGTTACAGACTTCCTTAGTGTCCATGGGGGAGTTGTTCTGTCTGTCCCTCAGCCCTACCAGCTTCCCCTCTCTCCTCTGCCCCCAGGAACGGCGGGGGACGCAGCGGCACCTTCTGTGCCATCTGCAGCGTGTGTGAGATGATCCAACAGCAGAATATCATCGACGTGTTCCACATAGTGAAAACACTACGGAATAACAAATCCAACATGGTGGAGTCACTGGTAAGCTTTTTTTTTCCTGTGTGTTTCCCCTCCCAGCATGTTCCAGGGCCTTTAGGATGGGTAAAAAATTGTCGTGGCTTCGTTCAGGGCGAATCAAAGTGAATGAGAACATGAAGCCATCAGAATTATAATGGCTTCTGTTTTAGCATGTGCAATGAGTCCTCCTGCTTCTCTCTTAGAGCAGAAAGGGTGCTCTGGCAAAATGATGAACACTGCCTCCCATGCCCAGCTGGCTCCAGGAGGTCAGACCCCAAGGAGCTGGCACCATGGCTGTGGGAAGGGGTGGGATCTGTCCTCCTGTCCATGCACACACCCTGTGGTGCTGAATGCTGTGACATGCCTTGAAGCCAGGGAGGGAGAGCAGCCTGAGCCCCAGGCCTTGCTCCCTGCAGCCCAGGAGATTAAACTGTCCTGAATTCAATCATCTCCATCGATCACACGGAGTTCGTGCCTCCAAAGCAACGCGTGGAGGTGAATAATGAATAGCCCATACTGGGGCTGCCTCTTTGAGTGCTTTTCTCTTCCATTGATGATACCATCTCCTAGCAGTGCTTGTTCAGGATCACATAGAAAGGCAATCAATGTTTGCCTGGTCCTGCCAAAGGGAATAAGAAAGAGAGAGGAGGTATTTTGGCTTGTAGAACAAGGCTCTGAAGAATTCACCCATATCCTAATGCCATTTCTTTCTGTTCTCTCTTGCAGGAACAGTATAAATTTGTATATGAGGTTGCACTGGAATACTTGAGTTCCTTTTAGCCCAGAGGAGGGAGGGGACCCTCGGATGTGCCAGACCCCAATCTCTGGCAGGCGCTTCTCCCCTCTCCCACACTGGAAGGCAGTAACAAGTGTGGGAAGGAAAACCTCTCCTTCCTGGAGCAAGAGACTGAGGTTGCACAGACCTCGCTGGAAGGAGGAGACGATGCCTGTGTGTGCTGCTGCCTGCTTTCTATTGGAACATCTACTGCTTCTTAAATAACCTACTGTAAAAATTAGCAAAATGGGAGACAGGCTGAAAGACTGGACTTTCTAATCCCCGCTGACTTCTTCTCTCCTCTTTTGGATTGTATTTTTGCTCTGCTTGCTGCAGAGTGGGGAAGGAATGAAACCCTTAGGAAATTCTCTTTTAAATGTCTCCTTTTTAATTTATAATTTTGTTCTCGAATCCCAGTCTTTTCATTTTTTAATTTCATGCAGCAGTCATTTGGGAAAAATGAGATAGCCATAGGGGATACATGAAATATTTCATTACGGTTTGTCTACCTTATCTCTTCCCTTTTTATTTGTTTTTCCAAATGAAAAGGCCAACACAGAAGAAAAACAACGCTGGAATTCTCTTCCCACACATAGTCCCTTTAAGCATGAAAATAGATGGTGGAGATGAGCAGCTGTTCATGGATTCACTGCCTCCACACAAATGTTTCCTCCCAGTTTCTGCTCCACTCCCAGGGCTGTGCATGAACTGGTTCCATCTCTCTGGTCTGTGTTCCTTTGGGTGCTGGTGAAGCAATGCCACTGATGGGTTTCCCAGCCACTTGAACCTTAAGGTTAAATATTTGCATCAAACAGATTGCATTTTGTCTTGCAACTTTGGTAACTTTGTTACCACATTTTTCAATTATTTTGCTGGGGTGCAGTGTGTCTTTGAAAAAAAAAAAAAACAGGGTATAAAGTATAAAGTAGGTATTATTGCTCATATACTATGTATTACTATTTTTTATTTATTATTTGTATTGCTGTAGAACTTAGGACCCCTAGTCACGACAGGACCCTGCTGAACTAGGCACTGTGCAAACAGAGAGCAAAGAAGGTTCCTGCTCGAGAGTTTAAAAGCTGAAGGTTCTTAAAATTGGGTTTTGGCAAGATTTCCTCGCTATTTCCAGGCCCTACAAGCTTTAAAATGGGAACCCATTGGAGCTGTAAGGAAAGGTGATGTACATACACAGAAACCTGTTCTGACACATGTAAAGAGAAGTGTTAGCCCAGCACAGCAACTTCTCTTCTTAAGCAAAACAGCTTTTGTTTCATCCTGCAAAAATGCCTGTGCAACTCTCCTGCTCCCAAACAAACACCAGATGTGTTTTGCCATGGCTCTGGATCTCGCTCTGATTTCGTAGCAGCTAAGAAATTGCTTTTCTGAAAGAATGTGTTTAAGTAGTTAATCACTAAGGTCTGCAGGGTAATCTTGGAGAAAAAAAAAATAATTGAAAGAACAAGGCCTTACTATAATTAGTATTTGAATTTAGCCATTTATTTATCTGGAGGGTGCTGGATATGAGGTTGCTCTCTGTGTAAATTAGATTCTGGGATGTAGTTTTCTTTAAATTCAGACTTTCTAAAAGATAGGTTGAAGGTAAGAGTTTAAGGAAACTCCACTTTCTTACCGCCCTGTAGTTTTCCACCCTCAGGTAAATGCTCACAGGCTGTGCTGGGAGCTCTGGGCTCTCAATGTGTGACAAGTTCAACACATTTTGCTAGTTCTGTCTGTAAGTTCAAAAGGCTTCACTTCATGATCATTCTTTCTTCAATAGAGGAACCTTTGCCTTGGCAGTGAGGGATGAAAATGAGAGCTGACCAAAGCAGCTCTCAGCTCACACAGGTACCTCACCACAGAGTTTCCATCCCCCAGGAGCTGCACCAGTCCAGGGAAGGTGCTTGGAACTGCAATAATCCTCTTCCTGATAAGCAGATGAAGGGGTTCACAGGATGCTGAACCTCCTAGCCTGGATTCTTTCTAAGGAGCTTTGGATTCTTGGCTTTAATGTCATGAACCACATTCTCCCCGATGTGCTGTAAAGTGTTGGTGAGAACTCCCTCACAGGAGCCTCTGCTCTGCTTCTAGTTGGTCCTTTCTGGTGCCTGCAGGAAATCATGAAATCCCCTTTAGTTCCAAATGGGGCTGTAGGTGGGTGTCTGGCATCTCCTGGGACAGGCTACTGGTTTGAATTGTTGCTTTTTTTTTTTCCTTATGCAACTAAGCAACACAAACAATTCTTCAGGGGAAAAAAAATAGAAGGCAAAGCAAAGCTATGAGATAAAAATGGCCTTATATTGGTGTTTTCATTACAGGTGGCTGGATGGAACAGTGTAGGTCAGGAGTTGGGAGCTATTAGTAAAGCTGAGGGAATTCTGATCCCAGAATGGGACTTTTGAGCAACTGCCCACGTAGGAAGAAGCTACAAGTCAGCAAAGTGTTTGTGACTCTGCTGACTCCAGAAAGCCAGAGGGAATCACTCCCTGTGGATACTATGGAAATATTAATTAGTGTTTAGCATTCTGTTAATTTTACATGGAAACTAGCACAGGGATAGGTCTCCTTCATGATACAGGAGGGGGGAAGACTGATGGAAGCACTGAGAGTGACAGCCAGGATAAAAGGAACAGAGTGGTAAAGAAATAGGGTGAGATGTGAAGTATAGGAGCTAATTCAGGATTAAAAAACGGAAATTAAGCCTGCAGGAAGGATGTGTGCATGGAGAGAAGGAGCTGTGGGTTGAGCAGAGCAGAGCAGCACTTGCAGTGGAGTTGTTTAAGGTCCTGAGGTTGGATTGACTGTGTTTTATGGTATGCAAAATGCTGCTAAAGGGTCAGAAGTCCCTGTATCAGGCTGGTCCACGACAAGTCACGTGCGCTTTTGGCCCACTGCAAAGGCCAGGGGATGTTGGCATAAAGAACAGGGGAAGATGCTAAAGCTAAATTTTACATTTTATAGGAGCTAAATGCAAGTGTTGGTTGCCACAGCCCAGCTGTTAATCACAGCTTGTTCTGTGGCCACTCAGCTGCGTGTCTGAGCCCTCGTGTCCATGTGTGGGAGGGTGCTCAGCGGACACTGGAGATTTTGTTGCCAAACTGTTATAAATTCCTGCAGTTATGGTGCTTTTGGGGGACCAACCCAGCTCCAGTGTGTGTTGTCTCTGGGATATTCCTGCTGTTCCTTGCTGCACAGTGCATATATGCTGAGTGTGAATTAGTGATGAAGGGAATTGCGTGGAAAGAGAGGACGAGCTGGCTTTAAATAACTTTATTACCTTGAAGTTGTTTAAACCCTAGAGAGCACCCCATGGCAGAGCAGGTAATGTGTTTGAAGCAAGATTATGGGTGATGGGTTTGTTTTTGCGGGGAAAGAGAGAAATTATGAGATGAGATAAAGGAGGTTTTCTCACTCCTGGAAGGATTAATAGTCAGGGTGAGCTTTCCAGCCTAAGCATCCCCTGCTGTGGATGGAAAGTGATAATGTGCAGTAGAAAAGGTGAATTCCTCAGTGATTGAATTTTAAGCTGGAAAAATATCATATTGCCCATTCAAATATCCACATTTGAATGGACATAATGAAGATGAAGTTACTCAGTCATCCTTCAGGGGTGAGGGAGCAGTTTATGATAGCACAGGACTGGTGTAAGGTTTGGTCTGAAATACAAGGAACTAGAAATAGGGAAAGAAGGGTGGGTCAGGGGTGACTGTCTCATACAGGGAGTTACTAACATCTGAAATAAGTATGGGATGTAATTGAAGCAGTGAATTCCAGAGCTACCTAAGCTGGCTGCTGGAGAAGAAAGACTCTGAGTTTTCTAGATGGGAGATAAACCAAAACCCCTAAAAGATGCAGTAGGACTTAAGAATCTTTTCTTTTTTTTAGTTTTATGTTTGCTTGGTGGTGGGGTTTGGGTCTGTCTCTCTTTATTAATTAAGATCTGTCCAGGACTGATGTCCTATGCTGGCTCTTTTGTTTTGTTTTGTTTTTTCTTCTTTGAAGGTAAGGTAAAAGGTGTTTGAACTGCTGTAAATAGACTTGAGGTACTTGTTTATTAATGAAAAGAAGAGGGAGTACAGTGGCCACGTGGAGGTAACTGAATCAGGACCTCTGATGGCAAGCAGGCAGATGGGGATGTGGTGGGTTGTGTATGTTTGCAGGTTGGAATAACCTGTGTTGTCTGAGCAGGGAAGTTCCTGGGCTATGATTAGTAGGAAGCCCTTTAATTTGGTATCCTTCAGCCAGGTTGCACAGAGTTATGTCTGCTTTTGCCATGCAACAGTGGGTCCCTCTTAATTTATTCACATTTTAGCCATTTTTGTGAGTTGTCCATTTTGGTCCAGCAGCAACAAGCAGTTGACTAACACTGAAAGGTTTTTACATGCACTGAAAAGGTGTGACTTTGTGTGGCCTTTACCCCTGAGATAACCTGCAGTTTCTGTCCCCTTGTCTTGTCCACCTGCACACACATCTGAAGAATGGCCAGAGAACTCCTGAAAGGCAGACAGAGATTTTGGGAGATGCCTGTGACCTCAAATCATTCTGGTCCATGTAACTCCACAGGGCAGAGGAGGGAACCCCAAAGAACAGCTGTTCCCTGCAGCAGCCTGTATTTGTGTGTCAGTAGTTTCCAACCTTTTATTCTGGAGCTGTAAACACCCTGGGAAAAAAAAGTCCAGTGGCAACATAGACCCCCACAGTTGTAGATTTGAGCCTCTAGGTGCTAGACTGGCTTTTCCATTTACTTTTCACAGGCCCTTTAGCAGCAGTTTGTGGGATTTCCTTTGGGAGTCTCAAGGCAGAGATTGCTGGTCACTGCTCTTGTTGTGCTGTAGAGTCAGAGAAGGAGAGAGGCTCCTGCAGGAGGTGGTTCAGAAGACACTTAAACCAGTTGCCATCTGGGAGAGGAGGAAAGGAGGAGAAATCTCCTTTGGGAGAAACCCAACTTTGGAGGAGAAGGCAGATTAAATGGAACCTGAAACAGGGAGGAATTTGCACCTTGCTCTCTCTCTCATTCTTGTACAGCTGCTCTTTATCTTTCTTACTCTTCTGAGTTCCTGCCAAGATCATAAAAAACAGGTAATGCCACATTCCGTGCTGTGGAGATGGAGCACTCAGAGTGTGACAGAGAGAATAAATCCTGTGGGACAGAGATAAAAGGAGATTCACTTGAGAGAGGAATCTTCAAATGCGAGGTGCCTCTGCCTGTCACACCTGCAGAATTTTTAGTGAGTTGTCACAGAGCAGTGCACAGTCCTGGCACGGTCCTGGGTGTGCAATGTGGTGGCAAAGTTCCACTTGGAAAACTTCATTGTCCTGTAATAAATGTGAACAATCGACTCCATTACGTTGGGTAGCACAGTTAATTTTTGTGATCCCTCCAGCCGGTGCAAGGGGCATCTCAAGAACTTTGGTGTGAAACTGCTGTGTTTTCATTTGAGAGTCTTTCATTTGTCTTAAGTGTAAAAAGAGTCAGTCAACCCCAGATTTTTAAGAAAATAAAGGGGGGCCATGAGGTTAAAGTGGCAAAAGTTATTCAGCATAACCATGGCCTTTGGGTCAAAAATTCCATGTACCTGCTGTGTGAGGGTAGAACAAACCACCACAGCTTCCCTGCCCAGACACTGGAGCAGAAATGGGGAGAGCCAGGGAATTAAAGTCAGAGAGACAGACATGAATAATAAGTATTCTGTTAACCCTCCTGTGCTCCTGTTTATTTAGATTGCAGTCTTCTATAGCCATGCATACATAATATACAATTTAAATGCAAGTGCTCTTTCTTTCCCTGTTCCCAAAAATACGTACAGCTCCTCTTTCCTCCAGGGTGAGCCAACGGCATAGCGAGCAAAGCCCAGTTTCTGCAGTTTTTGGCAAGGGCCAGTAGGAAAATCCATCATGTATTATCTGCTCATTGACTTGGAAAAGGTATCAGTCATCTCCCTCAT